CTCCGCCTCCATTTCCTCCACGAGCCGATGTATGACGGTTGATACGGTGGAAATTGTGGGATTTGAGTATATGTAACGAGTGGAGAACTTGTCTTTCAAACCTGTGGCGGCACGAATTGTTTTCACGGCTGCAAACACGCCCAGTGAGTCGAGGCCGAGCTCAAACAAGTCAGCGTCGGCGGGAGCTTCCTGGATACCAGGCAGTGTGTGCTCAAGGACACTGCGGAATGAACGCTGGATTAATTCAACGGAGCTTGTGTCCATGGCGGTAGCAGGCAAATCGTCATTTCGAGAGCTGTAGAATCTCTCGATGAAATCGCCATACAGCGCCAGCGTTGCGGGTCGCTTCACTGTTCTCTTGTCAGTGCGAATGAAGGGCTTATCGGCTTCCGCAAAGGTAATGAAGTCCCTGAGTAACTGGTTTTTGTGCCGAGACTGCGAATTCGCTTTCTGGACTGTCTCCCAGATACTGTCCAGCAGCTTCTCATCAGTCTTAGATGAGGGGTCTTTCAGCTCAATGAGAAGGGCCGCTTGAGGCCTCCCAGTTCCAATCTACGCCGTTTCAGTAGGTTAGTATTTATTCTTCGGCGTGATGTATCAACATATAAAAGGCCGACTTACGACTAGACAGCCATCAATGGCGAGGTGTGTGCTGATGAACGCTTCAGTCTCCAGAGGTGAGATCTTGTAGCCATTGGACAGAACGACGAGATCGTCACTTCTTCCCTTGAAAGCCCAAAGATTAGGCTTCGTGGGATGTCTTTTGTACAGATCCTTGAGGTTAATGGAGTCCTTATCTGGGAACGTATGAAATATGCCCTGAAACAGAGGCCAATGTTCGTTCCGGTGGACCCAGTGCTCGTAAGTCCCTGGCTCAACCTCTTTGAACTCGAAGCCAGAGTATGGATGAAAGGAGAACCACCACCAATCTTCTCTTGGCACTACAAGGTTGCCAATAAAGAGTCCTTCTGTGGTGCCTGTCAAGTTGAGGACCCTGATCACCTCGTTCACTTTTCCTGCGCTAATGGGACTGACTGGGCCTGGGTAAAAGATGACAAGTGAGCCACAGAGCAGGAAGAGAATAAAGATGTGGAAGAGACTTACCACCAGATGCACAAATGAATTTCGAAGGTTTGAATTTCGCCAGAACATCTGGTGTCTCGCCGAGTTCGTCAACAAGCGAGGGGACCATGCTCCAAATATTAATCTTAGCTTGCTCCGCGAGGGACTCGATCAGATTCATATTGGGCAGAACACCCACGGGCCCCAAGACACAGTGCAAGTTAAGGAGGGCAGGCAATAATATGTCCATAATTACACCAGCGCCCTGGTCAAGAGTGAGATTAGTCAACCGCCTTCAGACCCAGACAGGAAACGGGATACGTACGTGGCTCATGGGGAATGAAGAATAGATTCTATCCCCTTCCTTCCAATCAGCAGTCCATGGCAACAGACCATCGTCGCCCTCAGTCGGTGGGAGGATTTGTACTGCGTCCATAGTTCCAATTAGCCCGTGACTCCAGGGAATTGGCTTAGGGTGACCAGTCGACCCCGAAGTATGTAAGAAACAGAAGGGTTCATTGACAGCCTCTTCAAATGTCTTTGTGAATGGGAAAGGAGGAGTGGAGTCGGCATCAAGGAGATCGTCTAGTAAAGGAAGTTCGAGAACCCTCATAGGGCGTCGCTCTAGAACATCCTTAACTAGAGGGATAGTAGCCAACTCCCCCGGCTCTACCCAGATGTTGCAAGAGGTGGCTTCAAGCACTGCTAATGTACCCTCCAAGGTGTTCTTAGGGGAGAGAAACAGAGTCTGTAGAATTGGCCTTCATCAGCATGGTCAGAAATACACCAGAGTTATTATGAGTCGACTTACTGCGTAACCAGCCTTGGAACATGCGTGGGTTAGTAGAACATGGCGTAGATCATCTAGTAGTTATTAGCAAGCAAAACGGCAAGACGGAAAGGTCGTCTCCGACTTACGAGGTCCAATGTAACCAATAGGCTGGATTGAGTCAGGTTTTCCCACTTGGTTACGAATCCACCAAGCAGTCTTGTTTACTGCATTAGTGAATTCCCGCGCAGAGATATATCTCAGTTGGATGGACTTCCCGGAGAGGGTTGCGAGCGAGAACACGGTCCGCAATGGCTCGGTGTCTGCTAGGTCGTCCATAATCTGAGGAACGAGTCTCTTTCCATAAGGGAGGAAGTCGTTGGAGTTCTTAGAAGACCTCAAGGAAGATCTCTTGGACTTCTTGGATATCTTTGAGGAGATATCACTCCCAGAACCAACGCTGGTTGCACTCCCATTGACAGGTGAGGACCGTCCACTCTGCATCGATGTGTCACTGACTCCAGAAGAGAAACCGCTATACTCTCCGCTGTTGCGTTTAGGGACCCGAAGGAAACTTGCCGACAATTCGGCGATGGTGAGACCATCTTCACCTGCGGGCTTTTCCTTGAAATAGCTTGGTCTGTCGCTCTCGTAGACCAACTCCAGTCTGGGCTCTCTCTTGAATTCGCTCATGGGCGCACTAACCCATTCTCCGTTGGCTAGGAGGGCGACACTACAGTGCCAGGGCGTTGTGAAGCCAGTCTTTGTGTTGAGAAGACTAATTGATACCTTGTTCGCACCAAACGACTCATGGATTGAGAGTCGTAAATGATGGGGGAATGCAACCTGGATTGCCCCCGCAAATGCCTGTATACGGGTAATTGATTAGAAACAGGACTCCAGCTTTGAAAGTGAATAGTCAAAGGGGGCAGTACTTACATATCCACGCATCAGCATTTGCTTGGCCAGAAATTTTACATCTCTCCGGTAGGCATTCTTGGTCCTATCTTTAGTGGGTGGGAAGATGTACTTGAGGTCTGACTCGAGGAACCGCCGATAGCCAAGGTAGGTGAGGCGAGTATCGGGGTTATTGGCGATCTCTTGATCAATATCAAGGTCGTCCTTGCCATATGTGTTGATGAGCAACCGCCGAAAGTTGGTGCAATTAGCAACATAGGTGATCTCCCGAAGTTCCTCGTCGGGGATGGGGAAGTCAAGAAGATGCTTCATTCTGGCAAATTCGATATACGTGAAGCCCTTCTCGACAGCCATTTCGCGCAAGGCCTCTCCGTAGGCCCATGTTTCACGGTCAGAGATGGATAGCAAGTCTTGATGAGATGTCAGTGAGGAAGATATGCGGGTTGTTCAGTGTTAGGGAAGTACCATTATAAGTGATTCCGTCAGAGATGATGGTTATCTTTGCGCCAGGGGGATATATCTCTCTGATTCTTTTGCACATGGTATTTAACCGCTCAAGAGCGAGCTCCTCAGCCTTGTCAGGTAGGCTACCTAAGACTTTGTATACCTTGTTCGCAGACTTAAATGGGAAGGCAGGGAGGCAGGCCTCAATTGTCTTGCCAGCGAGCACGAACCTGTCAATGACTGACAAGAATTTGGCTGCTCCTTTAGCCATCCGCTCCTGGGAGTCATCAAACTTATTGAGGGCATACTCGAAGAAGATGTCGAGGACTAATTGAGCGGTGGTGTTGGCACCTTTGTCAACATACACCCCGTTGACCGGTGTCTGATCAGCGGTTGATTGACCCATGGCGAACTGGTGTGAGGGAGGGAGTTGTTAGGATGTTGCGATAAGGGTGTGGGCAAGGGCCTTCAATATATACTGATGGGCATCTCCAGCAAGGCAAGGGAAGAATTGGATGTGACTACCCGTCTGGGGATGAGCAATCCACGACGCCAGCAGCTGTTGTTAACGGTGGAATCTCCACGGTATTTGTTTGCCCTCACATCCGTCCAAAGCTATCCCGCCATGGCATGACGGCCTGACCTCACCTTAACCGGGTCCAAGGCTAACGCCCCGGCACGGTCCTGACGGACGCACCGTATGACCAAGCCAAGCTACCTGTCTAATTCCCGCATGGTATTCCAAAGATAGACCTTGTTCTACCTAGATTTGGGGCAAGGCAAACGCGCCATCTGGGACGGCTGTTCCTGTAGCGGCAGCAATCACCACGCCCAGGGGTGCGTGTAAGCCATGTACGACCCGTTTTTTTAGGTTGATGACAAGAATTACCCGTCCATATTTCTGCCTGGGATTGGAGCAGGTTTGAGTCAGATTAATTTTTTTGCTGAGCGATCCTTCCGTGTGGGGGAGTGGGGGATGGTCTTGTCTCAAGCTCAGCCATGTCTCCATGCATTGTGGTTGTTGGACACTCCTCAGCATAGCCTTACATAGCCCTACATAGTACACAGATGGATGATGTGGCCCTCGCCAAGATGACGGCATGCCCAAGACATAATTAGTATAGTGTGATCATTACTACCACACAAAGTGTGAACCCGACCCAGCCGAGACTCGGGCTGCAGCATCATGCGGTGGTTGGCATGCACAATGCAGCTGCAGAGTGCCAACCAGACGGTGAGCAGAACGCGTACATACACGAAGGATCATGCTCAGCGGCATGCATCTCAGCTTAGACAAGCATCAGCCCGCCTGCAAGGCAATGATGCGGCCAGGATACCGGTTCCGGCACGACCTGCGCTTGTGGTATCATGGCATGTGATAGGCACGGCCAGCGACCGACTTACACAATCACCTAGGTCGTGTAATTAATTGCCTTTTTGACGCGCAAGGGGGGCGTGGGTGCTGCATGATGGACTGGGTCGGCTGAAGCTACCTTAAACTTGCGCGTCTGATAAGCTTAGAAGGGCGAGAGGCCGCCACTACAATGCAGACTTCTTTCCCAAAATTGAACCATTCCCCTCGTTGCTGATCCCAAGGTGGATGTGCCGTGTGTGCCCAACATATTGATACATGACACTGGAGTAGAGGGAGATTCTTGCCACCCCTCTCGCCCTCATCCCTGCCCTCGGCTTGCTCCGTTTAGTCTACTGCTTCACATCCTCGATCCATCATTCAATTGTCTTCTAGCTTTCAAGTTTTTTACTCCTCGTTGTCTTTTTTGTTCTTGTCTTACAAATACTTTTTCCAATGGCAGAAGAGACAGTTGCCCATCTAGCCAGGAAGCTATCCTGCCATAGTGTCAAGAATGAGCAGGGGGAGCCCACCAACCCCTTTTTGGGGTCTGATAACCCTTTGCTGGACCCAAACTCCTCAAGTTTCAGCGCAAGAACATGGCTCAAAACCATACTGAGCATTATCTCGCGGGATCCTGAGCGTTATCCAACTAGAACAGCCGGCGTTGCGTACAAAAATCTAGCAGCTCATGGATTTGGCGAGCCAACCGATTACCAAAAGACCTTTGGCAATTATCCCCTCGAAGTGCTGGGATTTTGCAAGAAGCTTTTGGGATCTTCTCAGAAGAGAAGAATTCAGATCTTGAGGGACATGGACGGTCTAGTCAAGAGTGGAGAGATGCTTCTTGTCCTCGGACGGCCAGGAAGGCAAGTAATTAGCCCCAAGACACTATGGAGTCCCGTGTTCTAACAAGAGCAGCGGTTGTTCTACGCTGTTGAAAACCATATCTGGCGAGACTGAAGGCTTTTTTGTTGGCGCAGAATCTGATCTCAATTACCAAGGCATCCCCAAGGAGATTATGCACAAGGACTTCCGAGGAGAGTCCATCTACCAGGCAGAAGTCGATGTTCATTTCCCTCAACTGACCGTAGGTCAGACTTTGGACTTTGCTGCTCGGGCTCGGGTATGACGAAATTATTACCTATACGCTGTAGTCTGCGGTGGCTAACAGTGATTAGGCTCCTCGCAATCGCCTACCTGGCGTGACTCGAGATGTAAGTTTAGCTAGACCGATTTGGTTCCGATTCCAAGCAGCCCTTGCTCTAACCATGTATCCAGATGTATGCTAGCCATCTTAGAGATGTTGTTATGGCGATTTTCGGTCTTAGTCATACCAGGAATACGATGGTGCGTTTGCGGTTTAATCTTTGTACTTCACTCTTTACCTTCTAACGATAAACGCAGGTTGGTAATGACATGGTTCGAGGAGTCTCTGGCGGTGAAAGAAAGCGTGTTAGCATTGCAGAAGCGTAAGTTATCTCTGCCAGACGAAAACAGATATCCAAGTATCCTGCTGATTAGTCCGTTCAAGTGCAATCGCTGGAAGTCCTCTTCAATGCTGGGACAACTCGACAAGAGGGCTCGATAGCGCCACTGCTCTCGAGTTCGTAAGAACCTTGAGAACATCTACAGAACTTACCGGGGCCACCGCTATCGCCACACTATTCCAAACTTCTCAGTCAATATACAACGTTTGTATTCTTCTCTCCATCTTTAGAGTTCCTGTTCTAAGGTTACCCAGGTCTTTGACAAAGTTGCGGTGCTGTATGAAGGTCGCCAGATATACTTCGGCGATATCAACGCAGCCAAGGGATTCTTCGTCGACATGGGCTTTGAATGTCGACCACGACAAACAACAGGAGATTTCCTCACCTCTCTGACCAATCCAGCAGAACGACTGGTCCGCCCAGGTTTTGAGGGCACTACTCCTAGAACACCAGATGAATTTGCTGCTATATGGCAGAAAAGTCAAGATCGAGCTTTTTTACTCGAAGAAATTGATGCCTTTAACGCACAATATCCTATCGGTGGCCCCTCTCTTACTGAGTTCAGAGGGTCCCGAAAAGCTTCACAAGCAAGATCACAGTATATATTCTACCCTGTTCCCCCATTTTCGCTTATCTACCGTGTTCTAACCAACGATAGGCGTGCACAGTCACCATACACTCTCTCAGTGCCAATGCAGGTCAAACTATGCATGGGAAGAGGCTACCAAAGACTTTTGGGTGGCATGGACGTCACAATCACCAGTATTATATTCAATGCCATTCTGGCATTAGTTATTGGCAGCGTATTTTATAACCTACCAAACAACACGGCTACTCTATATAGTAAAGGGGCTTTGATCTTCTTCGCCGTCTTGTTGGCTGCCTTTGCAAGCGCCTTGGAGGTCTGCGGCTACTGTCCAGTTAGATGAGTTTCAGATGACTGACGTGAATAGATTCTAACCTTGTACGCCCAACGTCCGATTGTCGAGAAACAATCAAAATACGCCTTTTACCACCCCTTTACTGAATCAATTTGTCAGTCAACATACCCAAAGAGTTTCCTACTGAGGCTAACCAAAGTTGCTAGCATCGATGATTTGCGATTTGCCGAATAAGATTGGCACTTCCCTCGGGTTCAATCTTGCGTTATATTTCATGACCAACCTACGGCGCACCCCTGGCCATTTCTTTGTGTTTTTGCTATTTAGTTTTTCTTGCACACTAACAATGTCCATGTACTTTCGCTGCATCGCGGCACTTTCCCGTACATTTCCTCAGGTCAGAAATACTCAGGCAACTTACTGGTTTCAATAAGGTGCTGACTGTCTATTTAGGCTATGGCTCCGGCATCCATTTTCAGTCTGGCACTCGTCATCTATACCGGTTTCACGATCCCTGTCAATGACATGCATCCCTGGTTTCGGTGGCTCAACTATCTCAATCCAGTTGGATATGTCTTTGAATCCCTAATGATCAACGAGGTATACTAGAAAGACCAACTCTCATCTGTCCCAACTCTAACCTGGCCTAGTTCCACAACCGCAAAATTCCTTGCACCCGGTACATTCCTGATTATCCGGATGCTTCCCCGGACCAGAAGATCTGCACCACAACCGGAAGTTTAGCAGGGGCAGACTTTGTGGATGGAGACACCTATTTAGCCGTAAACTTCAACTACAGCGCTGACCACCTGTGGAGGTATGCACCGCGTGAATCTTTTCCAATTCTCTGAGATATAGATTAACAAATTGACGCAGAAATTTCGGCATCATTCTCGCGCTGATGCTGTTTGGCTGTGTCTGCTATCTAGTGGCTTCGGAGTATATTCTAGCCGAGAAGTCCAAAGGGGAAGTGTTGGTGTTCAAACGAGAACACATGCCTAAACTTCAGAGAAAATCTGATGAGGAAGGCAGGAGTGATGATAGACTCGACTCGCAGATTCTAAGTCAAGAGAAGGGTATTGTACTTCCTAGTGGCATTCAACAGCAGACGGCAGCGTTCCATTGGGACGGAGTTTCCTACACTATCAACGTTAATAAGGAAGACCGCCAACTTCTTAATGAGGTCGACGGGTGGGTAAGACCTGGAACACTGACTGCATTAATGGTAAGACCGCATTCGTTGTCCATCGCGAGTACAATTACTAACCGGATATAGGGAGTGACGGGTGCTGGAAAAACCACACTGCTTGATGTCCTTGCTAACCGAGTTACCATGGGCGTTGTCAGTGGCGAAATCTTGGTAGACGGCCACCTCAGAAATGGGGGATTTCAAGTAGGTCATTCTATTAATACAATCTTTAAGTATTGAAACTAACCACTTTTGCAATTTTAGAGAAAAACTGGTTACGTACAGCAGCAGGATTTGCATCTTCCCACTTCCACTATTAGGGAGGCGTTGACATTCAGTGCCCTTCTCCGCCAACCAAACTCAACCCCAAAGGCCGAGAAAATCGCCTACGTGGAAGAGGTTCTGAAGCTTCTCGAGATGGAGACGTATGCAGATGCTGTTATCGGAGTACCAGGAGAAGGTCTGTTCCCTTTTTGTGGTCATCATAAGGTGATTCTTTCTTGCTAATACCTGTCAAGGTCTAAATGTCGAACAAAGAAAGCGTCTCACTATTGCGGTTGAACTCGCTGCCAAACCTGCATTGTTACTCTTTCTTGACGAGCCAACTTCCGGTTAGTAGAATTTCTCTCCTTCCTGTGCGAGAAGATTTCTTCAGATAGGGAAAGACCATATTTCAAGGCCCCGTATTCTAAGTTTTCTACAGGTCTGGATAGTCAAACCGCTTGGTCTATTTGTACCTTGCTAAGAAAGCTTGCCAACAATGGGCAGGCCATTCTTTGCACACTCCATCAACCTTCGGCTCTTCTGTTCCAGGAATTCGATAACCTTCTCTTCCTTGCTATGGGAGGCAATACGCTTTACTTTGGAGAGATCGGCGAGTCATCAAAGACCTTGATAAACTACTTCGAACGCAACGGAGCTCGAAAATGCCTTCCGGACGAAAATCCAGCTGAGTGGATACTCGAAGTTACTACGGCGGCCCAAGAAGCAGAATCACCCAAGGATTGGCCAAGTGCCTGGAGAAACTCGGATGAGCGACAAGAGATCAAGGCCAAGCTTGCCCTCATGAAGGAAACCGGAGCGCAGCGACCAGTGTCTATCAATAGCAGCGAGCTCGAGCCATTCGCCAATCCGTTCAATATTCAGCTCAAGGCTGTTCTCGTCCGAGCCTATCAACAATATTGGCGCACCCCTTCATATCTATACTCCAAGGTTGCTCTTTGCCTGTTCAGTGTAAGTTCCTTTCCTATAAAAAAAATGTGTGAGCTTATACTGAACAAAATAGGCCCTTTTCATCGGATTTTCGTTCTGGAAAACCCCAAACACGCTTCAGGGGCTCCAAAACCAGATGTATGCGGTATTCATGCTGCTGACAATCTTTGTGAACTTTTGCACCCAAATCATGCCCCATTTTGTGACACAGCGTGCAATCTACGAGGCACGCGAGAGGCAATCCAAAACATACTCTTGGAAGGTGTTTATTCTCTCGAATATCGTCGTTGAGCTCTCATGGAACTCGCTCGTTTCGGTTCTCATCTTCTTCAGCTGGTATTACCCCATTGGGTTGCAACAGAATGCCTCAGAGGCAGGGCAGGTAGCCGAGCGAGGAGGTTTAATGTTCCTCTATATCTTAGAGTTCATCATCTTTGCCGGCACCTTCACACACATGGCTATTGCTGGTGTTGAGACAGAGGATGGGGCTGGTGCCATTATCAATCTTCTATTCTCGTTCTCCCTGGTTTTCTGCGGGTAAGCTCTCCTTCCTGCAAGCCATAAATATCGCAACCACTAACCGACAATTTAGTGTTCTGGCAACGCCCGAAGCTCTTCCAGGGTTTTGGATTTTCATGTACAGGGTCTCACCGTTTACTTATCTAGTCTCTGGCATTCTCTCAACTGGGCTCGCAAATGCGCGGATCAAGTGTTCATCAGAAGAACTATTACGCTTCTCTCCCCCGTCGTCATCAACCTGCTCTGAGTACCTCGCAGCTTACATACAAGACAACGGCGGTTATCTCGTGCCAGAGAGTGCGAATTCTACCAGTGAATGTGTTTTTTGTTCTGGCAGCGAGACCAACATATTCTTGAAGTCTGTGAGCTCAGATTATGATGATAGATGGAGGAACTTTGGCATCTTCTTAGTCTATATTGTCTTCAACATTGCAGCAGCAATTGGGTTTTACTGGCTTGCCAGGGTACCCAAGGGCAGGAAGGAGCCGGTCAGCAAGGCAGAGCAACAGAGGGCAGAGAAAAAGAAGTCTGCAAGCTCGCCAACGAGTGCTGGGAGCTCGTCAATGTCTATAGAGTAGGAAGATCGGATCCCAGGATCTAATCCTTGGAATGTCTTTCAAGATTGTTCACGCGTTACAACCAGAGTTGTTGTCGTCTCAATTGTATGAATAACTCACCTAATAATTTCACCTATCAATGTGTCAAGCACTTCTCATTATCATTGCCAAGATGCTATCATTGGAGGGTGTGCGAAGTAGAGACAGCTGAGCTGAGCTAAGAAAGAAAAAGAAAGAAAGATAACGACACGGGTCAGCGGGCAGGGGTCTGTGCTTCGTAGGATTGCATATGCAGTCATGCTTGTACATTAGGGGGACTTAAGTCCACGATCCCAGGACCAGCAGGTGTGTTGAGGGGTGGGCAGACTAAATAAATGTGCTCTATTCTGCGCAATATCCACGTTTCTCGTATTACAAAAGCGCATGTTTTTCAAGCCATTAGATCAAATGCCAAGAAACGGGCGTCGTCAACGTGCCAATCCAGATCTTCGGTGTTTATTGGCAATGGGCTGTTCTTCCCTTTCCGGAGATGTTCGAATGGATCGTGAGTTACGATGGAGCAAGAGCACCCCACGAGTTCAGCATGGATTGGGATAATACATACCGAGGTCCACCCTGTCTAGTATGTATAGATACGAAATGGTTCTGCTCTGCGACAGGATGAGCGTCCATTGCGTCCATTTGAGGCAGTATTGAGTTATGGCAGACGTTCACGCCCTTCCAAAGCTGCGGCCCCTTGGTAATAGAAACACTCAGCTCAGTCTAAACCAAAATACTCTAAACCAAATGCACTACTGATTTTTGTTAATCTATAGGCAAGCTCGAGCAAGTGTCGGCAACATGCCACCACCTCGGCTTCTACAACAATGTTGGTGTTTCTGCCCACTACACGCTCTCCGGAGGGTCCGTGGCCAGCCTTCGAGATCTCATTTATAGGGCATTAACCAATGTTATCCGTGACCACCGCATTCTTTCTGCATTTCCAGTTGATGAGGGGACTCCCGAATCATACTTCGCCTCGCTTCCATCGGTCAACCTTGATCGTGCTATTCAAATCTTGGAACGGGAAGCTCCTTTGGGTGAAGCAACGGAAAGCGAAGACAAGGAACTCGACGCCCTATTGCAGAGCTGGCATAATACCTCTTTCAAATCCGAGTACGGAACTTTACCTTTCTGGCGTTTGCTCGTATTGAAACCACCCGGCAAGGAGACCGATTTTACTGCCTCGTTCATCTTTCACCATGCAATTGGTGATGGACTCTCCGGCATCGTCTTTCACAGAGCATTTCAAGCCGCGTTGAATTCCTTCCAGGGAAAGTCTTTCGATGTGCCACCTGAACAATACATCGATTCCAACACTGGCTCACTCCTCCCACCTCTCGAGGATTTACATCCTTTACCAATAAATGAAAGCCCCGCTCCTCCCCCAGTGAACACAGCGCTCAAAGAATGGACAGGAGCTCAAATTCTCCCTCCTCCATGCCACACCAATTACAGGTCACTTTACATCTCACCACACCAGACCAAGGTTTTGAGCCAGGAGTCCAAGAAGAGGGGGGTGTCCATAACCGCTTCCATCTCCTCGACGATTGGTACCGTCCTCTTTAGTATCCTTCCACCAGATATCGAAGCGATCAAGTGCCTCGTTCCCGTCAGCTTGCGACCCTGGCTCAAGCTCCCAGGTGACACTGCTACCGACGCAATCGGGACGTACATCGACGCCTTCAAGGTTCAGCTCACACGTGACGACCTGGGTTCTGAGAGTCCACAGACATGGCACGTGGCTACGAAGGTATCACAGGGCATACATCATTACTTCCACGGGAATCTTTCGCCTTCGGGGGAACCTTACACAGAGGTTGCCATATTCAGAAATATTCCAGACCTTTCCGTCGTGTTCCAGTCCCTGATTGGCTCTGACCGCGCAGCTGCTTACGAAGTCTCAAACCTGGGGATCTTCTCCGGCTCTCGGAAGGCTGATGCCGGCTGCACCCTCGGATCGTGGGAAGTAGGCCGCGTGACCTTTAGCAGAAGCACCGTTGTCTCAGGGTGTGCGGTTACAATGAGTGTTGTCACCGGCGGTGATGGGGGGATGACCATCGGTTTCAGTTGGCAGCAGGGCGTGGTCGAGGATGATCTTGTGGAACGCCTCATTCACGGCGTTGCCACCGAGCTTGAGGCGTACGTCTAGTGATTTACGCCAATTCAAACCTATTACGAATTCATACGTATAGTGCTTAAAGATGCTCCAGGATGATATCATCAGCAGGATCTTTGTTGGTGCTTCCATTCCTGTCATCAATGAAAGGTTGCTAAGCTGAGGCAAAGACATTATTAGTCAGAGTAATCCAATGTCACACGCTGTGAGTTGTCGAACACAGTGGCATACGCAATCCTTTTCCATGCATGCTATCTTACGTAGGCATTGATGTGACACGTGGTTTGGGTGTGCAACACGGGACTTTGAAGGCTTTTTGGTCTCACATCTCCTCATTTGAGGGTTTCAAGACGCGTGGCTGTGCTTGTTCTATTGTAAGACTTAGCCCACAGATTTGATCGTCCCGTGACTTGTGAATTGTTATCTGGCTGACAGCTTGTGCATGCAACACATGAAACGTATGCTTATCTTACTCAAGTGTTATCCTTGGATCTACTTGTAATACCTAAGCTGATAGCCAGCTACTTGTCTATCAATTAACTGAATTTTGAAACGACAGAATCTGAAACTCTAGAAGCTGTTTCTAGTTGGTGTAAATGAAGAATCTTAGAATATCTTGTCAAGAATTAGCCTTACATACCACATGGATGATTATCAGTCCTATTTTCGCTATAACTCATCCGCTAGCATAACTATTTTTTGCCTTTCGTTTTCATTGTGTTGAGACGTCGGTTCTGGCATCTTTCATTGCTGTTTTTAACTTTATACTCGAACTCTCTCACCCGTATCCACTGGCATAACTCTGTTGATTAACAAATACACTGATTCCTCTCCTTTTCCTATTTCAAAGACGTTCTTCCCGGTCTAAGCAAATAGAGAATATACCTGATCAATCCTCTTAACTGAAATTCTTTCATGCCCCCGCCACTGGATTTAGTTTTTCCGACTAGTGATACATAATATTGAGCAATTTGTTTCTTTCCCTCCTCGATGCTCAAGGCTTCCTCTTTCCTACGAATACAATTTTATTGTGAAAAGAATGCCAGTGAGCTATCTCTATCTTCTTTCAGAATTCAACCTAAAGCTTAACAGCCGCCGCATTCTCGATTTCACCCTCAAAAGGTCTTCGCTTTTCCTTCATTCTTAACGGCATAGCTGCCTGGTAGGACAGGACACCAATCTCTTCATGTGCATCTTATCTTGATGCACCAGGCACATTTTGGTCAGACCACAGTCTCGATAGATCATCCCCCGAAAGAGATCCTTTCAGGTTCAGGGGGCAAAAACATCTCCCTTTATTACCTCAATGGTGAGTTGATAAGCCCTAGGGTTGAAAATAGTCGACTACACACAAAGATATCCAGGATATCCTAAGACATCCGTCTCATATCTAAAAGTTTAAGTATCAAAAACCCTATTAAATATTTCAAAAGTGAGGAGAAGAAACCATTTTCCCACTTTTCGAGTGAATGATGAATGTGAGCCGAGAAGAGAATTCATGGCCGTACACAGATCCCCCCCAAGAGTAAGGTCAATTTCAAAGCGGCCTGATTTTATGTTTTAGCTCAACAACCCACTTACTTCAAACATTCGGATCACTCTCAACTGTGATTCCAGGAACTAAAGCTATTTCCAAGGCCCTGTGTACCGAAAATCACACTTGCCAATAACGGGCGACTTTTTCATTTGAGCAGAGAACATTGGCAGCTTCAAAAACAAAAAGTTTAGCTCACTATTCTAGGATGAAACGAAGAGAAATCTAACAACCCCCATTCATTCTGTTTCATCCGTTTTTTTTAACTCTCTGACTGATTCACAATCTGACCGCTTTGATGACACGCTCGGAACGAGCTTATTTGAGCAGATATCTGCATGGTTGTGGAGCCTCCAAGATTTCTCAGCCCGGCTTACTCTGCGTTGTGATAATCGTCCTCTATCCTTCTCTTCTTCAAGTAATGAGCAAATGGAATTACTATCCTTGCTCCCGGCATATAAGTAATTGACAACCTAGTTCAGCATACGACGATGTCGACAAATCCATATCCGTACTCCAAAGCAGCAGAGCTTGATCCTAGGATCAATGCTCCGCGCCCAAAAATAGACACAAGCCTTGTTGCAATTGTCGATGCCTTTCCTCTTCCTGAGAAGCTGGAACTTGGGTTTATGAGAGGCGTGTCGGGTGGGGGCGATGAGGCAGCTGCGTTTGTCTGCAATGCGGACACGGTTATTCAGAGTGCACCGCAGCTAAAACATGAAGAGCGTTCTATCCGTGGACCAAGCGGCGACAATCTCTTGTTATCGGTATTTTCTCCGGTCGATCCCACGGCCTCTGCTCTCCCATGCCTTTATCATATACATGGAGGTGGGATGGTGGCTGGCGATCGTTTCAGCGGTGTCACCCAGCTGATCGAGCTCCTCGGGCACGTCGAATGCGTGGTAGTGTCCGTTGAATATCGTCTCTCCCCGGAGACTCGGGCACCTGGGCCAGCAGAGGATTGCTACGCTGGACTTGTCTGGCTATCTGAGAATGCCTCCACCTTGGGCATCAGCGAGTCAGAGATTGTTGTGTGGGGGATATCTGGTGGTGGCTGTCTGGCAGCTGCCACATGCCTGATGGCGCGTGATAGGAAGGTCCCGACGATTCCCATCAAGGGCCAGATGTTACTGTCTCCGATGCTGGACGACCGCTGCGAGAGCATATCTGACAAGCAGTTTGAATACGGCATCCCATGGTGTGGAGTCACGAACCGCATGGCGTGGGAATGTGTACTGGGAGAGGAGCGCGGCAGTGCCAATATAACCCCATATCAGTCTCCATCACGAGCAACAGATCTTTCAAACCTTCCTCCCACATACGTGGACGCAGCCGAATGTGAGGTATTTCGTGATCAAGCAGTCAAGTTTGCAACGGACTTGTGGAGAGGCGGCTCAACGTGCGAACTTCATGTCTGGCCAGGAGCCTTCCATTTATTTGACGGGATGGATAATCCAGATGTCCCGCTTATCCATAATGCATTCTTGTCGAAACAAAACTGGTTGAGAAGGATTATGGGGTCACGTTCAGCTTGATATTGGATTACCACACCTTAGTCTACAGAATTATGATGCCAACCTCATAGATATCATAGGGGATAATCATTAGAATGATCGTTCTCTTTCTCAGTTTCCAGAATCTTTGCGAAATCACCCGTCAAAGCACTCAACAGAAGCGCGTCTTCTATCAAAAGCTGAGCTCTCGATCCAGAGCCTATTCTTTCTTCACTCGATTCTTCTGAGCCTGTAAGCGCTTTTAGGTCATATTTATCAGGAGCATCGTCAATGATCGATAATTAGCAAGATAAATGAATAAGGACTAAAGAAAACAAAAAGCTTACACGTGCAAGAGTACAAGGGTGATGATTGAAAATTGAAGAAGATGTCGTCAAGATCTAGTCCAGTAAGCGAGATGGCTTCACTAGAGACACTAGAGATCCTAATACACAAATCGAAACCTACCGAAACAAGCGGGCCGTACACAAAAGAGTTTATTTTGAAGATATGACCAAACGGTCCAAAGAAGGCCAGGCTTGAGAGAGAAGCAAGGCAACTGAGGTCAAGCGATGAAGACTAAAGCCTAACGGTGTCTATCTGTGATAACAGTTTGGGACTTATAGATTAGGAAACTAGGTACTCAATTGTCCTCATCAACAAGCTGGCTACTGAAAACATATCTCTTCTACGATGAGATACTAAGCCGCGTGTGTGTGGTTTTCAGCTCGTTATCATCCTAACTACTCTCCTAAAATGGAAGGTTCACATTGAAAAGACAATTTATTTTTAATTTAGCCCGAGCTATCCGAAGAAAACGGAACCCTTTGTTTGGAACTTCCGAACCATTGGTCGTTCCCTTTGACTATTTAAGGAACTTATAATCATCTTTTTTTCTTCGCTTCGAGTCAACGGCAAACCACGCTGGAGCTTGGCGGTGTCATATTCCTTAAGTCGAATTCCCTGGATGACAATGAAGCCTGTTGTGTCGCTTACCTAGAAGAGGCTTCAAGATAACCAGTGACAGTCTGGCCAGCCTCTACCTCAAACTTCACAGCCTTGCCTTCCCTGAACGTGATGGAGAATTTGGTTGGGACATCAGGTGCGTTGAGCGGGTCTAGAGATCAGTTAGATTCTGACATAAAATCAAGCTAGTGTCGAAGAGAAATGGAAAGTCTACGTACCAACAGGTCGGGTCCAGACATCTTTGGGGGCAGGCGTATCTGGCTTCTCGAGAATGCCACCTATCAATCTATTAGTTCCCTATCGTTTGAAATTTAGGGGTGCTAGATAATCACGGATAAAAAACTCTAATGGCTGCAGTGTTAGGCTATCTAAGAAATGTCAGAAAAGATGATACTTGGATTTTTTTTGACCCAGGATCTTGCCATCTTGAGATCACCCATGGAGCCTTGGGGGTATATGAGACTGGGATATTGTTCTCAGCCGCGGACTTGGGGGGATCCTGTCGACATCTGATCGTATTAGGATCTGCTAAATACGAATTAGACAAGCAATCTTACTAGAACTTCTAGCCGAAGTCCTCCAAGCATCAGGGAGAAACTCTGGGGAAATGTCAGTGCCCCGATACATTTACAAGGCAAGATTCATACCAGAGCCAACGCTTGATAGGCAAGTTCGAAGCTAATTTGATCATTTCTATATGGTGTTCAGAATGCTAGACTCGAGAGGTGGAGGATGATAAGAAGGATGAAGGAAACTACCTTGCTAGCTCTTGAGTCACGGTTGGCGTTGCGTCTGGCAAGACTTTAAGGGCGTGGTCGGCACCCTCTCGCCACCAGCAAAAGATGAATTCCAAAATAAGGTAAAAGCATGACTTTTCTCAACTCAAGCCAAAAGCCATGGCTTGTCAAAGGACACCGAAATGAATCTCGCACACGTTTGGCGAAGCGGGGTGGACATTGCGATCACACTCAACTAGGGTCTACATACCATCCGTGGCTCAAGCGTTTGCGCTAATATTGCTTTGCTACAGCTACCTGCGCAGCGGCAATGCAGGGCCTTGCTATACTTGTCCCAAGTAAATCGCGTTTATCATAGATAGTTCCGCCTATTGCTTCAGCCAGTCATCAAGATCGAGGTAGTGTGCAAGGGGAACGCAGTAGGGGCTCCAACTCAACAGTCAAAGGGAAAGGACATACACTGGATTGCCGGGTAGATATAGTTGGAAACAAGCTTCTGCTGCAGGTTTGAATAATCATACGCTCCTCCCCTAACTGGTGTGCTTTCTGCTCAACTGCTGCAAAATCTTCTGTTTGTCCGCAATCGGCAAGGAACACCTACCGGTAGGTGGCAGATTAGTGAAAGTTCAAGCACAACGGGGCAGAAATGAACATACAACGACGGTATATACCTTCCACAAGAGTTTCGCTAAGTTTATATATCTAACGCCGCGCGGATGACGAGTTCAACGTGAAAAGGGGCTGAGTGAAAGGAGGCTCAGTCAGATACTCTAATCAAACCTTCCAAAAAGCGGGTTACGATGATGGAAAGAAAGACAGGAAGCATATTTGTACAAACCTATTCAGTCGCAAGAAACGCATAGGAAGAAAGAAAAACCTTTTCATCAAACTTCAGGAGCCATTGCTGCCCTTCCACTCCGGGCAAGCGAGTAGAACCACCACAGCTTGGAGGTGGTCAGGGCAATGTCAGGCTGGCTTCTGCTTAGACAGGTCAAGACTTATCCTGACCAGAGCTCCATTATTCAAGGGCCCAACCAGAACTGGACGAATAGCGCCGCTGTGGGTATCAGAGGCGACATGGGGATGAAGGAAAGGGTCTGGTATCAAGGTAGTTCCAAAAAGGTTAGCCAACAGAATTTGGCCCTTCAATTGACGTCTCCTACATGGAAGAGCAAATCTAGGCAAACAATCTTAGTGAAATAAGAAGAAATTATGTTTTTACTTCTCATATCTTGCATTAGACGGTGATGCTTTCTAGCCAAGGAGAGGGCTATGATGTTGGCTACTTCACATAGCCTACACTGCATCAAGCCGCAGCTCCCGGGCGGTTGTTGTGGTATGCTCTTCTGTGTTAACTTTATCTGCTGCAGCCATTTCCACATTTCTCCTCTCCGGGCGGCTCCCCAGCGGATACTTCATCCAATTAACCACATATCATTAAACAGGAACTCGTCTGTGAGACAAAGCGTCTCGGTGATACCTGGGATGTGGCGTTCCAGATCTTGTTGAGTGTCTTCTATTCCAGAAAGAGTCATAAATGGCACAGCAAGATGGCCCAGTCGTCCAAAGCTACGCAGACCGTCCCATGACCCTGAGGTGGTAATATCAAGTTCATCGTTGTTGAGCCACACCGAAAGTGGAATGTCTCCAATATGTCTCTAAGGGGTAACAAGGCCCCGATAATATGGTCATAATCTATAAGATCGTCATCTTCAAGCGAGTCGTGAGAACCATATTTCCAATTCCAGACCCGTGATTTCAAGTTCCGCAGTTTAGCAAGAATTTCTGCCGGGCAGCTTGGATAAACCTATTCCACCTCAAGCGATATTAGATGATCAAGATCGGGCTCCCCTGCTGACCTCGAACCTTGCGATAGCTTCTGGCACTTCTATAAATAAATAAAGATCATCCCCTATTTCGATAGAGCTTGCCTTATTTCCCTAGCTCAGCTTCAGTTGTGTTCATGCTATCTAGAGAGCCGCTAATAAGGCTCTGTAATTCCTCATCTGAACCGTCATCCACGAGTTTCTGCTGATAATCCTGCAGGTACTTCTTCCACCTCGACCATAAGTCTAGCTCGAAAATCTCCTTGAGGTGCTTGCGACGCCGCTGGATATCGGTCCAGATCTTCTTAGGCGCATGAATCAACCACATACAGGCCACCACCACGTCCTGCCTTATTACGTCTTCTTCGAACAGTTGTGTTAAGTGGCCATGGTTCCAGCCAGTCTGCTCGAAAAGGCGCCAGAATTTGGCCTCTGAGAGCTGGGCGTAGAAGGCTACTAAATTTCCCCAGTCAAGATTTTTCAGTGTTTCTTCGGGATCAATACCAGCTGAAAGATGGTTAGACGATGGTCCCTTCACCTCTCTTTCTTTCTTTGGTCAAGTGTACTTACGACCTTTCAGCCATTCTTCAGCTAGGTTTATAGAGAATCTAGGCATGCCCGACCAAAATGGTATCATATCAACACCATCTCTGAGGAACAGCACTCCCTCCCCTGTCGGATCAGGCACGGTGGTATTCCCTAGGCGAACAGTAAAATCAACAAGCTTGGATTGCTGATCGTGTGGTATACGCTTTGCCAACGCAACTAGAATGGCAGACACGAGATCCGCGTGCGCGTATAGCGCGTCAGCCGCGGCCTCTACACTAGCTACTCTAGTTAGGGAGACGATTTCATCTACCGCGCTTGCTGTGGGGAAATCATCTTGGGTGACCATCCTGAGGAGGATCTCGCGCGGTGGACATTGCTCAATCTATTGTGGCCTGGTCAGTCTTCTTCCTCTCCACAGAAAGTTTGGGAGCAGGTATACAAAATCATCAATAGAAATTGCCGGCTTTGGCGCCTGGCTTTCGGAGGTTGCAGACATTAGAGGTCTTGTCCCTGGCAGACGAACACAGAAACCCAGGATCAGACCAATAACTCCGATAGGAAATCTTGAAAGCTAAGCCATTATGAAATATGTATGATAGAGAGCGTGAATAGTGTAAAGAATGTGATGTATATGAAAGATAGAAGAGAGAGAATCAGATGTAGGTAGACACGGTGAGGAGTCATACACGCATCGACCAACTGAAGATGAGAAATCGGCCTGAGCATGCTGCCTTGCCCACCTGATTTCGTGGAATCGCGCGCGTTCGAAGTGTCCAAAAGGGTTCAGAAAATAATTTCATCAAGTCGATTCAAAAGTTGCGAGGTTGCTAGGCCATTTCCTAGTTCCCCGAATGCCGTGTGAACAGGTGATGGTTGGGTTGTACATAAAACCATGCTTGGTTACCCGATAATCAGGTCTTCGCATATTTTGGTTCAAATATGATAAATATTAGAAGTGTATAAGGGTCGCAGCGCCACGCGCTAGGGGGGGTTTCTAGAGCAGTCGGCATCGTCATCGACGAGACAATTCACACAGGGCCAGCCATCCATTGAGTTCTACCGGTCTGGTGGATTACTATTTGATTCTCCTTCATTTCCAGAGGTCTGTAGAAATTCTCCCCAGGCCGGCGACGCAGGTACAGAACGCAGCGCCCGAGCCACCACAGCTTTCACGTTGTCATCCCGCCATCGAGGCTTCTGAGCTCCCTGGCCGGCCAAGCTGTGGCATGAAATCATACGCGTATGTTCCATGCGACATCTTCCCTCAGTTGCGGTTCCGCAAATGGTTAGATATGTTTCGCCACCTATTACACGTGCTCTTACAATGTATCATCCCGGAAGGGCAATGGGGTGCCTCGAGTTTGGCTTCAGGACCTGGTTTCAATTGATGTTAGTTGCTGCCGGTATTCACACAGAAAGTACCGTGATAATTGCCGTGTTCAGCCTCAGTTCAATCAAGAGCCCCTACTCACAAGTATAAGTATCTCAAAGAATATATCGCTTCTGCTCTATGTCGATGACATCCATTTCTATGATCCAAGGCTTCGCTTCCGCGTCGGAGGCACGTGGCGGCCATCGTGGAGGATGCGCGACTACGCATTTTGAGGTACCTAGAAATGAAAGAATCACTCACGATCAAAAAATTTGTGAATAATATCAAAGCACAGATATTTCATGCCATGGAATAGAGTTCAAATGAGGGTCGCCCAATGGATTGTTTGCGGGATGATAAAGGAAGTGTAAGTAGTCCTCTCACGTACATCTAAGCGCACAATATGCTCGTTTAGGAGCAGCCTACAATTTTTGCCAGTCCTACAACCCAAATTTCAAAAGATTCATAGCGTTTATTTCAATAAAACTGGTTCAAATGCAATAATTTCCTAATACGTAACTAAAAAGGCATAAGGCTATTTATGTGAAATTCAAGTGTTCGACCTCGGCCGTGGTCTCGATGTGGCTACCCTATAGCCATGATCCATCTCCTCAAACATGCAAGATGAAAGCACATTCCATCATAGATCCCAAATCTGAATGCTCGGGATATATATTTTAATTTCTTTTTACTCTAGAATTGTACTTTATTAAATCACACGTTGTGTCGTAGCGATACCAGTGATTGTCTTCAACGTGACCTTGAACTCGATGACGGCCAACCTGTAAAGAGAGAAGCCATTGAGGTACATGGCTACGCGATTCCCACCATATCGGGCCGTATGTTCCTGGCTATTACTGATACCTTAAATAATGATAAGGTGCCGAGAGTGCCTAGCTGCTAGTGCCGAGTAGGCCGTGCTCTGTCATAACTTACCTATGCGATCATCAATTGCCATGCGCTATCAAGCTTGATTGGGTTTCGGCATCGACGGAGCCGACGTCATCGATCAAGACACACAACTCCCATACGGCATCTTCGCGCCGGCCACGGAATGGCGCAAAATAAAAGGCAGGGCAGACTTCCTCTAGTCTACACATCGTTTTCCTACGTTTATTCCTCCTATCTAGATATTTAGGCCCAGAGACGGGTTTCGTATTCCGCGAGAATGGCACCAAATGAGCTTCCCACCTTTGTATTCGGCGATTATGTCAAGTTCTTTGGAGCCGGTGCCCTCGCGGCAACCTCAACGCACGCTGTAGGTTTTGATCCTCTGCGCTTCGACACTGCACGGCTCTTCTCGTCCAGGGACTGACTATGATCGTTTATCCTTAGGCGGCGACACCAATTGATGTCGTCAAGACCCGTATCCAGGTTGACGATGCCCTAAAAGGCTACAACATGGTCCGGGCAGCTCGCCAAATCGTCTCGAAAGAAGGCACGGCGGCACTGCTCACGGGCTTTGGGCCAACCGCGATGGGTTACCTCGCCCAGGGCGGCGCCAAGTTCGCCGGCTACGAATTCTTCAAGAAGCAGTACATCTCGCTGGCGGGCGGGATCGACAAGGCCGTCGACCGCCGAACGGCCATATACCTGGGGGCCAGTGCCACGGCCGAGTTCTTCGCCGACATCCTGCTCTGCCCGCTCGAGGCCACCAGGATCCGCCTCGTGTCGCAGCGCGGGTACGCCAGCGGCCTGACGAGTGGCTTCGCCCGCATGGCACGGGAGGAGGGCTTGAGGGGATTCTACTCCGGGTTCGTCCCTCTGCTGTTCAAGCAGGTCCCCTTCGCGGTGGGCCAGTTCTCCGTACACGAGGCCATGAACGAGGTGATATTCCGAGCCATGGGCCCGGAGCGAAAGGCCAAGCTTAGCAAACTCGAGTCTACGGGGGTTGAGCTCACATCCGGCCTCGCTGCGGGCGCCGCGGCCGCTGTGCTGTCACATCCCGCCGACACGCTCCTCTCGGCTATCAATAAGGGCGCCGGGGATCCGAAACAGGGAGCGACAAGTCGCATGTTCCAGCTTGCGCGGGAGTTTGGACCCAAGAAGCTGTTAACATCTGGCCTCGGGCCACGATTGGTAAGACACCATATCCATCTTTACCCTGGTGAGGAATGCTAAGCGGTTTAGGTGATGACATGCGGGCTTGTATCTGGCCAGTTCGTGATATACGCCCAGTGCAAGGCGTTGACAGGCGCCCCCGAGAGCATCGAGATACACAAAGAATCATCGTTGTAGAAATGCTTAGATGGGTAGAAGGGCGGATGGATATGCCGGCCTCAGGTACCGAAAACTCCATTCGACAACCTGGAAGGCACGCCAGAGGGACGGGTACCCCAGTAGCTGCCCGGTAGGCACCTGCGAATGGAAGGTTGAGCACTGATGGGCAAGACTTTAGTGGAGGGGAGGAGCATTTCGCGGCCCACACTTCAGGACGGTCAATTTTCCCCTATAGATTTGAAATTTGGCTTGGCCTCTAGGATTCTAGAATTTACAGTGTCCCATAGGCTCTGGGAGGGAGTAATTTAATGAATGGAATAAATGCCCCGAAGTCTGCACATGAACTTTGTAATTTCGCATAGCCTGCTGGTGTAATCCTTCGTGGATAATAATAGCTCAGGAGGGCAATCCTCCTTAGTAATACCGAACCGGCTGACCGGGGCTCCCAGTCATCCCTGAAGCAGTCCAACAGAACACATTGCTATAGATCTTCCAGTGCGATGGGCATGCTCCATACCCGTTCTTAAAATAGAAGAGACTTCGGGCGCCAGCATTGGCTGAGTGCGACTATTCGTGCATCGAGTGAGTGTTCATGCATATTATCTTTTGCGGAGTAGATGCAAAGTGCCTATTTGATGTTGCTTCCAATGTGGCTGTGATTGCCAAAAGGGAGCTGCCCGGGCCAGGAAGCTGGGTGCATCTCACACCCTCGCGATTTTGGGGTGTTTTCTGCATGTCTGTGCGTGCCATGAGAAAAAGCCAGAGGAGAGAGCGGAAAAAGAGAATTCAAGTACAGCGTGGCCTTCTCCAGACTTTGCCGAAAGCAGTAGCTTCTCGCATGGGCACATCCTGATCAAGAACCACCCGCCAATAAAACCAGCGGCCGTTTGGATGCCATCATCTCAACCAACAGGCATCATGTTGTAACTCTGACCCACTGCATCTTACGGCTTAGCCAGCTGAGGTGCAGCTCGCCTTATTATGGGACATGGAGTCGGACACCACTTAGTCAGGATCTAGCGGGAACAAGTACCCGGCCGTTCTGCCTCACTAGCTCGACATCTGGAAGCATGAGCCTGGAGGAGGTGGTATCGTCGCTGACACCAGAGGGCCCAAGACCTACTGCATAACTACAGGATCGTACATCGAGGTGAGCCTACAGGCAATGATCACCATGCGCCTGGATTACGTACGCGAGCGCTATCGCTTGTCAATGGCACACTGTCCCCCCCTAAGTCGTCAAAATGCGAAGGGACATTGGGACCGAAGATGCCGTTGCTTGCTCCATGTACCAACGACGATCAATTCCAGGTCTGCCATGTAGGTACCTTGGTTGCTGACAGCGTTGGAGATGGATGGTGGGAGTAGATGCGATAGAAGTCTTCGCGATATCGAAGGGGGAAAAAAGCCAACATGAGATTAAAATAAATGGTTTCATTGAGATGAGTGACGGTATTCGAAGCAAGCGATTGGGCTCATGCCGAACGTTGCGGTCGAAGTACTCTGGCAAGGAACCTTGGCGGCAGGCCGTCAGCATCGCGTACCAGGGAAACGCGCCAAACTTGTGCCTATTTTTGATCATCGGGGAGAGGTACATTGCCTACAGGGCTTCTGCCCACTGATAGCCAGGTAATGAGGCCTGCTGGGGCTAAGTTTCCATCGTTTCAAAAGCAATGGGTGGGGAAGTACCTCCAACTGACAGATCAGCACTGCAACTCAATGTTTAGTTAGCACTGAGCCAGCGAGCCACAGGCCGCCTGCACTCTCAGCCACGCTCCTCTGGCTTACCCCCAGGAACCCCTAGAATAATACTTAAGTGTCCATCCTGCTGCCGCACCCATATGTGGTCTTTTTGCATCCCCGACCAAACCTCTCTACACCCATCATGAGGTTTTCTTCCATCCTAGCCCTCGCGGGCTTCACTGCCCTGTCCCAAGCCGCAATCGAGAGGCGAGATTACGACAGCAACGACTTCTACGTCCTCCAGCTCCGTGGAGTCAACCCCGAGGTCGTCGCCACTCGCCTGGGCCTTGAACACCGTGGCACCCTCGGGAGCCTCGACGACCATCACATTTTCCGCGCGCCCCTATCGGAAGACGACGTTGTCGGCGACCACCTGAAGAAGCGAAAGCTGACGAAGCGCTCACAAGGCGGCATCGACGATGTTCTAGACAACATTCTCTACGCCGAGAAGCAGAAGCGTCGCGAAGGCCACCTGCAGAAGCGAGTCATCCCTCGGCGCGAGGGCCCCTTTGATACTCGCGGCGGAGCCCTGCAGGAGAACGAAGAGGCTATCAAGAAGCAAGATTCCGTCATCCACGACCTACATATTTCCGACCCTATATTTCGGAACCAATGGCATCTGCTCAACACAATCCAGCCCGGCCACGACATCAACGTGACCCCCGTCTGGAAGCAGGGCGTCACTGGCCACAACGTAACAGTTGCGGTCATTGATGACGGTCTCGATATGGACAGCAGAGATTTGAAAGATAATTACTTTGCCAAGGGCTCCTGGGACTTCAACCGTCACCAGCCTCACCCCCGGCCTCAGGGTACCAGAGATAAGCATGGTACTCGTTGCGCGGGCGAGATATCCGCTGGCCGAAACGATGTCTGCGGTCTCGGTGTCGCCTACGAGGCTAGAATCGCTGGTCTTCAGATGCTCAGTGGCCCGCTCACTAATGCTGACGAGGCCGAGGCTGTCATGTACGAGAACCAGGAGAACGAGATTTACTCGTGCTCCTGGGGACCTTCTGATGACGGTAAGACCATGGAGGCTCCCTCTATCCTCATCAAGAGGGCAATGGTCAAGTCTATCCAGGACGGTCGAGACAAGAAGGGCTCCATCTACGTCTTTGCCAGTGGAAACGGAGCCGGACACGGCGACAACTGCAACTTTGACGGCTACACCAACTCCATCTACAGTATCACTGTCGGCGCTGTTGACCGTGAAGGCCACCACCCCTACTACTCCGAGCTTTGCTCTGCGACCCTCATTGTTGCCTACAGCAGTGGTGCCGGAGCTCATATTGTGAGTTGAACACACCCTTGCTCGCCGCCGGCCTCCCCCCCCAGATTTACGCGAAATGCTAACACCGTCATCGTTATAGCACACCACGGACGTCGGCGAAGATCAATGCACCAATCACCACGGTGGTACATCTGCTGCTGCCCCTCTCGCTGCAGGCGTGTTCGCACTTGTTCTGCAGACCCGCCCAGACTTGACATGGAGAGATATGCAATATCTTGCCCTGAATGCCGCGCAGCCTATCCACCCCATCGATAACGAGCAGTACGAGGTTCAGACGACCGCCATTGGCAAGAAGTTCAGCCACACTTTTGCGTACGGAAAGCTTGATGCCGAGAAGATCGTGGCCCTTGCCAAGGACTGGAAGCTCGTCAAGCCCCAGGCGTGGTTCTACTCTCCATGGCAGCACGTGAAGCAGGACCTTCCCCAAGGTGATGAGGGTCTAGTTGTCTCTTTTGAGGTTACCAAGGACATGCTCAAGAACGCCAACTTCGAGCGCGTTGAGCATGTCACTGTCACAATGAACGTCGAGCACACTCGCCGTGGTGATCTGAGCGTCGACTTGATCAGCCCTCACGGAGTTGTCAGCCACATCGCTGTCACCCGTGAGCGTGACGAGGCTCGCGCTGGATACAAGGACTGGACCTTTATGAGTGTTGCTCACTGGTGAGTTATTTGCCCGCGTCTACTTGTAATTTAGAAAGCTAATGGTTTTGATTTAGGGGTGAATCTGGCGTTGGCAAGTGGACTCTTATTCTCCGGGACTCCATCGTCAACGACGACACTGGACATTTCGTTGACTGGCACCTGAAGCTCTGGGGTGAGGCCATTGACGGCAAGAAGCAGAAGCTCCTGCCTCTTCCCGAAGCCACCGACGATGATGACCATGACAAGGTCGTTGAGACGGCCAAGGTTTCCACTGCCACCGGCCTTCCTCCTGCTACTGCAACCGAGCACAAGACTGTCCCTACCGACCACATCCAGCGACCTACCAAGCCAGGTTCGGACAACACGAAGCCTACATCTACCACCACTAGCACACCCGAATCGGCCACCACATCGCCCTCTTCCTGGATCTCCTGGCTCCCCAACTTCGGCGCCTCTAAGACGGCCCAGATCTGGATCTACGGCGCCATCGGCCTGATCCTCGTCTTCTGCTGCGGCCTCGGCGCCTACTTCGTCGCCCGCCGCCGCCGCCTGCAGAGCGACTCCCGCAACAACTACGAGTTCGAGATGCTCAACGACGAGGAGGCCGACGGTCTCACCGAAGAGGACGCCGAGAAGGCCGCCGCAGCCAAAAAGGCCCGTCGCACCCGCGGCGGCGAGCTCTATGACGCGTTCGCCGGCGAGAGCGACGAGGAGGACAACTTCGAGCGCTACACCGACCGCACCCAGAACCAGCAGGCCGGCTCCTCGTCGGAGCGCCTGCCCGGCGAGCGCGGCGGGGACCAGTTCGCCCTGGGCGGCGACGACGACGACAGCGACGATGACGAGAGCCATAACGAGAAGCCCAAGACCCCAAAGCCCGCTCAGCCGGCGCCGTAAACGGGGAGTGGCGACAGTGTACCATTTTTTCCAACCTGCACATTGCTTCTTCCTTCTTCCACACACATTTTTTCCCCCATACCGTTTTCCTTGAATCTATTTTAGTTTTTTCTACCACTGGAGTTTAATCCCACACGACATTGGTTAAATGTATTCTTATAGTTGGGTAGCATAGCAAAAAGGGTAGACGGCTTTTTTTTTCAGTATATTTTTGCTTTTCATCATAAATGACAAAAGATTTTCCAAAACTTGCACATCTTCATCTTAATGACATGGTTTCAAGTGTGTGAGTGTGAGAAAAGGTGGAAAATATTGTTCAAATTTGAATTTGGGATCTCTACAACCACTGCGCCGTCAACGCCACTCCAACAAGGTTAAGCTAAGGTAAGGATGTATATATACGCCGTAATGTATCTCGCGTGATAATCAACGAAAGCAGCACAGCTCGGATGTTTCTATTGAGCTCGCGCGGTGGCCATCTGCTCCTCCATTTCCCTGGCATACCTCTCCCAGACCTCTGCGGCCTCGCCGTAGAAGGCAATGTGGGCGTCTGCCAGGCCGCCCAGCTGGCTCTTGAACTCGACACGCTTGATGCGCTCGAAGTCGGCTACTTCGCGGACGACCTCCTCGTCGAAGAGGTCGGTTGTCGCGCGCGCCCTCTCCACCTCGGCCGTGAGTTCCTCGACGCGGAGCTCCAGCTTGCGGGCTCGCTCGCGGCGGGCCTGTTCGTGGTCCACGCCGCGGACGTCCTCGATCTTGTTCCTCAGGAAGCCGCTAGCTCCGGACGCGCCGCCGCCGTAGCCTCCGTGGCCCTGGAGGGAGTCCCGCTCGATGGTTGACTTGTTGAGGTACTCGATGAGCTGCTCGTGGTCGAGTTGTTTCTGTTCGCGGGCCTTGAGGAGCTGCTTGAGCGACTGGCTGTATGCTTGCATGTCTCGGAGGGATCCGAGGTAGTCCTGGTCGGTGACCTCACGGAGACGGCGGAGGTTGGTGGCCGAGTCCTCAACGCTGGCGGCGAAGCCATGGACGGCAGGCTCGACACCCGGCTCAAGGGTGATGAGCTTCTGAAACTGCTCGGCAAGGTCTCGAAGATCCGTCTCGAGGTCTGCCTCCCGGCGGGCTACCCTGGCAACCACCTTTTCAATGTTGGCCAAATCCTCGTCCAGCTTGTCGCTCTTTTCCCTGACCTCAAGGAACCGCCTGTCAGGCTTGTGGACCTTGGTGAAGGCATTGATGAAGGTGTCTGCGAAGTTGTCAAACACGCCCCCAGTGCCGCCGGCAGTGTCGCTCGAGCTACTACCCCGCGCATTCCGGCTTCGCATTGTGGCGTTCCAGTCTGGGCTCTCCAGAAAGTTATGCAGGATCGGCGCCCGTCGGAGGGTGGGGTGGAGGCTGAGGCGGACGAGGAATCGCTGGAGCGAGTTCGCGCGGCGGGATGTGAAGTCTGAGCCGAAACGGTCGCCGCGGACATATTCCATTCGCTGCTTGTCGGGGATGGGAGGCACGGCGGCGGCTGGGTAGTCTCGTACTAGCTGCTTGTAGAGAAAGACGAAGTCTGTGAATCGGCGGCGGACAGTGGTGTGGTCTTTCTGGAAAGATTGGAAGGTGGACTGGGGTGATGTCAGTGCCTATTGAGCGAGGAGGGGGGTGAGGTTCATGGAGACAAACAAGCCCCCGGTGATGCTCAGTGGGATCTCACATTGGTAGTAATCAGATATGAGACGAAGGCATCTTTGCTACCGTCATTCTCCTTGATTGGTGAGGTGACGGTGCACTCGAGTCTCTCTCCAACCAGCTTTTGAGCATCCTGGTCAGCGGTGGTGCCTTGAGCTTCGGCTAGACCATCCTGTTCGTCGGTAGCTGTTCTAGCGGTCTGCTCTTGGACATGGTCGCTCCACGTTACATTGGAGAAATGGTCCTGATCCGACATTACCGCCATGGTGATGGTTGAGGTGATGGAAGGCGGGAGCTCTAGGCTAAGCTCGGCACTGCGGGACGGTGCTGCTGCGCCTGGTGGTGAGGGGCAGAGACAGGTCTCGGGATGCGGTCTGCAAGTCGGTCTGGACAGAATACAGCTCCGTGGTCCCAGCTAAGTCGGCCGAGGCAGTGTATGCGTCTGATCTGGGGGAGCTGCGTTTGAGGGTTGGGGATATGCGAGCGGATGCATGGACGAGAGAGATGGTGACGATGTGGTGGGGAGCAGAGCGCATGGGGCTTAGCTTGGAGTACGGATTGATAGTGGCAGAGCATCACTGACGTTGCTCTGGCCAGGCTCCAGCCCAGTCTTGGTCTTGGCCTTGGACTCGGCCTCTGACGCGGTTGGACTCCAGGGCGGCTTAGTCATCGCCGTCTTCGTCACATGCGCCGTCTCTGTCTCGTCCCCCATTGTCCTGTGTAATCGTATGGCCGTGACCTTCGTGTGATGTTATCTTGAGCTATCTCGTCTTTTATCATGTGCCCTTATAGAGTGCATTTGTAGCTGTCACCAAACCTCTTAGTCTTGGCCTCGCCTGCTTTGTACAATGACTTGAGTAGGTTGCCCAAGTTGCACGACTTGGAGTTATTATCTAGCGTGGCTCCCTGTAGCTCAGGGATCCAAAACGTAGTTCCGTCGACTGAAGCCTAGGTATGTAGCGCTATGTGCTTGATATCAGGCGTATTACCTCATATAATGATGTTCCCTATCCTATGGACTGACTGCCAGGCATTTGCTTGTCTCCGGGAGAATGTACGGCCTCATGGAATGATCAAGCCCCCCCTCCTTACTACAGTAAGTGAAGAAATGTTTCTTGAGTTTTATTTTTCATCAAATAGGGTCGTGCTAGAGAATGCGAGCCCCCTGCCATCTCATCAATTAGCCGACTGGTCTGCTGTACCAGCGCATACGTGAAGCACATATTCTTGAAACGGTGAGATGACCAACGTAATACTGCACGCGCCGTCATGTTGCTATAAAAACTTACTGTTTTCAATAGGGCTCAAACTCGAAGTGCATAGGTGATGTAGTACTCGGGTCGAACCGTCGGTGGCGAGCCGTTGCCACAGCTGAGAGCGAAACTCGCCCCCTATGCTGACGGGCTCCGGCCGAAGATGGAGATGGACAACTCTTCATGCATTTCAAGATCAAAGTGCTTAAGCGTTCAAGACTTGGTAATTTGTTTAAGTTCGCGCATGATAGACATCGTCACATTGTTTAATTAAGGTAGAAGAAAGTAGTTGAAATAGTAGTCATTAAGTTCATATTCATAAGTATCTATCTATCAAATGCTCGCTAGTGGTGGATGCTATGTTTGTGACATAGGAAATAAATGAATCGCTAAATTAGACACAATCATTAAAATGCTTTTTTTGTCGTTTTACTTTATTCTTGTTGTGAGTTGCCGTTGTTGGCGATCAAGTTTGGCGACCCGTTCAAGTCGCCGTAGATCTTGTTGGGCGTGGCGTTCTTGAGCAGGTGCTTCTTGACGTTGTCGGTGCCGCTGATGCCATCGACAGTCATGGCGTACAAGGCGAGGCCGGCAACATGAGGGCAAGCCATGGATGTGCCCGTCTTCTTGACGATGGAGTCGTCGCTGGTGTGGCCGGCAGACTCGATCAGCACACCGGGGGCGTACAGAGAGAGGTTCTTGCCAAAGTTGGACTTCTCGTAGACGGTCCAGTCCGAGTCAATGGCACCGACGGTGATGACTCCCTCGGCTGACGAGGGAGAGCCCTTGGAGATGTCCTGGGCGTCGTTTCCTGCGGCGGCGACGGGGATGATGCCGTGCCTGGCGGCATTCTTGAGGATTCTGTTCATGGTGGGGGAGTAAGTGCCGCCGAGAGACATGCTGAGGACGGCCTTGCCAGTACGGTTCTTAGCAATGATGTCGTCAAAGGCCCAGGCGATTCCCTCAATGATGATGGAGGTCGTGGTCGAGTTTTGGTCAAAGACCTTGACGCCAATCAGCTTGGTCTTCTTGGTAACGCCGTAGTTCTTGCCTCCGATGGTGGCAGCGCAGTGAGTGCCGTGGCCGATCTTGTCCTCGTGGTCGTCCTCGTAGGCGGTCCAGGCTTGCTCGGCGCGGCCCTCAAACTCTTCGTGGGTGATGCGGATGCCGCTGTCAATTACATATGCGTAGGTGTCGGCGCCAGCGTTATCGTCGTAGATGTAGTTGTCAGCGCCCGGTTGGCGATGGGAGATGGATCTTAGACCCCAGGTAGCGTTCTTTTGCTCTGTCATGTCTCTCGTCTCTAGCTCTTCCTCCTCATCCTCCTCTGCCTCTGACTCGGGGACGTCGATGGTGCCGATTGTCCAAGCCTGATCCTCTTCCATAGAGTCAACCTAGGGTATAATCTGTCAGCCAGAACGCTCAAAAGCAAAATGGTGTCGTTATGACTGTCACTCACATCACCAGAATTTCGGAATTCCTTAACGGTGTCTGGGTCGAAGTGACCGGCATAGCCGTTGAAGTGATTGCTTCCGCTATATGTGAAGTCGATACCGCTGTATGTTCTCTCGTCCAAGTCCCGCTTGGCGAGGTTTCGCTTGTGAACAGACCTGGCCCATTCGATATGAGACTCGAAGTTTTTGACGGAATCCTTGAGAACAACAATGTACCCGCCATTGGAAGCTATTTTGGTCTCAGGTACGGGAGCTGCCAATGCGGTCGAAGCGAACAGGAGGCCCGCTCCCAGAACTAGTTGTTTATACATGGCTAATGATTGTGAGGAAAGAATGGACAACCAGGTCTTCTTCTGCTAATCTATCCCACTGCCGATATGTAATAATACAACTTAATGAAATGTAGATGATGTAATTAATATAGTGGTATGAGGTAGATGGATGGTCCTGAGAGCCAAGACCAAGCACGGGGAAGCTGTTACTTATACCAGGCGAAGCTGACAGACCAGGCAGTCGACGCGAGCCTGGCCTGGACGGCTGTGCTTCAACCCAGCGACGCGTAGCATCACAGGCTAGTGAGATGGAGATATTTGCCATCGGGAGGGATCTTTGGTGAGAGTGGGTTCGGTCCCCGGATCGTAAATGGGACGACGAGCAGTGACCCGCCTCACCTCCCGCGAGCTGCAGCAGCTGTGGCTCGAGCTTGCCCCTGCTTATTTTAGAACAACTAAAGCTTTAGTTGGCTGCTTAATTCTCTGCGCCAGCGCCAAGGCAGACTGCACTTCCATATCCATACGTGGTATTTTCTACTCGTAGTCCTGTTCTTGAATTATTCAATTTAATCCAATTCGTTGACATGTTGTGAGCGCGGGCAAGCAACCGACGGGAGTTCATCATGGTTGCCCAGCCACAGATCAGACCCACGAACTGAGATGCCGTGCCAGAAAGGAAACCTCCCAAAGTCCCCAGAGTCCTAGCAGGGATGATGGCGCTCGAGCATTTGTCGCCACGCTCATGTTCGATGCTGACGGCGTCCGTAATCACATCTGGTCGATTGAATGATTGGCTATTTGTTTGTTTGCCAGAAATGCGGCCTCATTGTCTGAGGTTTTTGCACACGTACCTACTGTCTGAAAGCGGAGTATAGTGGCTTGTATGTGGTTTGTGTATGGTGCGTGTACCCAAAAGACCCATCTCTACCTTTCTACCAAAATGAAGAGAAAATACCATCAATCGAGCCCTGATGATGAATTACCAGCCCCATACGGGCATCTGCTTACTTGCAGCTTCACCCCAGGTCCCTTGCCGAAGACATGAAACAGGCGGCAAGAGATGATACGACTGGGATCACGACAGAGTTTGCCACCCGCTCGAATTCTGAAACGGCCCTCAAACGGCTCAGTCCAGTCCCAGCCCACGCTGCAGACATAAAGCTTCACCCTCATCACGTCACCTCCTTTGGAGACCGGAGAAGGGCAGGCTCCCTCCCCCCCACCTGAGGTTGGACCATCACTGCATCTAGAGCGCGTAGCAGTCCCTTTTCGCTGTTTCTCCCATGGTGACCATTTTCGACGCATCGCTGCCCTGCCAAGAGCGTCGTGTCGGGGGTGTGAAATGCCCGACGAGCCGACCGCCGGCCCTCAGCCCTGCGACCATCGCAGACTGGATGGCCGTCGTCGGCGCGCAACCGGCTCACCCACTAAAAATGTCATTTTTTTCCTCAGCGAATGGACAGAGCCTAGGGCGAGTTAAGAGTTGAGCCAATGGACAGAACTATAGCCAGGCATACACACGCACACACTTATCTTTCACAATTAAACACACACCTATAGTGCAATGGTGCAAAATGATGCCATCCTCGCAAGTAGAAGCGAATGGCCGTATTCGATTGTTTCATATGAAAGAGTAGAAATATGATAGAACAAAGAAAAAAGAAAAGTCTAATGAGCTGTCTGTCACCTTGTGTACCTTGTGTACTGTCTATACCAGTGCCCCCGCCGGCGGTGCATACACCATCACCGGTCTTGAATAATGCGTTTGTGCCGCTGTTTCATACACGCTCCGAGTCCGTCCCTTTGGTTCCGTAGAAATCATACATGTGAGATATACAATCGATGTCGTTGAGATGTGAAATGACCAATAATGAGCAGGGATGAGAAGGGATATATATATATCATCACCACGCGCTGCAGGTCCCTTACTTCTGCTCGCTGGCTGCAGGGGCTGTCTTGACCTCCTGCTGAACCGCCTTGATCTGGTCCTTCTCTGCGTCCAGCATCTCGCTGGCCACAGTCTCGCTGACGCCCTCGGCAACAGCTGCTGCCTGGCGCTCCTCCTTCTCCTCGTCGATATCCTCCGTATCGCGGGGAGTGGCGAACCCGGTGCTCTGGCTCTCATGGTTCTGACTGTTCTCCTCCTCGATCAGGTCCTGCTGTTCACGGATAACCTCGAGACGCTGCTTGTTGGTGGCGGCACCCTCAGCGTGGTGAACTTCGAGCTCGATCTCGTGGAACAGCTCCTCAGGGATGGATGACAGAACTCCGATCAAAGCATCGATCTGATTCGAGCCTTCACCAGACTCCTGACCATACATGTAGGCGTTGCTCAGAACGAGGAGTGTTGAGGGGACACCTTCCTTGAGGCGAAGGTTGAGCCAGGTCTGCAGATCCTGGCGCATGCGTGCTGGAGAGACACTGTGTGTGCGAATGCCACGTGCGGCGCAGGCAGTCTGGAGCTCGGCTACCGTCAAGCTGTCGATACCTTCGTATGCAATGGCCCTGTCGTCGCGCTTGATCTGTCGCATTCTGTGGCGGACCTGGTAACGGAGCATGGCATCCGTACCAAAGGTGTTGAGTGTCATGTAGCGGCACATGGAGACCAGCTGGGGTCGAGAAAGGTTATCCAGCGTCATGTCATCGCGGAAAACCTTGCAGACCTTGATCACATCCTCGGCAGTAGGAGCTTCGCCCGTGGACCGGACTTTGCGGAAGAAGTTGGCAAACTCCTCCCTGTGAGCTGTAGCTTGGCTCAAAGGCAGACCTGTCTCTTTGAGCGTCCCTCTTAAGAAAGTGCTAACTTCCTTTCGTGTGGATCTCAAGAGAGCGGCCTTCTTCTCCTTTGATTTTTGTCCCTCGTATGTGCTGGGCAGCATGTTGGGGAACAGCTTCAAGGCTAGGGGCAGCAGAGCCTCACCCAGGGGCACAATGATGAAGACTGAGAAAGGGACGAGTCGGCCCAAGTCGCGTACAGTGCGCTGGAGCTGCTTGTTCTCTCTGCGGGTCAACTCGTAGCCAGCAGCCATCTTGAGTGCGAGGCGCCAGCTGATCTTGACCTCAGCGGCGAGCAGCTTCGTGCCGTCCCAGTAGTGCTGTGCTTCATGCTTGACTTTCTCCCAAATAGTCAACTTCTTCTCCTCCCTCTCCTTCTTGACAATTTCGACCTTTTCCAGGACATCTACCTTCTGCGCCTCCAATTGCGCCATCTTGGCCTCCTCTGGGGTTTCAGGTGCCGCTGAGACAGCGTCATCCTTCTTGGTTTTGGCACTCTTGTCGCCCTTGACTGCAGAGGTGGTTGCCGAGCTGTCCTTGGGGAATGGTCTCTTAGCTTGCTCCGCGTTGAAGCCGGGTGGCGGGCCAGCCGAATGGCCATCTGGGCGGTGGTGTTCGGTGCCCATGTATCGGGCAGGAACCAAAATGGCGAGAGCGGGAATCTGGGCGTGTCTGCTGACATGGCGGTTGATGATGGCTGGAGAGATGCCGCGGGATAGGATTCGGGCTGTGTGCGCACGCGGGAGTTAGCACTCGATATAAGCTTTTCTAAAGTCCGAATGGGGGAGCATGTGAACATTACCATTACCCAAGAGAGGATTGCGAGCGACCGCTCTCCTGGCCACATTAGATGAGGCGCTCATGGCGTCGGTCGGGCTGTGATGAAGATGGAATCGATAATGAACGTCGGGGTTAAGAGATGATGTCGTTGGGTCGAGTGAGGGTGATGATGAAAGAGAGACTTTCGCTGGGCTTCAGTGGACATGAGTCGGGAATCTCTCGGTACTGAGCAGGGGAACTAGCCGTAATCCGCTTCCATTGGACCAAGAGACGAAGCACGGTGGCCTGTGGTTGGCCGCGATAAACTCACGTGAAGTTACACGTGACTCGCCTCAGACTAATGCAGATCAGTGGAGCGAGGGTCGAGATCTCACAGCTTCATTCCAGATGAATTGGGAAGTTGGGAAGCCATCATGATCTGGCCGAGTAGGTCGTTCTAGAGCAGAAAAAAAAAATTCTGGTCTGTTCAACGACTGTCACGCTGCAACATGGTGTGGTATCATGATAAACGCAGGGTTCTATCTGGCCATTCCATGTCTGACACTGGCCTTCCTGGCTATGCCATGCTTAGTGCGTTGTGTCAAATGTCGAAGGGTCCTAGAAGGGTCCCACAGCAGTCGCTCAGAGCAATCTGGCACTATGCCCTTCCGGCATCCCGAAGGATCCGACATGCCAAGTCCCTCAACAAAGTTCACGGTTTTGGTGAGTGACAAGGGTCCCTACCAAATTGGTGGTGCACTGGGCTGCGTCAACCAGCGCTCCGGAATTGGATGCATTGGTGATGGCAACAGGCAAGCACATTTGTCGTAACGACAACAAGTGGCAGTGAGGATACGTGTACTCGTCTACATTGATTAGGCTTGCTTGCCGCATGAAACAGTAGCAGCCTAATGAGGTGACGACAACACATGAATGCCCGAGCGACAACTGCAACGTCAGCTGGAATCCAAACCCCGCGTAGTCCCATCAAACACCTCCCCTCGTATGTATGTACAGCACTAAAAACGAGCCAATAGGTGCTTGAATGGCACTGATTAATCAGACAGGTAGCAGCGGGTGCCACGATTTGTTGCGGGCAGCGCATGTCGCATCCGACTGCACCACCCCCGCAATCAGAGCGGTCTCGGGGGGGCCACAGGGCCCCAAATGGCCCGAGCTGTCGCCCTGTGGTTCCTCCCCTCCCTAGCCCGTTGCCCATGCGGCGGATTCGGCCTTTGAGAGCGAATGCCCACTTGATCAAATCAAAACCACACCACCGCGACGGATTCGTAATATCTCTTCCTCAACCTGTGGTTCCCTTTCCTTCTTGTCCCTTATTTCCTTCTTCCAATTGAGATACCCCAGGATCTGCCCTCGATCTGCCCGCTATAGCGTTCATTCCCTCGTACGAAGTGCATGTGTGTGTCTGCCTCCGATCCCACCCCATTCCGTCGCATCTGGCCTGCACCTCCATCCGTGCCTCGGCCGCTCGAGCCGCTCGAACCGCCCTGCTTCCCACCACCTCTATCCTGTCTTCAGCAGTGATAAAATACGAATTAAATAGAGGACCAGACACTTAGAGGAGGCAGAAAAGGAGAAAAATGTCCAGCACATCGCAGCTGAGGAGGGCCGCGCGTGTCATTCTGATCGGTGCGCCGGGCGTGGGGAAGGGCACCCAGAGCGAGCGTCTCCTCGCCCGCTTCCCCCAGCTCCAGTCAATCAGCACCGGCGACCTTCTCCGGACCAACGTCAAGCGGCGGACAGCGCTGGGTGAGTCCATTTCCAGTCCCAAGATGGTGTTCTTGCCCCCCGAGAGTGAATGCGCCTGGCTAACCAAACCCCCGCCTGCCCGGAAACAGGTATCCAAGCAGAGGGGATCATGAAGAGCGGCGGCCTCGTCGCCGACGACATCATGATGCGCCTCATCTCCAACGAACTCCACACACGAGGATGGCTGCTCGGCCAGCGCCCGCCCGTCACCGTCAACTTCCAGGCTGCCGATGTCGAGGCTCCCGGCGACCCCCCTCCCAGCTTCGAACCCCTCCTGGCCTCCGAGGACCCCTCCGCGTCGTTCATCCTCGACGGCTACCCTCGCAACGCGACCCAGGCCCACGGCCTCGAGTCCATCGTGCCCATCAACCTGGCCATATCCATCGTCACCCCGTTTTCCGTCATCCTCGAGCGGATCGCGGGTCGCTGGGTCCACGAGCCGTCCGGCCGTGTCTACAACACCACCTTCAACACGCCCCGCGTCCCCGGCCACGACGACATCACAGGAGAGCCTCTTGTCCAGCGACCCGACGACAACATCGACGTCTATCGGAACCGCCTGGACAAGTTCAGGCAGACGAGCGAGCCCCTCCTGGAGCACTACGCCCGAAAGGGTGTCTTGCTGGAGGTGGAGGGGATGAGCAGCGACGAGATCAGCCCCAAGTTATATAAGGAGTTCGAGGACCGTTTTGCCCGATGACACTGAAGCGGACTTGTTTGGTGCTCAAATCTTGGGTTCTTGGTTTTTTCTATTGTTACTATTATTATCCTGGGTTTGTTTAATCGGTTGTTCACATCGCTACAACTGTCTGGGTTTCGTTTTCAACTGCCTTACGAGCGATTGCGGTAGTTGCGCGTTATGTATATATACTTGATGTCGTTTGGCCAAGCTGTTTGGGCTCAGTGAACGGGTGCACAGATGCCACGACTGGAGGAGTCCCTGGGAACCTGATCAAGGAGAAGAAGTGCTCTTATTCTTTTTAGGTATATATTTTTATTCATATCTTGGATAACTCCTAAAATCAAAAATCTCCCATGAGTGACTTCGCACAACCGGAAAATAAAAAATACAAAATCAAACACAGAGAATGGGATGAAATCACAACTTTGTGTAAATCATGGTTTCATGTCCAAATCCAAAACTAATGCTCCTCGTACATGCTGAGCTAGGCAGCCTTGATGTCCAGTCTTAAACACCTAATTTGCAAACTCTGCTCTTTATTCATCTGGTTAGTATAGGCAGCGTGGTCCTACTCTGTCCACAAATTCACAGATGATCCAGCCTAATCGTCCCATTCATCATTGCGGACTCCGCTGGCGCTGCCATTGTTAGGGCGGCTGGCAGGTCCAGCCTCCTCCTCCTCCTCCTCATCGTCGAGCGCCTTGGCTAGCTCATCGGGATCCTGCATCTTGGCATCTGGATCGAGGGAGTCCGTGACACCATCGGACTGCGCCAGGTGCTCCCGCTCTGAGTCCAGGACGTCGTCATCGGCACTAATAGAGATGCCCCTGGACCCCCACTTGGGCCGGCTGCCGCCACGGATGCCACTTTCGCCGCCCAAGGCAGGGCCGCTCTCCTCATCATCGTCGTCAATCGATGTGGTGGCGTTCTTGCCAAAGATGCGGCGAAGAAACCAACTCCTGCGAAGATCGTCGGCGTCGACAATGCCGCCACCCCTAAGCTTGACGCGCTGGCGGGTGTAGTAAACCCAGGCGAAGTCAATGTACAGCGCTGTCTGGATGATTCCAAAGACGACAGACACGAGGGGGGCGCCTGGGTCGTTCTTGTCGAAGTAGCGCCATATCCAATTGAGACAGTAGAAGCCGCGGTATGAGCCAAGAGTCACGAGGTAGAAGCTGTTGATGACTGTAGGGACGGTGGTCTGGCGGAGGAGTAGAAGCTGGGGAAGCACGCAAACGGATTCGAGGATCTCGGAGAAGACCCAGAGCCACTATAAGTCAGGCAAGTTAGCATTGTGTGACGGGGAGCTTTTCCAGCTGCTTGGATCTGAGGAATTCGCCAGACATACGTTAATGAAGGACCATCTCTGCTTGTTCTCGAGGGCCAGCATGGCGAATGGGGAGAGCAGGAGTGATCCGGCTGCGACAACGGCTCCCATCTTCCAAGCAAACTCCCTCTCACGCGATCGAGGGAACATCCACTGCATGATTCCAATTGTGTAGAAGGACGAGAGGATGTAAACCGTCTTGAAGACCACGTTCCACGCGGGATGGTCCTTCATGGGGTTGAAGAGGTCCAGGTATCGGGTACAGAAGACGACGGCATAGAGTCCTTGGGTGATCAAGCTTACTCCTTCTGACGATCGATTGCGGTGGATGGCTATGATCAGGATGATCTTGGAGAGCATGTGGGAGATATCCCCAAAGTATCGGAAGACCTACTCCAAAGTCAGTTGAGAGCTGTCGCCGAGAGGCTGAGGCTGAGGTCGTAAGACTCACGTTCCAACCCATGTTGGCGGCGGTGCGACCAGGTCGCTCTAAGGGGTCGCAAGATTGGATGAGCGTGTGGGATTGGGCGAGAGCTCCGGGAGGGGAAGATTGAGGCCTCTCGCGAGATGTGCAAAGGTCGAGGAGGGACGCAGGCGATGGGTTATAGAAGATGGGGGAGCTTGGGGCCTGGCTTGGCTTGGCTGTCAGGCTCTGGGGAGGCTCTGGTAGGCGAACAACGTGACGTTAGTTGGCGCCTGGTTCTGGGGCTGCAGCGCCTCTTCCAATTGGCGACAGGCCCCATCTAGCCCTCCCGCCTGTCTCCGCCTTTCCCACTCTGGGCGCAGCAGCCTGTAGTACCTACGTAATCACTGATGCAGCCCGCCCAGGCACATTACCTGCATAACGTACCCAGTCCTGGATGATGCCAGCGAGGATCACTGGGATCTCTACTCATTTTGCTTCTACGACAGTCGTAATAGCATTGATCCAGCTCTCGATGCTTCATTGCTTTCCTCCCTCCCCTCCCCTCCCCTCCCCTCCCCTCCCCTCTCTGCCGGCAGACTACTGCTACCGTAGCCTGGACACGCACAATGCAGCTCGCATTCAGCTCTCCAGCACACGGCAGAACGACACCATAACCCACCTATCCAGTGCCGGGAGGTGAGACATTGATCACCCATCGCAAGCCACAATTTAGGGATGATCCGCCGCCTCACGAGAATCACCCGCGCCTATTCCGCCTCCCACATCTGCTGTGCGAGGCCAACCCCCTCTTTGCCTCCTCGCCCAGTCTAGATTTGGCCACAAACCAATACTCGGGATGAGCATTTCCAAGTTTTACATTTGCTCACGAGTGCATTGGCCTACAAAGTGATTGACCGAATTCTCGCCTGGCTTACCATCGGATTGTCACAAGATCTTAGATCAGCTTATATGACTCGGCATCAACTCTCAGGGACTTTCGTGTGGTCACTGAGAATCATACTTGTGAAAGTTCCTCCCACCTCATAACACCATTGGCTCAATATGCAATCCCAAGGCCTTTGTCGTCGCAGTTTGGCTAAGATCAAACTCTCAATACTAGCAAGGGAAGCGGCCTAATAATTGTCCCTCGGTCCGTAGGAGTCTTGAGAGAATAGTGCGGCTGCTGACTGCAATATGGTCTTTTCGCCCATCGTTGTATTTCGCTTCATCTTCAGGGGGTGTTAACCGCCAGAGCGATAGTTGATTCAATTAGTCCTGGAGTTCGATCAATGCCTCTCGGTCTGAGCCTGGTATCCGTTAGAGAGGTTCCCTGGTGGCTCTAGGGACTCAGAGAGCCTTGATCGCGCAGCCATTCGACGGTTCTCGATGGGTGATCGTATCCATGGCCCAGCCGTTTGGCCACTTCACCCAATGTCAAAGACAACCGTTCACGGGCCTGGGCAGTGGTTCGTTTCCTAGGTATGAAAGGAGAGATCCATTGGCAGGCTGAACCTGGTACAATGCACTGTCACGACAGCACTGAATCATGGCAGTTAGATACATTGCTTTCACAAGAGCCACTGTTACTTGTCGATCAGCGAAGTTTCATCATCCGCGCTCTGGCCGTCGATATCTCCCAAGATGTTTAAGAGTCTCGTTCAGGACTACGTTGCTTAGGACCGCTGCTGATCCGGAGACTCAGTCGCCGGAAGTGGCCGCCAAGCTGGACTCATTCCGTGCCGATTCAGTGTCATTGGCCCGGACAGGAGTCCAGGAGCTGTGCCATCCTCTGATAGCGCTCCTGCCCAACTCTTTCACCTGAGGCAACGGGTTTAACAGCAATTTTAGGCCAGTTAGCGGGAACCTGGATGAGCTGTGAGGCGTTGAAGAGTAATCCAGGAGCAGACTGACACCAACGGCGTGCTCAATCTCTTTCGCTCTGCCTTCTCCGAAACTCGGACCTTAGTCCGTCCTGCCGTCCAACTGGCGGGACCGTTTCGTGGGCCTCTGCCCGGCACCGCCTTTCCGAGCTAGCCCCGTGTTGAAGAAGCGAATAGGGTCTCCCGGGAAAGGCACAATTACACGCCTTTGCTTGCTCTATAATAGTGGGCATGGCCGTAAATACTTTCATCCCGGAATTTGTCGCCCAACTTGCAGGGGCCGTTTCCGCATACCGCTCCCCAGTTCTTCGTCTTGGGCTTTCCATGTTCCACCCGGCTAACTGCTCTGTTCTCATATCAATCAAATGTCGCCTGTCTCCATTGTTGCCGCTGTTGCAGATGGTTCTATATAGCGAACTACAGATTCCAGAGTCCAATTGCCCCCATTTCTCGCTGTTCTCGCTCCCTTGCTGTGATCTATCCAGTTGAGCCTCCCATGCTGAAAAGTGGAGGACTTCCCCTGTCCTCGATGAATCATCGCTATGGCTGGCAATTCTGTGAACCAAGTAGAATTGCCTCGATTCGAGGATGTTGAGAACGCGACCCATACGCTGAGCTCATTGGGACGGAACGAGCAAGCCAAAAAGATCCCCTCCCACACTCGGGTCCGGGAGATCCAGACCGACAGCGACCAAGACGCAGCGACCCCGGATGAAATTCTCCCCGGAGACGCCGTTCCCCCTCCCCCAGATGGCGGCCTCCACGCCTGGCTCCAAGTCGCCATGGGCTGGGTAGCCATCTTCACCACCTGGGGCTACATCAACTCCTTTGGGAGCTTCCAGGTCTACTACACATCCACGCTGCCCGAGTCCGCCTCGGCCATCTCCTGGATCGGCTCCATCCAGACATGGCTCACCTACTTCATCGGCGCCTTCTCCGGCCGCCTCCTCGATGCCGGCTTCTTCCTCCCGACGTTCGTCATCGGCGCCCTCCTGCAGCTTCTCGGGATCTTCCTCATGGCCGCCTCGAAGAGCTACTGGCACCTCATGCTCACCCAGGGGGTCCTGACCGGTCTCGGCGGCGGCATCTTCTTCACCCCGTCCCTCGCCCTCGTGGCCACCTACTTTAGCAAGAAACGGGGCCTGGCCATGGGCATCGCGACCACCGGCAACTCGGCGGGAGGTATGATCTACCCCCTCGTCGTCCGTCAGCTGCTCCCCAAAGTAGGCTTCAAGTGGACAGCCTTAACGCTCGGCTTCATCAACATGGCTGGCCTCCTGCTGGTCGTCAGCTTCATGCGTCCCAGACTACCACCCAGGAGGTCCGGCCCCGTCATCGACTGGACCGCCTTCACAGAACCCATCTACGTAACTTATGTTTTCGGCGTCTTCTTCTTCATCTGGACCGTCTTCTACACCATGTACTACGTACGCAACCTCCCTCCTTGCCCCACCAAACACCACCGAACCTCACTAACATCCCCTCGGCAGGTCGCATCCTTTGGAAAGCAGGTAATAGGCCTCTCCCAGGCAGACGCCACCCTCCTCGTGACGATAATCAACGGCGCGGGCTTCCCCACCCGCGTCCTCATCCCCATGCTCGCCGACCGCCTCGGCGTCCTCAACGTCGTCGCCCTCTCGGCCGCCGCCGTCGCCGCCGTCGCCTTCTCCTGGCTCGCCGCCCGCGACGTGCCCGGCGTGTACGCCTTCACCGTCACGTACGGCCTCGTCAACGGCGGGTACCAGTCCCTCATCAGCACGGGCGTCGCGGCCATCACGAAGCGGCTCGACATGGTCGGCACGAGGATGGGCATGTGCTTCAGCGTCGCCTCCATCGCCGGGCTGACGGGCCCGCCGATTGGGGGGCTGATACAGCAGGCGGCGGGGGGAGAGTGGCGCTGGGCGACCGTGTGGGCTGCCGTGGCTGCTTTGTGTTGCTGTGGGATGCATGTTGTGGCGAGGGGGCTGCGTGCGGAGTGGAAGCTCAAGGTGAGGTGTTAGCTTGAGAGGTCATACAGTTGCAAGTTGGACGGACATCAAAAAGTGACTGGAGGCATTCGCTGGCTAATGAGTTGGGAATATGTCAGGGGAAGTAATACAACTCTCACGGGGAGAGAAACTGGATCGGCGGGAGAAAATAATGATGATCAGGGTTTATTTAGAGCATAGTCGATTTCTACAGCACGTCATGAATGCATGGGATAGAATATAGAGGTAGGAAAAAATGACATTCTTATGGGTATCATGGAATTGCTCTGTAGATATGGTACATTTTCCCAAGCCACATTCGGGTCATCAACCCTTCGTCACCCCCGACAGTGATGTCCACAAGTCTATCAAAAATCAAATCAAGTATCATACCCAAGCGCCGTGATATATGCATAACTGGTCGTTTCCCGTGAGAGTAGAGTAAAAAGAGAGTAAAGAAACAAAACAATCCAAATTGCGCTTGCAGTCCCGTTCATGCGTGTCACCCGTTCAAAAGTGCACGGAAAGAAAATAAAGAAAGAATGCTCCGGGTGTCGCTCTAGAGGAAGAAGACGCTCGCGAAGACAGTGAAGGCTACAGGCCACAGGCCCAGGCTGTGAGCCAGGAGACTGGCGGCATCGCTATAGTAGGCTTCGCAATCCTTAGTGTCCTTGCAGTCGGTGGTGGTACCGTTGGGGACGGTTCCGTTGAGGACGATCTTGGTCTTGCCATCAACCTGAGCCACGGTGACCAGAGACTTGTTCAGCTTCTTGTAGTCGCCGTCGCCGATGAGCTCGTCCCAAAACTTGGTGTCCTCAACATCGTCGCACATGCATGAAGAGTACTCGGGGCAGGCGCATATGACCTCGCGCGTCTCGTTCTGGTTGGAGGTCTTGTTGCGGTAGGTGTGGTGATAGCCGTAAGGGTAGATGAAGATGGGGTATGGCGGCCAGTATCCGGGGTAGTAGGCGAGGGGGCTGGCTGAACGGCTGCTGGTCATCGACTTGCCGCTGGGACTGCCTCCAGCTGGGTAAGGAGCCTTTGCACCACCGCCGTAGTATGTGTTTGAGACAAAGCGAGGCTGGGGACCGGAGCCACCGGGTGAGTAGCCTCCGGTGTTGCCTCCTTGTGCGCCTGGGTAGTATCTGCGATGTGAGGGTTAGTCGGATCCATCCATAGTCTGCGATGACAGTTCGAATACATACGCCTTGTTGGTTCGAGAGGCGCTGCTGCTGCTGCTGCTTCCCTTGCTGCCGCTGCTGCCTTTGCTGCCGCTGCTTCCGCCGCCGCCACGACCACCACCTCCTCCACCCTTGCGCTTCCAGAGCTCGTGCGTCGCGTCGGAGCCTCGGTCCTGGAGCTCTGAGCTTAATAGCTCGAGATCATCTTTGTGAAGTCTGGACTCATCAATGGCGAGAGCAGCCGTCAGGCCGAAGAGAAAGGCGATGAAGAATAGATGCGACCTCATGATGCCTGCTGTGTACGTATGTGTCTAACGGTGTACTGCCAAGTATATTCTTGGTCGTAGGGGGAATAGTCAACTCAAGACTGTGTGCGTCAATTGTTTGAGAGACGTCGGATGCGGGTTGAAGTGTGTTTTAATCAATCTGGTTGAGATGAGACACCGGAATGTGGGAAGCCCGAGGGGAACCGGCTTAATTATATTAGCAGTCGAATTTTCCATCTAAGGTTAATCGCTTTATGCATCAGTCAAATTGAATGACCTCAGAACAAACATGGCCCAGTTGCAAGGCAGCCCGAGTAGTGGCTGTGTAATTTACTGCAACACTACGGGCAGGCGCAGGGACAGGCTAACCGTGCAGGGATTAGCCTACCCCATCACTGATTAGCCTCTGGGCAAATGGACAGGCACCTGCCCTTGCGGGAACTTACCTTACATAAGCACAGTGCTGTAACATTAAATCCGGAGGCTGAGTAGGGCAGACCGCCACCGAGAAAGACGAACAGTACAGTGCCCCAGATCTGGTTCACCTCGCGATGAAACCCCTTCGATACGCAAACAACCACATTTGTCACATTGTCTCGTCCCTTGAGGTGAGGCCTCCTTTTCGTGGCTGCGTGAGAATCGCTGCTTGCAAGGGTCGCCGAGGAGCTGAGAACAACCCTGCGTCAGCCCTCTAATAATAAAGCAACCAGTAATCCTTCTCCACGCTCCTGGTCTATCAGCACCAAACAAAGCTACTCAGGATGCGGGTGGCTCCTTGTCTTCCGGCTTGGCCCTGACATGCTAAAAGACTCATCCATTGGTGCTTCCATACAAGCGTTGCAGTTACATGACATGACTTTGGGTCTTTGGCTCTGCGACTGGGGTCTGCAAAATCTACATGTACTGCTGATCACCAGCACCCAAGGTATTGCATGATGTCAGCATACAGAGCAAGAAACAAAGACAGCGATCAATTCATTTCAGATAGCAATGGGAGCCACTTTTAAGCCTGTGCCGGATATTTCCCAATATGAAGGGATGTCCAATTTTATGATTTGTGATCGCCCAGTGACGATATAACACATGATCTGACCAGCCCTACGCCGCTTGGGTTCCAGCTACCAGGTTTATACTGTAAGCGACATGGCCTGGAGCGACAATTGGTACACATCACCACTTCATGCTCTGCTCGCTGGCCGATGGCATGTCTGAAGTTCCAGGCTGATTATTCCCATTGAGCCCGGGGCATCCATCGTCTATGCGAGATGTCTGCAGATATTTCCCAGCCCGACGTACCTAAAATAGTAATTAACGTGCGCACGGGTCTTCTTCACTCTGAAACAAGCCAAATCCCAGTCTCTCATGTTAATTACCTGCTATTGTCGATCTACAGATGCGCCTTACTGGAAGCCTAGACGGTGTAGCATGGTTGCCAGAGAAGCCAAGGGGGATTCATATCTCTGACTACGTAGCCCAAACTCAAAAAGGGTTTCTGCAATGATACATAGAATTGTCTGTATAACGCAGCTCTTGATATGAGCAAACCATCTCACTATCCCAACTAATTTGGCGCTGATTGTCTTTTGAAAGACACCTGAGTAGGAACGGCGAGGCTAAACAGGCAGTAACCCATCTCATTTCTTCATGTAGTAGTTCTGTCAAGATCTCAAGCTACGATGTGGCTGAGAAGGGAGCTGGCACACGGAAACAATGGAACTAACTGCTTAGCCTTGCCAACTGAAGCTTTCCGTGGCGTCTCGTACAGGAAGACCCTTTCTCTAGGCGAATCTTAGCGTCATGCCAAGCTTGTCCTGTGGCAATTCGTGAACACGTGCCGATCCCGCCGCCTCTACCAGATCATTGACGTTGATTGACTCTTTGTGGCAATCGGCGTGGCGCCCGGAGTATGTACTAGGCCGAGTTCGGTCCCGTGTTTTTGTTCAGTTGTACAATCATCATACCTGCAGTATTGAGACTTGTCTTTTGATGAGATGAGTAACTGGGCAATGTTGACTGAGTGAGGTGAGGGTGGGCAGACAGCGAGCGCAGTTTTCTGGCCTTCAGGACGTGTTGGCTCACCCAAACGCTCTCTCTTCCGCCTTGCTTTGCCTTGCTCTCTCTTGAGTCTTTGAATCCACCATGGGCATTCTCAAACAAACAACATTGAAGCGCCCGTTGAATGACCCCATGTTGGACTGTGCGCCGTGAATCTCACCTTCGCGAGTTACGGCCAACATCAGCATGGCTCATCAGTCCGTCATGACCCAAAGACCTGACCCGCGCCGCGCCAAACAGCCTTGCGGGGGACCCAGATCGATTGATGGGGTTCACTGCCACCTTGACCACTCTGACTTCATATCACCGGCTCATGTTTATGTCAGGGGTCAGTTAGCCAGGCCCATGATTCAAGCTAGCGAATCTCCACATGGCGACAAGGGGCGACTATCAACCATGCCCGACACACCTTCTCTCCCACAGACAGTAGAGGTGCACAGCCCAGCTTATCAAGTTGGTGTTTTGATATGGTTTGCCCGAAGAGGGGGATCATGGGCAAGTTCCAAGGTGGCGATTGGCTGGCTTATACACATGTAGAAGCATGGGGCTCGGATAACGGGCCATGTAACCATTCTAGAAGGTGAAGCGGATCTTTTGCACACGGGCCTGTCAATGTACAACACCAACTCAGATAGTTGAAGGCTGTGCTGGAATGGTGGGCTCATTCTACTGCAACTGCTCAGTTGTGCCTCCCACAACCGATCACTGCGTCTCATTTGCTTTCCAATGGCTGCCAGGGTTGAGATTATCAGGCAGACTTATTCCAGAGCGCTTACAAAATGAGAGTGAGACCTCTTTCTCACATCGCAAGGGCATCGGTCAGCCAAATCACAGGTCTCCGGATTTGGCCGTTCTGAACGCGAGACACGAGTTTTTGAACCGTGTTCAGGAACGAAGCAACATTATCTGCCAACGCAGTGTACACCCTCTCTGTAGAGATAGGGATTCGTTGTCCCCTGAACTGTCTCAGGGAGAGTTCGTCTCCTCGGAATATTTAGACCGATGGCAACCCCGCTGGCCGTTTCTGCCTTGCCAGTCAGTCAGTCCATTTCCGCCGGAGCTGCATAGAAAGGTAGTCATGTGCCGTACCCGGCCCGGGTCGCTCAACTATTAGCCGTCGGTCCTCTCTGCCGTGAGATATCCACAGAGTAACATGTTCCCAATCATGTGGTTTCAAGTACCAGTAGACGAAATGCCCATTTCGCTTTAACATATGGTGCAGGGCATCGCGCCTCTGGCAGAGAGTCAAGTTGGCAATGGCACGCTCTTCCGGCTTTTGGTCATTACTGGTCCAGTTAATGGCTCCCCTACATATAGAATTGTCGAGGCCGTTATCCTGATTTTGCCAAGTCAATCTCCCTTGGAGAGGGCCTGCCACATCTAAAGATGAAGATTCCGACTTATCTCTAGGTACCTATTCAATACCTGGTCTGCATTGTGGATTCTTTCCAGGGTCAACAGGTCGTGAATTTGCATGCAGAAGACCCTGAAAGGCTTGGTTATGCTTCATTGTTCATCCGCATTTTCCGGTCATGTTCTGGGTCCTGCCTCGGGCTATTCGCCCTATCAACCCATAAAAACCATTTCCTTGTAAATTCTCTTCAATTTCCATTTTTCATGTAAGTCAAATTAAGAAAAGAGTGACCGGCTTGGCAGGCTTGGCATACGTGACTTGCAGCTTGAAGTGCAGCAGTTCAAGCCACTCTCACAGCTGTGTAATGGGAAAACACAGTGACTGCTAGCGGTAGCCAACGACCGCCGAACGATTGGACCCCGCTCCGCTCCCAAGCACTGCTACGCGGCATCGATGAGAGCCTCACTCACCTCACACCACCCCCAGTTCATTATCCATGTTGTCGATATTCGGGGAGATTCCAAACTTCCATGAACAAGCACACCCACCGATAACCTGAAATATCCCACAGTGTAGTAGTCATCAAATGGATAAGTCGCTTCTGGACCGGCTCGCTGCTCTGCGTGGCTCAAGCCCAACTACGAAGAAAGAAGCCCCTGTCAAGTGAGTGCACACTATAATCCGACCGACGCCCGAATGTGCTCTTTCTCACTTCCTCTTTTTTTTGCACTTTGTACCATCTTGATGAGAGAACGAAACACTAACCCGGCCACAGGGTAGACGTGGACGTCATCGAAAGAAAGAGCGCCACTCCATCCCGGGAAGATGCATTAGCCTCCCGCCTCAAGGCTCTGCGCGACCAGACGTCGCCATCGCCATCTCCCTCGCCATCCTCACAGCCGCACGCACGGGAAGTCTCAACCCCGTCAAAGCCGGCCAGGCACAGACCAGAGGTGCCGGAGAAGAGGGACTCCTTCCAGGCCGACGATGACGTAGAGGCAGCCTTTGCGACAGACGACCGCACCTTGGAAGAGCTGCTTGGTGATGTCGGTCCCGATGATGAACCTCTTGAGCCGCCGCTGGAGCCGGACGACGCCAAGGTCAAAGCGCTGCTTGAGGAGCTATCACATTCCATCCCGCAAGATGAATCCTCGGAGTCTAAGAAGACGCATGCCGCCCAGGGAGATCCAGACGATGATTCGGACGGGGAGAAGATGACAAGGGAAATAGACGATGTCATCGCCCGCTTCCGCGACGAACTTGAAGTAGAAGCAGCGCTGGGAACCAGAGATGATGATGGCCAAAAGGACACCAGCCAGGAGCGGCGGGATTCCTCAGACGAGGGCGACAACCGCCAGGCATCCGGGCCAGCCGCGGACCTCGAGCTGCCCTCAGTGCCTCAAGACCTCGCCGCCCCGGACCAAGTCCCCAGCTCCGCCCCTTCCTTGAACACTCTGGATGACATTACCGCTCGCCTATCCGCACTACGCGCATCCTCGGCGTCTCCGTCTCTCGATCTCCCCTCTGTACCTACCTCCAGGCCAGCCAAGGAGCCCAACCGGCTGAAATCCACCACCAAGTACACAGATGACGACATGAGCTCATGGTGCACAGTGTGTCTGGAAGACGCTACGTTGAAATGCCTTGGTTGTGAGGATGACCCGTATTGTGTGCGGTGTTGGCGTGAGATGCACCTTGGTCCAACGGCGGCGTTTGATGATAGGGATCACAAAGCCGTTTACTTTACGAGAGACGGGAAGAAGGAGAAACGCGTGGCACTAGGAGCATGATAGATCTTTTTAATCAAGAATTCATATAGAACCAGTACTGTTGCCCATTTCCGCATAAAGCCCGTGTCTCAAAACCAAACGGCAGGACGAAAAACAAATTAACCCAAATGACCTCCCATATTCCATGATGATGCACACAAATCCCAAAAAAAAACAGAGCTTTCAAACAAAATATCAAACTGAAATTCCCCTGCCTGGCAATCCAGCGGCTAAGTCACAACGGTCACAAACCTTAAGCACGATTTGAAGACGAGCTGCCCCCTGTGCCACCACCATTCCTGGTTGACGTCTTGCCCCTAAAATCCTCCCACGTCGCTCCAAAACGTCTTCCTGTCGTTGCCAAAAGGCTTTCCTCCTCATCCGCTTCCGCATCTTCGTCAATTTCGGACATGTTCACCTTGGGCGTCCGAATGATCGCAGTAACCAGAACAATCAAGAAAACAAGGAGGAAACCAAATTGGGCCCAGAAATCGACGATGCCAAAGAAGGGCCAGGTAATGGTAACTCGGTTGAGGAATGTAGACATCACAGACGGCGTGCATACATCCTTGGCATGACTTTCCTTCAGAGCTTCTGAACAGGGGAAAATCATATCTTCATGACCAGAACAGTCCGGTTGGAGTCCGGGCATTGCGGGTTTGTTCGAGCAGAACGTCTGTGTGCCGTAAGTAGCATACTGAGGTGCTACAAGCATGGCAACAGCGTAGTTAATGGCCAGCACAAGCAGCGTGAGCATCACTGTGGCCATGAGAAGTGCCTGGGGAGCGGTCCTGCCACGTCGGATTTGGAAAATCTTAACCCACAAGAAGCGGATTCCCACAGTAGCCACACCCGTAATAGAGCTGCCAAAGAGAAAGAGGACGAGAAGCGCCATGAGAATATAGTCAATAGGGAAAACTTTGGCGGACTGGAGGAAAATCCAGTTCAATGGCTGGAAGATGTGGATTTGGCCTAGAATGTATCCGCATCGCTGCTTGCAGATGGAGTTCTTGGCCTTGTCAATTCCCGTGATGAGCATGGATACCCAGATGAGAACCGCGACTACCAGGAGCAGAAGGCCACCAAGCATCTTGACTGGCCGGAACAACGCGCAAAGCTTGAACCAGAAGCGGTACACGGCGCTTCGGCCTTCGCCCTGAGCCTCAGCAGCAAGGCGCTCCCTTCGTACAAGTGTCTGTTCCTCGCGGACGAGAGCATCCAGCTCGCGGCGGTCCTTTCGAGGCATTTCATCATGACGTCCGGCATTGCGCATTTCAATCTGGCGCTGTCGCTCGCGGTTCATTTCCAGCTGGGATGCGGTTGTCTCTGACAGCTGTGGGGCAGATATTGCGGGCGCAGATCGGATCCAGGAGATCGGGAGGAGGGCGAGTCCAGCACTGGTGTACACGACGTAGAGAAGAGTGCCAATGGTGATCAACAGTCCCAAGGCGAAGGTAAGCGCCTTCTCGCCATGATTCTGGGATATGAGCTTCTTGTAATAATCGAGGTCCCAGTGCGCCTGTGAGTCGTCACCGGCAGCTGGCACGAAGAAACCAAGAAGGAACAGAACGACGACGAGGGCTACGAAGAATAGGGTGTACTTGGCTGCTGAGACAAAGCGACTGGTCCATGTTCGGCCCTCCTCCTCGAACTCGATTTCGTCGTACTCCTCGTACCAAAAGTAGGTGAATGGGATCACAATGAGGCAAAGAAGCCCATCGAAGCTATACAAGCTGTAATACACAATCTTGAGGGTGAGGAGAATATTGTCGATACGTTCGGGTGTGGCCCATTCCTTCTTGGCCCCGTTAGCGGTGGATGACGTAGCGGAGATGAGAGCGATGTCGACAGGGAGAAGAAGCACGGTAGCGAGCAACGAAGTCAGGCTGATAATCGCTACAAAGCTGACGATGGCAGAACGCTCCCGGGGAGTCTGCCAGGTAAAAGTGGTGATGATGGCGACAACTAGGCAGAGGGCGACAGCAATGGCGTAGGCCACCCAGATGAGACTGGTATGGAGCAAACCTGCGTCAGCCATGGTAGCAGCTCGGGGAGGTTGAGAGTTTGCTGGTGATCATAGGCGACCGATGGCAGAAGAAAATATATCCAGCGACGATTGTGTTTGCAGGCGGAGAAGGGGGTGATGCTTAAATGCAATAATGCAAGAAGCACAAAAATCAAGGCAGGAATCCAGATGTGTTGTTTTTCTTTGGACTTGGGGGAGGAGCGAGCGCAGGTGCAGCTGCCAAGCTTGATCTCTGACGCAATCTAGACGTAGAACTACCCGTATCTATACTAGCGTGGAGCTTTGATACCACTCCCTACGATTGTGAGACTCACCCCTCCAGGCACCCAAAGCCCCAGACTCAATGCCGCTACCAGCTGCAGCTACAGCACACACTGGGGGTGACCCTAAAGGTCTAGCGCGGCAGCGCGTCTGCCAATTGTTCCAGGTCGAAAATACTACCAAGCAGCAGCAGATCGCGGGCCTCACTGGACGGACTGCATCGCACCACGGAATAGCAGCACACAAGCGAGCTCCCACCGACGTCAATTCGCTTAGCAGACCGCGTCCGGGCGGAAGAATGATTCTGTCGCTGCGATGCAGGCCTACACTGAGCTTGCGGCTCCTACTGCCGTCTCCTACTCCCTGGCCCTCCCGCTAACCTCTGCTGCGGCCAGCAACCTGGTTGTCGCAAAGGGATCCCTCCTCCAGATCTTCGCGACCAAGACTGTCTCTGCCGAGCTCGACTCCCAGAAGGATGAAACGGCTACATCCGCCAAGGCTGAGATTCCTTACGACCACCGCGTCAACGACGATGATGGCCTTGAGTCTTCGTTTCTGGGCGGCGAGTCCATGCTTGTCCGGACCGATCGATCCAACAATACGAAGCTTGTTCTTGTCGCCGAGATCCCCCTCGCCGGAACTGTCATTGGAATGGCGAGACTGAAGCTCAGCAATACGGCCTCTGGCGGTGAAGCGTTGTTGCTGGCCTACAAAGCTGCCAAACTCTGCTTGACGGAATGGGATCCCCAGCGCAACACTTTGGAAACCATATCTCTTCACTATTATGAAAAGGATGACATCCAGGCTGCTCCATGGGAACTTCCTCTCAATGACTACGTCAACTACCTCGACGCTGACCCCGGAAGTCGATGCGCCGCGTTCAAATTTGGGTCTCGTAACCTCGCTATACTACCATTCCGACAATCTGAGGAAGACTTGGAGATGGATGATTGGGACGAGGACTTGGATGGACCTCGCCCGGTCAAAGAGTCAAACGCAGGTGCGGTTGCAAACGGGACTAGCGACAGTGTAGAACAAGCATATACAGCATCATTTGTCCTTCGCCTTCCTCTCATTGAACCAAGTCTGCTTCATCCGATCCATCTTGCCTTCCTCCATGAGTACCGCGAGCCTACCTTTGGAATTCTCTCCTCGACCCAGCCCCCATCCGCTGCCCTTGGTGCTAAGGACCACCTGTCATACCAAGTCTTCACCCTCGACTTACAGCAGAAGGCGTCGACGACGATTCTCTCCGTCACAGACCTGCCACGAGATCTATTCAAGGTCGTGCCCTTGCCAGCCCCAATCGGTGGTGCCTTGTTACTTGGAGAAAATGAGCTTATCCATGTCGATCAGTCGGGCAGGACCAATGGTGTTGCTGTGAACCCAATCACTAAACAAATTACTTCGTTCAACCTCGTCGATCAATCCGACTTGGGCCTGCGGCTGGAAGGCTGCACCGTTGAAATTCTTTCTATAGATCATGGGGAGCTTCTTCTTGTCACCAAGGAAGGCTATCTAGTCATTATCACATTCAGAATTGATGGACGGACAGTGTCTGGACTCAGCCTAAGGCTAGTAACTGAGGAGTGTGGAGGGCATCTCGTCAAAAGCAGGGCTACTTGCATATCCAAGCTCGGCAAAAACGCATGCTTCATTGGAAGTGAGACTGGTGATTCCGTCGTTCTCGGCTGGACAAGAAAGCAATCACAGGAAAAGCGCAAGAGAAGCCGGATCATTGACCCAGATCTGGGCCTTGATATTGATGAGATGGACATCGAGGATTATGACGACGACGACGATCTATATGGAAACGCATCCACAGTGGCGAAGCCCATCCAAACAGGCAACGAATCAGGCAAAGCAGGCGATTTGAATTTCCGGGTAAATGACAATCTCATCTGCATCGCACCAATCAATGATTTTACCTGCGGAAAGCCTGCGTTTGCACTGTCGAGTGAGGAGGCAACTCTGGCAAAGGGTGTCATCGCTGATCTGGAGCTTGCATGTGCGGTCGGAAAGGGCAGGGCAGGCTCTATCGCAGTGATCAACCGCGGCGTCCAGCCCAAGATTATTGGCCGATTCGAGTTCCCCGAGGCGAGGGGCTTCTGGACAGTTCGCGTGAAGAAGCCGGCCCCAAATGCGTTGGCAGCGCCTGCGGGCTCTGGTCAAGATTATGACGCCGCTGGCCACTATGACAAGTACATGATCGTCGCCAAGGTGGACTTGGATGGATATGAGACCTCCGATGTTTATGCGCTGACAGCCGCCGGTTTCGAGAGCATCAAGGACACCGAGTTTGAACCAGCAGCCGGATTTACTGTTGAGGCAGGCACCATGGGGAATGAGAATAGGGTCATCCAGGTTCTTAAATCTGAGGTGAGGTGCTACGACGGAGGTAAGTTCTTTGACATTGGACCAAAAGAGAACTAGTAGCTGACTCTGAGTAGATCTTGGTCTGGCGCAGATTCTGCCCATGTTTGATGAAGACACAAATACAGAGCCAAGAGTGCTCAGTGCAAGCATTTCTGATCCGTACTTATTACTTGTCCGGGATGACAGCAACATATTCCTTGCACAGATTCAAAGGAATAACGAACTCGAAGAAGTGGACAAGGATGAAAGCCCTCTGAATTCAACAAAGTGGTCGTCAGGATGCCTGTACAAGGATACCAAGGGCGTATTCCAAAGCTCGAAAGGCAGTGGTACTAGCGAGACCATCATGATGTTCTTGCTCAGTTCATCTGGGGCTTTACATGTAGGTTTCATTGAGAGAGCTTAAAACATTCTGGACAAGGCTGACCGGACTAGATCTACGCGCTCCCCGACCTTTCGAAACCCGTCTTCGTTTCCGACGGCTTATCGTATCTACCCCCCTTCCTCTCAACAGACTTCACTGTAAGAAAAGGCTCGCCTCGTGATACTTTCACAGAGTGTCTCGTTGCAGATCTAGGAGACTCCGTATCACAGACACCATACCTGATTGTAAGTATCGTCCAATATGATTAGATCACTGGGTCAATAATCTAACTTGTTTCAGTTGCGAAATTCAAATGATGATATTACATTATATGAGCCGCTGCGATTGTCAAACGGCGAAGACTCCACACTAAGCGATGCCTTGGTTTTCAAGAAGGCCTCTAATCCCGTACTGGCCAGAAAACCTATTGAGGAAGTCAAAGAAGATGATGATGAATCTGAACAACCGCGATTTGTTCCCTTGAGACCGAGTCAAAATGTCCAAGGATACAGCACTGTTTTCTTGCCCGGGCCCTCGCCAAGCTTCATCATCAAGTCCAGCAAGAGCGTCCCTCGCGTTGTGCCGCTACAAGGCTTGGGAGTCCGTGGCATGAGCTCCTTCCACACAGAAGGGTGCGACAGAGGCTTCATCTATGCCGATTCCGAAGGCATTGCGAGGGTAGCCCAGCTACCTCCTAACCATGACTTTACACAACTGGGCGTCGCCGTCCGAAAGGTTCCTCTGGGCGTTGAGGTCAAGCAGATCGCATATCATCCCCCCACTGAAACCTACGTTGCCGGATGCCTCACTGCAGAGTCATTTGAGCTCCCTCGAGATGACGATTACCACAAGGAATGGGCAAAGGAGACTTTGCCTTTTGCGCCAACGATGGCCCGTGGTGTTCTCAAGCTCATCAACCCTACAACCTGGACCGCTATCAATGATTTCGAGCTTGAATCGAGTGAGACTATTGAGAGCATGAAGACCCTCAACCTGGAAGTCTCCGAAGAGACAAAGGAAAGAAGGATGCTTCTCGCTGTTGGATCTGCTCTGTCAAAAGGTGAGGACCTGCCCACTAGAGGTAGGGTTCAGGTTCTCGACATTGTGACAGTCATTCCCGAGCCGGGCCATCCCGAGACCAACCGCAGGCTGAAGCCCGTCGCAAAGGAGGATATTCCTCGGGGCGGCGTCACAGCTCTCAGCGAGATTGGGACTCAAGGTCTGATGCTAGTAGCACAGGGCCAAAAATGCATGGTCCGAGGTCTCAAGGAAGATGGCTCGCTGCTTCCTGTAGCCTTCCTAGACATGAATTGCCATGTTGCATCTGCCCGCGCTCTCCCGCGCACCGGACTGTGCCTTCTTGCCGACACATTCAAGGGAGTTTGGTTTGCCGGCTACACGGAAGAGCCGTACACCTTCAAGGTTCTCGGTAAGAGTGGAAGTCGAGTGCCCATCCTAACGGCCGATTTCCTACCAGATGGAGAGGATCTTGTGATGGTCGCCATTGATGCTGATGGTGATATGCACATCCTTGAATTTAATCCCGATCGTGAGTAGTTTCCCCTTTTCACTACGCTTCAACCCTGGCAAAATTCTCCCTTTTACTTCAGGACTAACCTCGTATACAGATGCCAAGTCCTTCCAGGGCAGTCTTCTCCTCCACCGCACTACCTTCTCCCTCACACCCAACCCAGCAACCAACTCCCTTCTCCTCCCCCGCTCTTCCGATATCAACACCCACCTCCTCCTCCTCTCATCCCCCTCTGGCCACCTCTCGTCCCTGAGCGCCATAAGCGAGTCGGCCCACCGCAGGCTGTACTCCCTCCAGACACAGCTCCTCTCCATCGTCCCGTCCTACGCGGGCCTCAACTCCAAGGCTCACCGCCTCCCCTCCACGTCCTCGATCACCACGAACTCGGCGGGGAGGAGCATCGGCGTCGACACCGCGGCGGGGCGCAGCGCGGCCATCATCGACGGCGAAGTCTTGGCGAGATGGACCGAACTGGGCACCGCGAAACGGGCGGAGCTAGCTACAAAAGGTGGGTATGATGGCGTTCAGGAAATGAGAGATGAGTTGCAAAGCGTGCTCGGATGGAGTGGGCTGTCCTATTTTTGAAGGGGGTTATGGAAGCATGGAATGATGAGAATTTGCCTAAAAGAGATCTATCGGTAGTGTAAAGCACCCAAGTTTTAAAATGGAAGTACAAAGAAACACTTAGTTAGACATGATGTTAAATGATACTTGTCATAGCACGAGAAAAGTAGTTCCTCACCGAGCAATTTGGATTGAAAGATATTGTGAATCTATTCGTTGAAGCAGTCTTTAGTCTATCCCTTTGTTGACTAATATTTCCGTCTTGATGACATAGAAAAATCCCAAGTGTTGATATACACTGTAATCCAAAAACTCCTAAAGCCCAATTCAATAGAGTAATAGCCGGCTCTTCGCAGATAAAACGAGAGGAAATATCCTAAAAATGCAACGCTGTTAAGTCGATAGGGCGGTGTCGTACCACAGTATCATCGTCATAATAGTACAGTCCTCCAGGGGTATATACTTCATAAAGTAAGGAAAATTTGCGTGTGAGTGAGTGAGTGTGTGTGTGTGAGTACTCTTAGTTGACGAGCACATCTCTCTTTCGAGACAGGCCACCAAGGCGGCGCTTAACACCATCGGCGACCCGTCGGCCTGTGGAGATGCCGTCAACGGCAGAGGTGGCACGGTCATCGCCATTGCGGAAGTTGTGGCTGGAGCGCTGGGGGAGCATCTCAACAGCCTCCTCCTGGCCTTGGGCCTTCTTGAGCTTAAGGTCCCGCTCGTATTCGAACTCGCTACCCTTGCCCTTGAGGTCGTCAGGGTGGTATGTCTGAACGTCATTGTGGTTAGCTTGGTCATGCATGAACGGAGGCTGAACGGGGTTTATGCATTCACTTACAATTCCGTCCCACCGCTTGTAAGCACCACCCCCGGCAGTAGGGTCACGCATCATATCAGTGCCCTCCTCGTATTCCATGACATTGCCGGAGAGGTCTGTGTAGCCACTGGGGATGGTAGCCGTACCCTGTAGGGGGAGGTTCCTCTCGAGAGAGTCCTTGATGTATTCCGGGGGGGTTGCCTTGAGGGCCTCCATGTTGGAGTCACGGACGGCTTCGAGGGGCGAGTACTTCTTGTGGGTGTTCCAGCTGGCGGAAGCGGCATCAAAGGGACCACTGTGGTGGTAAGCTCCACCGACAGTGTCGAGGGAGTCAATGATGTCGGTTTGTGAGGGACGAGAGCGGTGGCGGCGGTGAGCAGTCTTGTGCTCCTTCTTAATGGTGTCAAGAGTGCGGGGAGCCATTGTTCTCAAGTTCTGCTCTGGCAGAGAGTGGAAGCGACGGTGAGTTGGTGTAAATGGATCCAGATCTGCAGGCCTGGTGTCGATGGGGACTTGGCTGGTAGATTGGGTGCGTGAGTGGGAGGAGAAGGGATTTGAAGGATGGAAGTCCCAAGCAGTCTGTCCGGCTGGGCTGTAAATGGGCTCAGCAGGTAATACGAATTTGCCAGTGACTGGGTCTCTGTTGATAATGCTAACAGGCCGCGAGACAGGTCTGGATTTGGCTGATGATGAGGTTGATGGGCGTGGGGCTGATTCCTGGAAGTGGATTTGGCTGGGCTCTGGGCTTGTCAGAGGCTCAATAAGATACTTTTGGGCCTAAATGTTCTGTTAGTAGAATTCAGGCACAAACGACGAGGGACGAGCCATATTATAGCAGAGCGAATGGATGAGGTCACATTGAGCAGAGAAGGGCCAGAAAAGTGGGAGGGTTGTCGTCAGCGATCATCGCCGGCAAAGCCACTGGCCACGCAGGACCCAAGCCGCTGGAGTCTGGGCACTCAGGGTCCAAGACTAGCACATTAAGCTTTGTCAGGGTGACGACGCGGCCTGTGACCGCATGCCGATCACGCTGCCGCTGCTCCCACGACTCGTCCGATGGCCCCGAAAAGAGGGTACATGAGCCGATCTTCCCTCGGAGTGGGCGGAAGGGTTCAGGGTGGGTTGGGAGCGTTGGTGATGGAAGGGAAGGGAAGCAGGTCCACACGAAAAGGAAACCACACCACAACTTACCCAGTTCTTATCATACTCGCCGTCGAGGGTGGGGAGCGACATGATGACGATTCTGTCCAAGGATGCCGACGGTGTGTTGGAGATGTTGGATGGAGCAACGGACGGGGCAATTAAGCAGATCGATCAAATCGATCAAGATCGGTTCGCAGTGGGTGATGGTATGAGACTCAAGTGCTAGTGCTGCTACTGTAGACAAGATCAAGTAGACGGTTCCTGATTGCGAGTTGGAGTTGCTGATGTCGGAAGTGTGAGTTGCTTGTTTCAATGTCTACCAGAGACGAAATGGATGAAGAGTTGAAGAGTTGGAGTGAAACCTAGAGAGCTGAGGGAGGGATGCTTGGGGTTTTAATGGCCACTCGAGGACAAAAGAGAGGCTCAGATCACTTTTCAATAGGGACAGCCCCGGGCAAACCCAAAGAACTAACGCCACGGGAACTCAGGTTGCCTCTCTGACAGGACAGCCTCAGCGAAGCTAAACCGCCCATTCCGCCTGCACGCCCGGGATACCCTCTGCCATTGAAGCCAGGGCACGGGACTAGGCGCCCGGGGGGAGGCACAGACAGACAGACATGCATTGCTCAGGCGCCACCTCCGTCCACCCCAGAGGTAAACTCAAAGCCTCGACCATGGCCGGTATGCAGGATGGCGCTCTACAATGGCCAGCTGGCGGGCTAACAAAGCACAAGAGCGAGAAGGCGGTTTTAGGTTCAATGCGCTCAGGCCCACGGAAGCCCCCGCGCACCCATGTGACAACCGCCACCCGGGTCAGATCAGGCCTGTGGCAGGCTTCGATCATCAGTCATCCTCCGCCAGCTAATGGAGGTGGGCCAGATGTCGCCAGGTCGCAGAGCAGATCGCCTCTTTCTGAGAAGAGCTTACAGCAGCACTGCCTGTCCTGTCTTACTCGGTTGACGCCTACAGATAGCTCTCTGTCAATTGATGAATTGATCCAGCGCCCAGAGGATGATGGAATGTGATGGGACATGTAGGTGGTGGTGCCGGAGGAGGCCGGGCCATCTAGCCAGCCCACTAGCGAGTCAAGGCCTCAGCTTGCCGTGGTGTGACCCAGGATCTGGGCAGCCGGGATGACGCCCTGTGGGGTGATTGATCGGTCTGAAGGTTGGATGTGGCCGTCCAGGGTCCAGGGCCAACATCCTTCCAGTCTTCCCGAAGCCAGACACACACCCGCCGCGCGGGACAGAAAATAAAGTTCGTCTCAAGTGTCCATAGACCTTCTTTGCCCCTTGGGCCAGGGGCACGATGCAAGGTCCAGGCCAATGGAAAACCGAAGGGGATAATGGCCGAATAGAGTCTCTTGAGTGACTCAAACAGCTGAAGCCAAAAACGGCACCGACGCGGGGTGGAAGTGGCGCTGGACCTGCATTGGTAGAGGACCTTCTGTCTCGGATACTCTAACCCAAATGTTTGGGGCAAATCACGGCATAGGTAGCATTCACAGCTTGGAATGAAAGCATTATGTTTTGAACAGGAGCAAGCATCTACGCCTGCTGAACGGGTTGGCATGAACAATTGATGCTTTTCCAGGTCTTTTCAATCCTCACACAGGGTCGTCAGAGAGTCACCAGTTTCTGTCATGACTGCTTCGTTGCGGAGTGGCCGACATCGGAAACTTCCACCAAGCCAAGCTTTCAGTTATTGAACCAAGGGATTTCGTAACTCATTGATAATTAATAGCAATAGGCTTCGCATTGTGATCACTTGACCTACAAAATTATTACCACCAAAAAATTCAACATACGAACCTAAAAAAGCCAAATCCAAATTCAATCCAGCAAGCATAATGAGTTTTTACGACGGCAAGACCTTCGGGTCTGTGACCAACACCGCGAATGGTGAGGTTGGCGCTGAGACGCTCTTCCATTACCACCAACAAGCGGACATCGTCTGGGCCGAGTACTCGGGCGGCTCTATTGTTAGAGGCTCGCTAATAGCAACCGTGGCGTCCGATAATAGCCTCGACATGCGTTACCAACACGTCAACACCAAGGGAGAGCTTATGACGGGCCGCTGCCAGTCCCGGCCGGAGAAGCTTGCTGATGGCAGGCTGCGGATGCATGAGAAGTGGGAATGGACAAGCGGTGACAGGTCGACTGGCGAGTCGCTGATCGAGGAGATCGCTGAATCATCTCACGTCACCGAATAGAAGATCTTCGTCTAGGGATTGATCCTTGGTCAGTAGCCAAAATTAGCCCCGACTGGAGGAAGCCGGCAAAGAGCTTGGATGCAGGCTACCTACCCTAGACCGCAGCATGAGCTGTCAAACATTCTGAATCATGGTTCCAAACACTTGACTGATTATTTCTGGTTGCATTTTATTGGTGATTTCCTACTTCAAGATTGATTCGTAAATAATACTATTTAAATCATCGACCGCTCCTGATTATGTTCGTGGGTGGATGTTATCATGAGGATACTGAAACCATACGGGGATGGAAGTGAAGCCGAGGCCGAGATACCAGCGGTCCGTCAACGCGACCGCACATCATTCCACTAAAGATTCCAAGCGAGCCGCAGGAAACTGCCCATGCCTAGAGCTACGGAGTCTATGACGGCAATAGGAAAAAATCTCCTCGCTTCCAGCCTTAACGCGGCCCCGGGTCGGGTGTACGCCCCACTCCATCTCCAGACGGAGGGACAGGCCGTAAGGCCCAAGCTCTCGAAGGACCTGGAGGCTCAACAGACCATCGTACGTGAGATCTGTCCCTGCTACAGGCCATGTCGGCGTTTCATCCATTCTTGGCATTATATGAAACGTCCATTCGGTGTGTTTGAGAGAATTCAAGGTTAGGGGGACGTTTCAAATCGCGCTGCCTCGGACCTTCATCAAAATGGACCATGTTTCTATAATGAGGCCTTGTTCCGCCGTGCTTTTACCTTTGTCAGCTGGGAGTTAAAAAGTAACTGCGCGTATATACTAGCCGGATACTACGGGTCATGGGCATGTAAAATTCTTGGATGGTTGAGCGATAACTCCTCTTGAATCAGCCATGCTTATCCTGTCCATCGGGCTTGCATATGCCGAGCTGCCACCACGGAACGTCTAACTGAGGAGCACGAATTATCCGCCCTCTTTCCTTGAGTTTAGCTGGGGGAACCTACGTTTTTCAAGACGGTCTCAAAGTATCCATGTTAACATGCCAGCTACACCACCATTCAGCGAGGCATTGGGCACGCTGACTAGAGCCTCTCCATCCCTTGTTCCGCGAGCTCCATGAAGATGGAGTGGGAATTTTTGGTAGCAAAACTCCGGGGCCGCAGGAGCTTCTCGTAGATCGAAAGCTTCTAGAATTCGGAAATCAAAGCTACGTTTCCGTTGTTGACTGGGAGAACGAGGTGGATGATGGTTACGGTTTTATAGCTCACCACGAGTAGTAGGTTTATTGAGAAATCCGGATGTATTATAAATGGTAAGAAAAAAGTAAAGAAAAGCAAGTGAGGACGGGAAGGTGGAAGTGTATGTCCATTTTATATTTGGCGACTCCTGTCTCCTATCCAGATCAAATTCGTTCCCCTATGGTTGTCTAACTATATCTTGAGAATGGAAAACAGCAACTTGCTATCAAGAAAATCGGGCGGTTTCGTAGTGAATTTACTTTTTGGAACACTGATAGGATAGGTCGACGAGTTTCAATTTCAGGGTGTGATACTACTTCACCTCACTTCCGAGGTATGCAGTCCAGCCACTCATAGGTAGTAGGTGAGTTTAGTGGCTGAGGAGCATTGGAAGGTTAATCGGGTATACGAACAAAAACTCGGACATCAAACAATAATCCCAAGCCTAGGACTCGAACCTAGATCTCTGGAAACCCATTTCTCACTTGAGGCTGGAATTTTCAGCTCTACTGTAGTTTGGGGGGAGATGTTGCTGCTGCTTGAGGAGGAGAGGTTGTAGGTGATGTGGACAGTGAGGGCCTAAGTGCCTGTAAGTTGGGTGCTGGATGTACCCAGGCGCTGGGTCTCCACTGGATGAACCCAGCCTTTCCACAAGCACAGGCCCAGCTGGAGGTCTTCTCCTACAGCGGCGTCAGGAGCTTCATTTTGAAATGAGGGTCATGCCGTTTTTTTTTTGGATCAACAATGACCATAATTATGCCATGTACTCAGATCTAGCATATGGATAGATAGTGTTCGTTTTTCTATTATCTTGTAGGGCGGTCCTCTGATGCCCCTATCTTTTCAGCGCCTCAGGGTTCAGGCCATCGCCTAACACTCAATCTGTGCTCGTTCTCAATCGTCGATCGTTCGCGACGCCGCCATGCGAGTAGTAACGGCCACTGGACACCTCCCAATTTCAATTCATGCACAAGAACCTTCAGCTCATAACGGCGAATATCTGACGGAGATATCTGGAATATTCTTTTCCTGTCACGGCAACAACTGATGCAAATAACCTAGCAGCCAGCCTGGGGCGTAGAGTCTGGCTCTCAACATCGAGATCAACTGCCCGACATGGCGTTGGTCGACTATTCATCCTCCAGCTCAGCCTCAACCGAGTCGCTTCACCAGCAACCTCCAGCCAAACGCCACAAGGTAGGCGACTCGGAAACCTCGACGCCTGGCCGCCTCAGCTCGCCCGCGGTCAAGGTCGACGGCCAGGATGGAAAACCTAGCAAGCGATCCGCGATGCCTCCCTTACCCTCCACATTCCACGACCTGTATGCTTCCACCGTGCGCCAGAGCGTGGTTGACGACCCAAGTCTGCATCATGGCCGGAAAAGGCAGACTCCACACATTGTTGGGAATTGGCCGTCCCATCTCTACATTGAATGTGTGTTATTCCTGTTTCACACCTCACTTGTTCACTCGAGACCATAGACATACGGAACTAATATGTGATCACTAGGGAATCCCACAAGTCCTGAATACGACATGCTCGTCAACTTAGTCCAGGACGTTGAAACAGAGCTCCAAGGCAAGGTCAAGCTTCACAACTTCCTCACAAGCGACCTCGGCTCCCCCTTGCCCCTGCACATCAGCCTGTCCCGGCCGTTGAGCCTCACGACGGCGAGCAAGGACGACTTCCTGGAGAGGGCGGCCGGCGCCATCCAGACCGGCGCCGTGGGCCCCTTCGCCGTGAGCCCCCGCACCCTGGCCTGGTACAAGTCCCCAGACTCCGACCGCATCTTCCTGATCATCCGGGTCGCGAGCCGGGACCTGCTTGGCAAGGGCGCGGGCGCGCTGAACCCGGAGCTCGTGGCGCTGCTCAGGCGGTGCAACGGCGTGGCCTCCCAGTTCGGCCAGCCGCCGCTGTATAAGCACCACGAGGACGGTGGCAGCGGCGACGAGGCTGTGGGCGTGGCGTTCCACATCTCCATCGGCTGGACGTTTGACGTGCCCGGGGAGGAGATGAGTCTACGAGCGATCAAGGTCTTCAAGCGAAGTAAGTACGCGGAGGTGCGGAAGTGGGAGATTGACGTGTCGGCAGTCAAGGCCAAGATTGGGAATTCTGTGCATCACATTCCGCTGGGCAGGGCTGGCAAAGGCGGGATCGCTGGGCGCCCTGAAGCACCTGACTACTTCTGAGTCATTCGTATTGGGGATACTCAGGGCTTGTTCAGATATGATTTAGTGAGTAAGGGATTACTATGTAGAGCGGGATATGCCCATTGAGGCTGGGAAGCTTTCCCGTCTTTCGAGCCTGGGAGGGGTGACAAAAGACATGCAACGACAACTTGGAGGGCTCATCGTGAGCATAGTACCGGCGATGGTGAATAGAATAATACTTCAATTGTAACATGAATAAACAAATTATGTTTATTATGCTTAGCATACTTACCAGGGCTTGCAATATTTTCATGTTGACTCATTATTGTGGACAAGAAACATTCGAGGGTTCGAAGGACCCCCGGCGCGCTGTGGGTGAATCAATGTCTACTGCAGGACACTATTCCGGGCTCTACTGTTCATTGATCCACATTGCGTCATCGAGAAAGCCAACTGACAACAATCTACAGACAAACCGCGCATAGCCAGTCACAGTCTGCGTTTCTGTCATGGTAAAATGGGTGCGCATGAAAGACGTTGGTTTGTGCGTCTGGGCCTGGGGTGAACGGGCGGGGTGACCGGGACCGGCCTGTCTAAGTGGGCTGCAAAAGGCGTTGTACGAGCAAGCGAGGAGGATGCTTTGGTCAGTTGCAAAGAACCATTGGTCATACACAATGCGTCGGGTTCTCTGTCCGTGAGATAGCCAATGGAAAGAGACTGATGGGCGCTACTCGGGCATGGTTGGTGATCTGGGGTAATAGCAGGTACTTGTGTCTCACATCGAATCTTTTGAATTGAGCAAGAAGCTCAGGACCATTCCAGAATCGTTGCGATCGAATCGAAGTTGCAGGGGACTTTTGAGAATTCGGGAGGCTGGTCTGTGGAGAAAGAAAGACGGTTGTCCCCGTTCACCGTTTAGAACTGCATGAGTTGACATGCGGTGCCCAGAAGAGGTCTCGTGATAGTCTTGTCCAGCTGCTAGTATAAGTACCTGGCTAGACATGTGCTTGTCTCTCATGGAGGACTAGCAGGCGGCGGGGAAGAGATTAACGTCCGATTTTGAGCCCTTTTCTATTCGTTGGGGGCGCGGAGGCGGGAAAAAGCAATTAGCAACAGGTCATGATACCGGCGACTATCACTCCGCTTCGCACCACTCATACGTCTCTTGTACAAGAAAACGTGACGGTGGCTGGACGCAATATCCATGTCTAGAGGCCAAAGCAAACCCGGCGACAGGGTGCTGGGTGCCCCTCCACGTATGGCGGGAGCATGGACACAATCAAGAACAAGACGAGGTGAGAGTGTTGCTTGTTCTCGGGCCTGGTAGTTACCCGCCTCCCTCACACAATAACAACGAAGAATAGCATAGCATGAGAAGTACCATCTCGTGGTGTGAGCAGTGATTGTGTGAACAAGCAGAACCTGCTGCTTGCAAGGTCAGGCCAGGCAGTGGGCACCCTTGTCCACTCTTCCCACCTTTTTGCCGTGGGCTGGGCTGGGCGGACAGCGGACTGGGCTGCGCTCTAGCAAGCAGAACCTCAAAAACACCATTTCTGCCCCCTCTCTGCTCTTTCCTTCTCCCTCTCTCTCTCCCTCCTCTCATCTGCTCTCCTCGAAATTTGTGCTCTCTGGGACTTTCCGTACAAACACTCTGCCCTGGTGTTTTAATCCCCTTGCGTCGCTGTCTCACACACAGCCAAGCCTCCGCACTCTCCTGTGCCTGCCCGCACCCCAAAGCCCCCAAAGGTCCCCTACACCACTAAGTAGCCCGCCTGTACTTGGGCAAGGCTGTAGCTCGCCAAAGTGGTCCCCTGGCCCGGTTCTTGGTGTGCCCCGCCTCGCCTGCACGGCCCGTTTTCTGCCAAAACAACAAGAGCTTCACCCATCACCACCAGAGGCGCAACTTCTCCGGCGCACACCAATTGGCACTGTCCTCACGCACAGCACACCTGCCACCGCCATGGATATCGACATGAGCCGCCGGAACAAGTCGCCTCGTCCCCTATCTGACGGGGAGCGAAAGCGCTTGGATGAATTCATCGACTCCATCCACTACTCCAACCGGTGAGTCTTTGTTTACGCCCCAACTTTCTCCCCTCGTGATGTTTCCCCTCGCCTTTCCCTCTTCCCTTTTCACACCGGAAACAAGCTGACGGGGCGAATGTTCGAACAGATACAACGATAGTTTCTATGAATACCGACACGTGCAGCTCCCGAAGGCTATGCTCAAGGTCATTCCCAAAGACTATCACGACGAAAACAAGGGAACCCTGAAGCTATTATGGGAGGAAGAGTGGCGAGCACTGGGCATCACGCAGGTACGTTCACGCACCGACTGGTCTCACGAGTGCGCCGTGTGCGCGTCGCAACCTTTTCTGTTGATTTGTTTCTGACTGAACGTGCAGAGCCTGGGATGGGAACACTACGAGGTCCACGAGCCGGAGCCTCATATCCTCCTCTTCAAGTAAGCCTTCTTTCCTGATACAACTTTTGTGAGATCATTCTCCGAGTCTAACAAATAACCCCCTCTTTTCCAGGCGCCCTATCAACTACCAGCCCCCTACTCAGTGAGCCAAAACCTCATGGCCTTTCCTTGTTTTAATAACTCGCCAATCGATCCCTTCTTACGCCGCGACGGTCCCACCACCTTTCCTTGACGATTTTACGGTCTGAAACGCTTTGATGAAATAATTGGCCAGCACGACTACGCTGTCGAAACTACCTACTGGTTGGATTGGAAACAAAATACTCCTGTGACCCCTTGAGACTTGACTGTGGACAGTTCGGGGGTGGGCGTGAAGGATTGATTTTGTCACATCAGGCAACCATGGGAAGGCTGGCAGGCTTTTACTTATTTTGCAGTTCTACCACTCAGGTGTTTACTTCTTCTCTTGTCTCCTTGCCTACCGTCTGTGCCTCCCCCCTGGAAAGAACCCTCCATAGCCCTGCGCTGTATTTCTTTTCTGGGACTCTCAAGCCTTTTAATAAGACTGTTGTGTCATGCATCGCAGTTGGATGCTAGGTTTATTTCATGGAAATTTTCTTGGAGTTGGTAGAGAAGGACTAGACCCATCTAAATAAACCGAGAAAGTTTAGTTTGCTGGAATCTACCCTCGTCTAGTGATGATGACTATGCTGCCCATCCGTGAATGCAGGCGTGGTGACAGATGTGAATGCAGTTCGATGATTTTCCGGCACGAGTCAAGCTTATCGGTCCTTATCAGAAAGCCCCAACTGAACCGCCACTAGTACCTACTGTTTTTTTTCTCCGTTGGACGAACCCACACTAACGTTAGCCAGTTCGCGGTCACAACTGCCCCGCCACCCACGTACAAGACAGACGCCAATTAACACCTACTGCATCATATTATCGCCTTGACTAACGCTGAATTACGTACTTGGTTAGCAGGCAGAGATGGTAAAAACGTGGCCAAACCTGCCTGCAGACGAGTCATTGGCAGACGGAGCCGTCGGAACAGGGATGTACTCTACCTGAGGGCAGCCACTTACAGCGCCAACCCGCTGTATCCGTAGATTTGGGCGTCACGACAAGCGGCCGTGGTAGCCTCCATGGTTGGAGGATGTATTACTAGGTAGCAAGGCGCGGTCCAAGCCAGTAACATAGGTATGACAAGAGGACCTCTCGATACAGACGGTGTAATGGAATACAAGTACGCGCGATCTTTACATTCCTAATGGAGTATGTGCGCTCCAGCCGCAAAAAGAGGCGGCAAGGGGCTGGGCGATCATGTAGCGAGAATGGATGGAGTAGGTGGTACCGTGTACGGATACGCATGACCATTCGTACAGGTACTTCTAATCTTCCTCGCTCGGCAGTGCACCTAGCCCGGTCGGCTCTTACTGACTTCTCAGGTAGGTATTTTAGGAGAGATTCCAATTACCAATCCAAGGGTCGGAGATGTAGAGCTACATCAGGCCACATTGGCCTAAAAGGGTATCATGGAATTGAAAATCGTCCGCCCTGGCCCGTCACATCTGGCGTTGGGGAATCCGCCAGCGTGTCTTCTTTGTTTCACGGGTTGTTAAAAATTCACCGGACCTGTCCAGGACAATTGCAACTTCCTTCGCTTCATTTCTCGTTCCCTGAGTCTCTATTTGCTAGAGACCTTCTCCTTCGTTTTACCACCACGTTCTGCAGGAGCAGACAGGGGACCACCTAAGTCTGTGCACTTTCCGCCGGTAGACAATACCTGGAGCTTATTTATAGTGCATTTCTGGAAGTACCTCCACCGCATCGATACTTACACGTGGGCTACATCTTGTCTCCAACAGCCAGGCTGAAATTTCTGGATTTCAACCTGGAAACAATTCATCGATATTCACCATGAAGTCGGCAAGCCGGTTATTCTACTTGTCGCTGTTTGCCCTTTGGGCGCCTACTACCGTATGCTCTGAGCAGGAAGATTGTGCCGTAAGTAGTAGCTTGCGCCAAAGGACCCAGAAGGCTCGCTTCTAACTTTGCCTCTACAGATATCCCCCAAAGCCATTGTCCAAGATGCCTGTGCATCCTACGCTACTCTTGACCGCCTGAATGCGCAGGTCAAGCCTGCCCTCGACGACCTCACCCGAACCACCGACTTCTTCTCCCACTACCGGCTCAATCTCTTCAATAAGGCCTGTCCCTTCTGGGACGATGAGGGTGGCATGTGCGCCAACATTGGATGCGCCGTCGAGACGCTAGATAACGAGGAGGACATCCCCGAGGTCTGGAGGGCCGCGGAGCTGGGAAAGCTGGAAGGCCCCAGAGCGAAGCACTTGGGCCAGAGCGCCAGGAAGAGGCACCCTGAGAAGCCCCTCCTAGGAGAGTTGGGTGGCGCTGTTAGCGAGGGCTGCGTGTTCGAATACGACGATGAATGCGACGAGCGAGATTACTGTGTTCCCGAAGACGAGAGCGCCGGCTCCAAGGGTGACTACGTCAGCCTCCTCCGAAACCCAGAACGATTCACTGGCTACGGTGGCATGGGATCCAGGCAAGTCTGGGATGCCATCTACCGCGAGAACTGCTTCCAGCGCAGCTCCTTCCCCCACACGGCCAACTTGGGCTCCTCGTCCCCGAAAAACCTCGCGCAGCAGGACTTTAAGCAGGTCCTGGACGCCGCTGCCCGACAGCTTACAAACGACAAGCCCGAAGTTCCGAGCGGCGATGTCGAGACCAACGACGAGTGTCTAGAGAAGCGTGTGTTTTACCGCGTTGTGTCCGGAATGCACGCCAGTATCAGCACCCATCTGTGCTGGGACTTCTTGAACCAGACAACCGGCGAGTGGCACCCCAATCTGTCGTGCTACGCCGCCCGTCTTCACCCATTCCCAGACCGCATCAGCAACCTCTACTTCAACTACGCTCTTCTTACACGCGCGGTCGCCAAGGTTGGCCCTTACCTCAAGGACTACACCTTCTGCACTGGCGACGAGGTTGAAGACATTGCGACCCGTAACAAGGTCCTCGAGGTCACCGACCGCGCCGCCACCGTCCCCCAGATCTTCGACGAAGGCCTCATGTTCGTTAACGGCGAAGGGCCCTCGCTGAAGGAGGATTTCCGCAACCGGTTCCGCAACGTCAGCCGTATTATGGATTGCGTTGGCTGCGACAAGTGCCGGCTGTGGGGCAAGATCCAGACCTCGGGCTACGGGACGGCCCTCAAGGTCCTGTTCGAGTTTGACAACGCCGAGGACCTCCCCGTGCTGAAGCGCACTGAGCTGGTTGCGTTGTTCAACACCCATGCCCGGCTGAGCTCTTCTCTGAACGCGCTCGCCAAATTCCGCGACATGTTGCAGGAGAGCAGGAAGGGACAGGAATCTGAAGAGACCAAGAAGGAATCCGAAGAGACCAAGAAGGAGCCTGAAGAGATCAAGAAGGAGCCTGAGCCAGAACCTGAGGAGAGCAAAAAGGAGCCAGAACCTAAGGAGTCGGTGGCAGCCACCCCTAATGAAATGAAGGAGGAGAAAACTATGGGTGGCGAGTCCACACCGGAGGAGGAAGAGGAGGAAGAGCCCTTCCGGCCTCTGACCGTCACAGAATCGTTCAAGCGCGAGTTTGGAATGGTCTGGGACGCGGTCGCATTGGTTACAGGAAGCTGGTTCAGAGCGCCCAAGGCATTGTGAGTAATCCCCCCTTCCCCCGCCTATTCTCTCACCCAGCTTTGAGAATGCCTTCCCATTCTTGCCTTGCCTCGAAATGAAGCTAACTAATGGCCATAGCATTCATATATTCACCTCCGAAGCCAATAGGTTCTTCCGATTTTGGATCGGGCTCCCTGTACCCGATCGGGATTGGTCATTCCAATGGCCCAGTCTCCAGCGAGACGAGCTATAGGCTTCGAAAGAGCGAGAGTTGTTTACTGCATTCTAGATAATTCTTGCATAGGGCAAGTCATTGAGCGGACGGGAACTAGCATTTCATACAGGCGTTACTCTAGGGATCATCCCCTCTGTATTTTTCTTCCTTTCCTTTTTCTTCACCTATAGAGAGCATGGGCATAAAGAATTGTATTATTTTGTCTATACAGCGACACCAAGAAATTGATTACATTTGAGTCTTCTGTGCATTCAAGGTCCAGGGCTTGACTAACATGACTGAGACATGAGCCGGCTATCATGCGAGTGGCTGGCTTAGACGGCCGTTGGGGCTTGGAGGGCCGATTTGATGTCTGAGGTGGGAAAGTGAGTGGTCTGACCCAGACAGTGTGAGAGTTCGGGGACGTCTTCTGACGTCAGATGATGCATTGGGCGAAATAGGGGACCTGCATGAACTACGGCCGGTTCGTGGTGCAAGGCATCTGGACGAAAGGCTGCATTCTTGGGCCGTGCACGAGTGATGAACATATTTGAGACGATAGGGCTGCCACTGCCATGCACAGTGAGTCAACAATATGACAATCATTACCTATCAAAAAGAGCAGCCGATCAAGAAAACCGAGGGTCGCATCCCGAAGCCGGCAGCATAGGCACCAGCGGTGTCACGCATATGTACACACGTGACTGCGCAGCACAGAGCTGAATGATGCTGCCGGTGGGCATCTGTGGGGGTGTGCTGGGGTGCTGTGGTGGTGGTGGTGGGGTGCCTCCAGCTCCAGGCTCCAGGCTCCCGCTGCTCCTCATGCAGCGGGCCAGCTGGCGATAGCGATTAGGCCAAGGGAGCCTCTAGCTACTAACCATCCATAGCTCGTCGATATCCCACCTGCACCAAGACTCTTCCCCAGCATCCGGTCCATGGCCATATGAGCTTGCCCCAAATGGCGCCCTGGGCCCTGCCGTCTTCCGGAAACAATGTATAACCGCGACTCCAAGATCATGCGCAAGCTGCTTGGCAAGTCGGCGCCCGACACCTCGTCCGGCGAGCACTCCTCCATCGTCGGCAACCATAGCTCCATCCCCGCGACCTTCCGCCCCTCCAAGTCGCAGGACTCCGTCTACGTCGCCGGCGTCCCCATCTCGTGCCTCGACGTCTCGCCCGACCGGCGCGCAGTCGCCCTCGGCGGGCCGCACATCCTCAAGACCATCGTCCACGAGGACCACCCGACCAACTTCGGCTTCCGCTTCAGCGACGGCGTCGACCTGCGCGCCGCCATCACCGCCCAGCCCGCCACGGGGATCAAGGCCAACGCGACGCCCGACCAGCTAAACATCCGCGACGTCAAGTGGCACGGGAGCTCCACCATCTTCACGGCCTGCGCCAATGGGCGCATCTTTGCCTACGATGTGGCGCGCATCGGTGCCGGCGGCTCGGAGCCGCTCGAGTACATCCACATGCAGGAGGACTCGCGCCAGGTCAATACCTTGGATGTGAACCCTCATTTGAATAGCTGGCTGCTGTCGGGCAGTCAGGACGGCCTGGCGCGGGTCTTTGATACCGCCAATCCGATCCACACGCGGTCTGGCGTCTTGACCTTCCGCCAGCGGTTTGCGGCTCTACGCTGTATCGATTCCATCAGGCAGGTCAAGTGGTCGCCGAGGGTTGGGCATGAGATGGCCTGTTGCACTGACAGTGGTGTGGTGATCAAGTGGGATGTGAGGTCGCCGTCACGGCCGCTGCTGAGGATCAACGCTCACGAGAAAGCTTGCACGGGCATCTCGTGGCACCCTGACGGCATTCACCTAATCACTTCCGGCTCGGACTGCAAACTGCACGTGTGGGATATGGGGAGTACCGCCGACCGAAGGCAGAAGCCGAAATGGACAATTTCCACGCCGGCTCCCGTGTCAGCTGTGGCATGGAGACCCGGACTATGGTCGGCTACAGCACGGAGTCGGAGAGCAGCCCAGGTTGCAGTCACCTATGACGAGAACAGCACACGGCGATATGGGACATCTGTGGTTCACATCTGGGACCTCGCTCGGCCGACGCTGCCGTATAAGGAGATTGAGCGCTTTGACAGCTCGCCGGCCGCAATGGCCTGGCAGGATCAGGATATGCTCTGGACAGTTGGGCAGGATGGATTATTCAACCAATGTGACGTCGCACATGCGCCCCGGACCTTGGACCGCCGGCCTACTTCTTCCATGGCGTTTTCTTCCAAGGGGGATGTTCTTATGTTTCTGGACGAGCGCGCTCAGCAGCACAGGCCCCGGCGCTCATCAGTTCTGAATGCTTCCGAGGTGATTCCACGTAGCTCGTTCGACTCGAGCCCCCGAATGCCAATGCTAAGTGTGAGTCGAAGCGACTCTGAAGAGGATGTTCTGGGAAGCTTCATCAGTCCACGGCGGGGAGCGCGGAAGAGACGGTCGATCGCTAGAGCCGCGAACTCGCTGAGCACCACGCCACCGTCGAGTATGGAGGATACGAAACTTGTCCTCGGACTCGAGCAGGCAATAAAGACCACGGGCACTTTCAAGTCTCAACAGGCCATGGCCTCTGGCCATCTACCAGCGGCCAAAACGGCCTCGAGTTACCAATATCTCGCCGGTATATATCTTGAGACGCTGGAGAAAGAGCTTCCTTACAAGGAGGATGGCAAGCCCATGGTTGATAGGGTGGCCAAGATTATGGAGAGGTATGCTGAGGCTGCCGAGGCTGCCAGTCTGTTCAGACTGGCGCAGACATGGAGAGTTCTTGCTTTTGCCGTGTCTCTGCTTCTCAAGCGCCGGGCACAGTACCATCTGGAACTCCGACTCTCGCAGTTTCAGAAGTTGAAGCTGGAGGTCCATAGGGCGGTAAGAGGAAGGAGGTCTGGTGACGCGACGCCCAGGCGCCCATCAACCGTGGCCAACGGTGGTGCTGACAGCCGCTTGTTGGGCCGCTCTCTCCTCTCGGATGAGATAGAGAGCACATCCAATGTCCCGACACCAATAGCAAGGCCGGTCGACCACCAAGGGGCGGACAGCAATGGACAGAATTTCCAATACGGGAAGCGATTGACTCCCATCGTCGAGCCAGACTCTTTCACCATTGGCCCAGCCGCACATGAAGAATACATGCGCCGCTCTAGCACCCCACGTCGCCGCCTAGATTCTGTCCCCATATCTTTGACCAGCGAAGAAAGCGAGATTTCAAACACCGAGGGGTATGATTTCTATGATACGGAGGCGTTGGCACACGCGATTGATGTCCCTTCACCCAAGACGAGCCAGGATTGGATTGCCCGAAAAGCAAAGGAGCAATCCAGGCCGACGTCCAAGATTTCGAGGCAAAACTCGGATGAGAGCTATGGGCAGCTGTTTTCGATATCCGAAACAGGCCAGCTCTCCAGGCGAAACTCGGGGCCCGCTGGTGGGCTTGCGAAATCCAATCTATCACACTCGGAGTCTATGAGAACTAGCGATGGAAGCAGCGTTGAGTATAGTAGCCGAATCCGAGGCGATCATCTGCGACGGGACTCCCCCGAAAAGGACCAGCCACGAAAGCAATACAAGACTGACTCGCCAGAGGAAGTCTTCATGATATCTCAGACAACAGTCACAACTGATGACGACACGTACCCATCGCAGACATCTTTCGCCTCTCAGGATTCAGAGAATTATAGTCGGTCAGTGGATGGTGATATCAAATTCCCCTCACCCAGACCTGAAGCTCGTAATCCAGCTCTTTCGAGGAGGGCGTCTTGGGACTACCAGTACGACCCTCGATCATGTATCATTGAAAGCGACTACATCCCCTGGGCCGACGATCCGCCATATCCTCATCCCCTGCTTGCATCTACCTCAAAGCCGTCGTCCTCAGTGCCTGCTCTGAACCCGTATGCTCTCATCACCCGAGCCCTCAACTTCGAATCCAAGTCGACCGCTCTTAACGCTTCGGCCATAATACTACTTCTCAAGCCCCTTGTCCCGAACTCCGTCATCGAGACCCCCCATGCCAGAGCCATACTGCGCCAGCACCACTCTCGCTTGATGGGCATGGGGCTCTTCGTCGAGGCCGCTCTGCTTCGAAACCTCTGCATCCAGGGCTGGCCCGAGGGCCTCCCATACTGGGGCGAAAGCTACACGGCAATCTTCGCCCCCGGCCAGGACTCCGTCAAAGTCAGCCTCGCGTGCTCCTCCTGCGGCCGCCCACGCGAGATCGACCCCCTCGACAGCTCTGCTAGTGTCTGGACTTGCGAGAGATGCAAGTCTGTCATGGCCCCGTGCGCTGTCTGCGGCCATCGTGAGCCTGAGCTCGCAGCCCACGACCCCATCGAGGAAGCAGCCGCGCACCCCGAGATGATCTCCCTCTCCGAGTGGTTCTACTGTCCTGGATGCGCCCACGGCGGCCACGCATCGTGTATCCAGACGTGGCACTCCGTCATGCCTTCCGATCCCACTGCTAAGTACAGTGGGGGATGCTGCCCCATGGACGGGTGCGGCCACGCCTGTCTCCCGGGGAAGTACCGTGGCGAGATGGCCACCGCGCGCGCGGACGAGCTCGCCCGCGTGGCGGTGGAGCGCTCCCGGTCGAGGACGTCGAGCCCCCAGCCCCGCGGCGCCGGGGTGGTGAGGAGCGACCGCGACGATGTGCCACAGAGCAAGGCCGTGGGGATGGCGCGGGAGGCGCTGAGCAAGGGCTCATCCGGTAGCGGTGGGATCCTTAGCTCGAGTCCTGGGAGGATGATTGGGGAGAGGGAACGGAGGAAGAGCGTCAAGTTTGCAGGGACGGATCGATGAAGCATGAGGGGGCAGGAGTTTTGTTCTTTTAACGTTTTTTTACCCCTTTTGGTTTTTTTGGGGGGCGTTTTTCTGGAGTGGCATTCACGGGCTGCTCTTTTTCTTAATGATTTTCACGTAGTCCTTTTCTCGGGCAGTGTAGTGTACATTACTCGTCTTTGGGCTTGGAAAGGGCCACTGTATGTGTGTTTGGATATATTGTATTAAATCAAACGCTCTGCTATGCTAGAGATAAATTACGCTAATTCACCACCCCCTCCGGCGCGCTCGCGTGACAGAACTATATGCTAAGTTGATCAAGATTTGAATTCCGACCCTGATTTTGAGCAGGAAACCGTTTTTTTTCACGCGACATTCTCCCTCAGCCCCTTTGTCCGCAACGTGAAGTTGACGTCGCTTTCCGCGAACGGCAGCGAGAGCCCCTCAACGCTGGCCCCGTTCTCCTTGACGGGGCTGTGTAGCGCGTCACCGTGGGGATGGAGAGTAGCCTGGCTGTCTGTGCTTCCCCTCCGGCTGCTCTCGCCATCGGCGGACGGGGGCGCCAGGGAGTTCCTGCTCATGAGCCGGCCGAGCCACAGACCCCTCACGCCGCCCTTCTTGCGCTCGGGGACGTCCTCGGAGCCGGCGCTGCAAACGTATAGGAGGTATTTCAGGTTGGGGAGGGAGTGGCGGATATCCACCACTTTGAGGCCCTGGGAAGCGCAGAGCGCCTCGATGTCCTTGTTGAGGAGAAACCAGGCGTATTCGAAGCGCCACTGGCCGGTCGTGGAACCGCCACGGGGAAGGTAGAGTGGGAAATCGCGGGTGGTGGATTTTGAATCGGGGAGATGGGATATGTCATCGCGGGTGGAGGAGCGGGAACCATATGGGTAGAGAGGGTAGGGGATATGATGTGACAGATAGAATTGGAGATGTTTTGTGAGGAGGGTAACGAGGCCAAGACCGGCGGATAGCGTATCCTCGCTAATGGTACGGGCTATCGTCGCGTCGTAGACTGAATTCGGCAGCGGTATGTTGCAGATCTGGAAGGACAGGGGCGGCGCGTTGGGGATGGGGGTGATGGGGAATATCTCTGACAGCTCGGAGCAGATACGGCGGCGCTGCCCATGGATCTGCCGCTCGGTCTGCTCGACAAGCTGCTTGGATGCCTCCAGCTGCTGGCGGTTGTTGGCAATATCCTCCTCCGCCTCGACCTGCTGCTCTCTTCCCTTTGCAATCGCCGCTCGGCGGTTGGCGAGCGACTCTCTAAGCTCGTCTCGTTTGCGCCGCGCGATGGCGTTGGCCCGTTGCTGGGCTGAGACATAGGCGTTCGCAACCTTTACGTCCTCTTGTGCCATGTCGGATGAATCAGGGGGATCCTCTTGCAGGATGTTGTTGATCTGGTGCATGATGTGCTTCTGTGTCTCGATCGCGTCCTCAATTGAGCTTTCCAGGTTGGCGAGCTTCATCAGCGCATTGTACGACGAGGTCGGGATGGGCGGGATCTGTTTAGGGTCGGATATCTTGTTCGGGAAGTCGAACGAATACACGCCATCTTCAAGGTGGAAGACCAATGCATTGGGGGGGAATCGTCTATCGAGGAGGGTTCCGATGAAGTTGAGCTGGCGCAAGTCAATAATCTCCTCCAGCAGGAAGCTCCACGCATCTTTAGGTCGCTTCGCCCAGAGTCGGATCGTCAGCCGGTGGGTGCGGGATATGGATGGTTGGCGGTTCGACATATCGAAGAATTGAAAGTCGAAGTTCTAGTCAAAAATCGTCAGAGCCCGTCCAAACAGGAACGCATATGGTGAGGGATTGCGCGCGCCATACCGCCGACCTCTCGCACACTTCGCTGATGTACACCGGGTCCTCGACATCCGTCACGTGCAGCGTGAAGAAGACATCGCCGACCGTGGCTTCCACGAGCTCCTCGAGTTTCTTCTGTCTGGATTGCAGGTTCAGCTGTGTCGAGCCGAGGCTCAAGCTGGTCCTACGAGCTTTGGGCGGCCTCAGGACATCAGACGAAGAGGACCTCAGCGCGTCCGTCCTGAGATGCTCCGAGGACCGCGAGTGAACCAGGGAGCCGGATTCGTGGAGGGCCTCGAGCTTCGCGCGGTGGCCATGCGGGCTGCGGCCTATGACGGCATCGTCGGCGGTTTGTCGATGCGCGGGAGCGAAGCAGAGGTTGCGCAGCGACAGGCCCTTCAGATGCCGGAGCTTGCGGTTCTGGGGCAGGAGGCGTGGCCGGCGAGGTTCGGACAGGGTAGACATGGCGAGGGCATCATGGGGCTACTTGGTGTCACAGCATTGGGGTGGTGAGCTGCTGCATGTGCAGATGCAATGCGGGTTCGCGGCGAGATGTAGTATCAGTCTGCCGGCATGTTTTGTCGTCATTTCAAGCTCGATGCTCGGCTACTGCGATACAATTTGGCGATGTCCTTGATCTGGCAGGAGAGATATGCACATAAGCGGGTATGTCTATATCGAGACTAGCCACCATGAAACGAACTCTGTTGACAGCACTGGAACATGTCCCTGTTCATCCGACTGGGAGATCATTACGAGCGGCGACAACTACTATTTTATTGAGTAAGAATACCGGTTCAGCTCGATTCACTTCACTTGCATTTACTACTGCTGCCTAGGTACACCGCGGCGCCGTACTGATACACAATTGTCGCATACACGCGTCGCTCACCAAGATTTCCCACAGGGATCTGTACCCTGGCTTCACTGCCCATTTCTCTTTTCGTTGCTGCTTGACTGTGAACTGAGTCGCAAGCAACTTCCAATCTCCTTTGAAAGGATTACGGCTGCCTATGTTACAATACTGAATAATCACAAGTTAGAGCTGTTGCAAAGAGACGATTGTGATGTGCCAACTAATAGGTAATTGATAATCTGCAAGTTTCTTTTTCACACAACAAAAAGATCGATTTAGCTGTAGGTTGATGAGTTTAGAGGCAGTCACGAATCACGAAGGCTCAATGTTGAGAACGAGCGAACTATTTATTAACAACGACCGAAAGTACAAAATGTCAAAACGGCTTCGTATCAAGCGTTTGAGCCAATTGAATAGGGGTGAAAACGAAGAGAAAGAAAAAGAACCGCCTTCAGCTATGGTAAGGACAGAGAAAAGAATGCGATCATGCTTCACGTGTCATCTATACATCTCCCAGTATATACCTCCAATCCCCGCGATGCGTGTTGCCAGGCTGAGCCAGGGAAACAAGGGTCAAGTGACTCTCATTTCTTTGCTAAGGTATGTTGACCTTACTTGCGGATAAAAACGGCGTGCTTGTCGTTGTCCTCGAGCTCAGTCTCGGCGAAAGACTCGCCCTTTCCGCGGACAACGAAAGCGCAGTTGTTGCCGTCCACGGCGGAGGAGTTGAAGTCAATGGCGGCACAGACCTTGATGTTGGCAGTGGTAACAGCCCCGGGGTTTGCAGCAATGGTAGCGCGAGCAGCGGTGGCAGAGCAAAGGGACAGGCAGTGGTTGACGTCCTTGGCCTTGACTCTCACGGAAGAAGCACGGTCCTTGATAGCCTTCTTGCAGATGGGCCGGTAGTGGTCGAGGTTGCCGCTGTTTCCACCAGGTGTAGGCTGGTCTTTGACGGGGCGGTTCTTTGTCAGGATGTCGATGTCGATGGCAGCCTGCTGCTCGTCCTTGTAGCCACCAACGTCGACATCCAGGAGGCCCTTGTCACCACCGTCACGGCGGTCGTGGGTAAGAATATCAACGTCGATGATGGCCTGGTCCTTGTCCTTCTTGCCGAGAACATCAATGTCGAGCAATCCTTGGTTGGTGGATGGCTTGCGTCCAGGCTTGCTCTGTCCAGGCTGGTTCTGTACAGGCTGGATCTGTACGGGCTGACTCTGTACGGGCCGGCCCTGTCCGTTGCGGCAGCTGGGACCACAATCGCGACGACGAGGGTGAGTAAGAACCTCAACGTCAATCGCGGCTTTCTTGTCATCTTGCTTTCCACCAACGTTAACATTAAGGAGGCCATCGTAGTGATCGTCGTGATCGTTGTCACCTTTAGGGTGAGTGAGAACATCCACGTCAATCGCAGCATTCTTCTCATCCTGCTCTCCACCAACATCAATATCAAGAAGGCCATCATAGTCGTCATGGCGGCGGTCATGGGTGAGAATATCGATGTCGATCGCAGCCTTCTTGTCATCCTTCTTTCCACCAACATCGATGTCAAGAAGGCCGTCATAGTGGTCATCGTGGTCGTGGCGCTTCTTCAGGTTCAAATCAAGAATGCTACCATCCTTGCCGAGACTAAGCTTCGCAATACCATTCTTTCCTCCGACACCAAGGTTCAGCAGGCCATTGTCGCCAAGAAGGTTCAAGCTAAGGAGTTCATCCTCGTTGAGAAGCCCCAGGCTGAGCAGAGGATCAACACCGACGGGCTTCTTGCCGACGTCGAGTTTATCATCCTTGGGCAGAGCACCAGTGATCTTGAGGTACTTCTCAAGCTCCTCCTCGGTGAGCAGATCGAGAAGGACGAGGATGTCAAGATCCAGGGAAACGAGAGGCTTCTTGCAGACCTCATCGGGGACTTCGAAGCACCAGTTCGTGGGGCACTGGCCAGGGTTGGGGTTGCCGCCATTGTTTCCCGGGTTGGGGTTGGGATCAGGCTTGGGCTGGCCGCCGTTGTTTCCTGGATTGGGGTTACCGCCATTGTTGCCACCAGGATTGGGGTTGCCGCCGTTGTTTCCTGGATTGGGGTTGCCACCATTGTTGCCGCCAGGGTTGGGGTTACCGCCGTTGTTACCACCGTTGTTGCCTGGGTTGGGGTTGCCTCCGTTGTTACCGCCGTTGTTTCCTGGGTTGGGGTTGCCGCCATTGTTGCCACCAGGGTTAGGATTGCCGCCGTTGTCACCAGGGTTGGGGTTGCCTCCGTTGTTACCACCATTGTTCCCTGGGTTCGGATTGCCGTTGTTACCGCCGTTGTTACCATTGTTGCCCGGGTTAGGGTTGCCGTTGTTGCCTCCGTTGTTACCGCCGTTGTTTCCTGGGTTCGGATTGCTGCCATTGTTGCCACCAGGGTTGGGATTGCCGCCGTTGTTCCCTGGGTTGGGGTTACCGCCATTGTTGCCGCCGTTGTTTCCTGGGTTGGGGTTGCCGCCATTGTTCCCAGGGTTTGGGTTCCCGCCATTGTTGCCGCCAGGGTTGGGGTTACCGCCGTTGTTGCCACCGTTGTTACCTGGGTTGGGGTTGCCACCGTTGTTCCCTGGGTCGGGGTGTCCGTTGTTGCCTCCGTTGTTACCGCCATTGTTGCCGTTGTCACCGGGGTTGGGGTTGCCGCCGTTGTTACCACCATTGTTGCCCGGGTTGGGGTCTGGCTTGGGCTGGCCTCCGTTGTTGCCGCCGTTTCCAGGGTTTGGGTTGCCGTTGTTACCGCCGTTGTTACCACCATTGTTACCCGGGTTGGGGTTGCCGCCGTTGTTACCCGGGTTGGGGTTGCCGCCATTGTTCCCGTTGTTTCCCCCCTGGTCAAGTTAGCCCATGGATTAATGGTTAGCGGTCTGAATGCTCTCAACTCACCTCGGTCGGGGTGATGCAGATGTGGCCGTCTTCCTTGACGTTCACAATCTTGGGCTTGTCGGCCTTGACATTGATATTAGGGCAGATGCTCAGGTCGAGCAGGGCGGAGATGTCGAGGAAGCAGCCATTCTCCTGTGCAAGGACTTGCAGTTGAGTGACGAGACCAGCCATTATGAACAAGTTTGAGCCGAATCAGGCACAAGAAATTAATGCAGAATGTGCAGAAAAGCAGAAAGTATTAGACAATCGTGAGCAGAATATACTAAAGAAGGAATGAATGACACACTGGGTGAATGAAGGTGATGCTGTTGCGATGATGAGAGGAAAAAGATTACTGTGGCAGCGATCTCATCCCTTCTTTATACCTGAAGGGAACTCGATCTCGCTCGAGATGCCATGGCCGTCCTGCCTCGACCGGCGTGATGCACTGAGACCTCTGAGATGAGATCCCGGCAGGGGTTGGTGAGCTGGGCTCGAGCTTGTCATTGCCGGCACTCAGGATGTCGCAGTTCGACCAGGCGGTTTGGAGGTTGGGAGATTTGACTGTGGCGACACCAAGAGGCGGGCCCAGTGAGCTACAGATGACTGTGAGAAACCGAATCAGATACCCCATTTGGTGTTGGGCGGCCGCGGATGGTTGTCTCACGAAGGTAGAACACGGCACCTAGCGGAAAGTCCTGGTCCCCAACTGGAGCATCAGAAGGCGAGGCGTTATTGTCGTAACTGCAAGTACGTAATTAAACAGCACAGCGCTCTTGGCCACAAGATAAGTCACTAATCAGACTGAGAGCGGTGTATGTGCGTAGAGAGGCGGCTTCAGCATCATCCAAGTTGGCAATGGGAATCCATGGCACGAAGTTGGTCTATACGACGACCAAACAACCTCATTTCAAGCGTATACAAGCCAATCTCTATTTTTGCTTTTCCGTGCCGCGATCCGAAGTCGATTGGCTCAACGAGCATCCCTTTTTCCTGTTTAGAGAACGCCATCTGTCAGATCCCCCGCCAAGGGACCGCTCGTGCCTCCAGGCTAAGCCTAGATAACGCGGTTCTTGCGCAAGCGAGCCCCTCTCTATCAAACGATACGACTCCCTGGAGGGGCGGGGGGGGCTTCTCCGTCTTAGACCTGCCTCTTACTATTCCTGTTCCTGTCCCTATTCTCTTTGGCTGTGCGGCCCCTCGCCAGAAGACCGGTTGAGACAGGAGGGAGATGAGAGATCGTCTTTCCCCCGAGAACAGACCTGTGGTAGCTCCAGTGTCCGCCAAGGCGATTGGTTGAGCTCAGTGGCGATTGCTTCATCCGAACAAGCAGCTTCTCCACCTGGACAGAGCTTGTTCAAGACATGCATTGGCAGGCAGACGTGGCTGAGAAAGGCCCGGTCAGAGAACAGATCCAACCCAACATGGTGCAACATTGGTCTTGGCTCCGTCACCTCAACTCATCCTTTTCCATAGGCGAGGAGGGAAAAAATCTAAAAGTTTAGTCATGAGAGAAAGCAGAGAATACGTCAAGAATCAGTCCGTGTCACAATACGATGTTCAGTGGAGATGGTGAGCCAACTGAGACTGACGTCTCTCGGCACATGCACGCTCGAGCCTCGTGGTTCCAAAATTGTGCTTCTCATAATTACGATGGGCATATGGATACTGTAATCTTATGCAGGTCCCCTGCATCTACCAGGACACAAATGACAGTAAGAGATGGCGATCATTTCAAAATAAGACCGACTCCCAGACACACGCGCTGCCACAATGTAAACACCAAGATGTAATATCGGATTTTGCATCCATGTCTCTCCGACCTCTAACAACCTCTCCTGTTTCTCGCTCTCGCGACTGTTGCCTTTCAGGGATGGCCAAAAATAAACAAGCTTTTTCTATCGTTCCCTTGCTCATGCCTCACCCACTTTCCTCATTGTGAGATCACAGCCTCGACCATGACACACAAGTCATCTCACATCGGACGTCTTAGTTGATCGAGCCCAGACTTCCTACTTAGCAGGTGTTGTAGAGGCAGAAACAGAGCCTCGCCATCCTCCTGCCGCCTCTTGAGTCCCTCCCAGGTCTCCCACCTCCATTCCGCGCACTTGTCGGGCTCTGTGATCCGCGGCACGGCATCCGCCTCCAACATATCACAGGCCACAAAGAGCGTGATGTAGTGCTTGACCTGGCTTGGGTCCTCATTCTCAAAGATGTCGTTGGTCGTTGCCACGACTCCGAGGGCCTTGACGTCGAGGTCTGTCTCCTCCTTGACCTCTCTGGCGGCGCCCTCCTCGATCTCCTCTTTGAAATCTAAGTGGCCTCCAGGCAATTGCCACGTATCTGATAGGATCTCCAAGTCAGCGTACACTCTAATTTCTTGCCGATAAAAAGGGGGTGTTTTATCAACGTAAGGCGGGCATTCATAAACAGCATAAAGACCTCCTTAGACAGTCATCGGAGAAACAGGCTGGGGGAAGGGAACGATGTTCATAAAATGAGGTGCTGTCTTACCTGTGCCATGACTTTTACTCGTGCGCTTCCCGATGAGAAACTGGCTTGGGTTCTTTGCATTGAAGATGATGGCGGCGGTGCCCACTCTGGGCTGTTGTGCTGACGGGGTGCTGGACATGCTGTCTGGATCTGAGCGTCGGGTTTCCTTGGCTGCTGATGAAAATGGAGATGGGTTTTGTGATGGATTGGTCAATGGGACACTGGGTTCTGCAGTTCTCGAGATTTGCGGCCTCACGGTGGTGACTCATGTGCGAGGGAGAGAAAACGGGGGGATTTATACTCTACCCAGGCTAGACGACATCCCAAGGCTCACTCACTCCAACGTTAGTCCTCTGGCTGTGACCAGCAGACAAACCGCGGCAGTGGGTCAGAGTCTGCCTGTACACTCAAAGACTCAGACAGAGCACAATCACGCCTTGTGAGGCCGTCCAGAGCAGTCACACCCGCCCGCAGACTCAGCCTTGACGGAGCCTCTTGACAACGGCAATTGTGGTGACCCGAACAAATGGAAATACAGTCATGCGCGTCAGTGAACAAGCGTGACCCGACCAACCGGTCGCCCACAGGCCTGCTCCAATCATGCAGGGAGCTCACCCGCAATCATCCACTCTTTCTCCTCCATTTCTGTTGTCTGTGGCCTGCACCAGCACCGTTTCAGACGGCCAGTCAGCCCAACTCGATGTCATTGTTGGCCATGTTTGTGGCCCTGTTCGAGCACCAATTTAATTCAATTTTTTGGTCTCCAGTTTGTCTACTAGTAGCTCCTCGTGTTTCCTCTTTCAGCCTTCGCTTGTGAGTCTTTGTGCGGTGAATGAATGCTGTCCACCAACATTCTGTATTCTTCCCGTTTCAGACGCCCCCAATTATCATCGCCCACCAACAATCACCCGCCAATTATGTTCCCTCTTCCAGCAAAAACATGCCAAAGGGCTCCAGCAGACTAACCACCAGCCACACTCATCGCCATCATTCAACCAACGCATCACCACCAGCCACAAAAATCCAACTAACACGAGCCTCGAGCAACAGGCCTGACCCAACAAGCGCAGTTTACCCTGCACGCATCTCCTTGAATACTCATTGCCTTGTGGAGACGTTGAAGCAAGGGCATGCAGCTAACCAGGCGCTGCTGATCAAGAGTACATGTAAATTAGCGGATGTTCGCACAGTAATAGAAGTACCTACTGACAATGGAATCCGGCTTGGTATAAATTGCCACTTACACATACGCTACCCTATAGCTATATCCCTATCTGAGCTACCATAGTCAAATTAAGATCGCAGGCTAAGATAATACTGCACTTATCGTAGGCTATATAAAGGTTGTGTAGGAAACTACTAAAACCTTTACTAAGCGACTTTTATACTAAAACATTTTTACTATTCTATGTGTTCCTGTGGTGTATCCAGGCATTTACTTGCAAGGGTTGAGTGGGTTGAAAGATGACCCACCAGGCATTGTGCACTTAACGAGATACAATCACAGACGTCAGTGGCAGGACACAACGCATGCAGGACAAGCTTGTTTTTTTGGGTCAATTGACAGACGTTTCTCATATCGTTTAGCTAGGTAGGTAGAGGCGGACAGATATCACAGCCCGTCCGAGATTATCCGCAATCTTTACATGATACACTTCCCCCCCCCCTTTTTCCCAAATGTTTTCCAATATTTACTGTTACATCTCCCGGGGAAGACCAGCGAACCCGTCGTAGCCAAAACCCCGTCCATCAGTGAATTTTTCTCCATATCCCCCCCTTCTCCAACTCTCATCTCTTCACCACCACCCTCCTCTCTCAGCGCTCTGCTCTCTTTACGAGGGCTGGCCGCAGTCGCCAACAGCGTTCATGTCGCACCACTGCTGGGTGATGGGAGTGCCGCGCACCCCGCGGGTGAGCATGCGCTCGCGCTGCTCGCTGAGGCGGGGGCGGGCGTCGTACTGGGTGCGGTTGTTGCCCTGGGCGTCGGTGCGGCCGGACCACCAGACCTCGGCGGCGACTCCCGCGCGGGGCCACATGATGGTGTCGAGGGAGACGGGGTCGATGGTCTCGGTCCAGACGGCCATCTCGCCGCCGAGGACGTTGTCCTTGTACTCGTCGGGGACGCCGTCGCGGGGCTCGTACGAGTAGATGAGGCGCCAGTTCTTGATGGGGTTGCACCAGTCGTTGAAGGGGTAGTAGGTCGACCAGACGGGGGTGTCGAAGTCGAGCCACTGGCCGCGGCCGCAGTCGAGGTACTGGGAGAATTGGTCAGCTGGTGTTTCTGCTATGGGCAAGTTAGGTGGTGGGGACTCCATGGTGAGGACTTACGTAGTAGTTGTAGTTGGAGTCGATGACCTTCTGGCCCTTGGCGGCGATCTGGCCGACGGCGCCGTTGCCGAGCCAGGACTGGACGACGGTGTCCTTGCTCAGGGTGATGTTCCACTCGAGGGGCATCTCCTCCCAGACGAACGGGACGAGGTTGTGCTCGGCGACCTTCTTGTGGGCGTGGTCGATGAAGCGCTGGAGGAGGGGCTGGAGGACGGTGAGGTCGTTGGTCTTGAGGGCGGGGTCGATGAGGGAGTTGTTGGCCTTGTACTCGTCACCGCCGGTGTGGAAGTAGGCCGAGTAGGGGTTGACGCGGGGCAGGAGGTCGTCGAAGAGGGTGTCGAGGAACTCCTCGACCTTGGTGTCGTTGAGCTTCAGGGAGCCGCAGGGGGGCTGGGCGCAGTACCAGGTGTAGGGCTTCTCGTTGAAGGCGACGGAGAGGCCGGGGTAGGCCTGCTCGATGCCAACGTGGCCGGGCATGTCGATCTCGGTGATGATCTGGACGCCTCGGTGAACGGCGTACTCGTGGAGGTCGGCGAGCTCGTCGGGGCTGTAGGTCAGGCCCTTGGAGTAAGCGCCCTTGTTGGTGAGCTCGGGGAGGGCGGGGATCTCGACGGGCCAGGACTGGGTGTCGGTGATGTGGAGGTGGAGACGGTTGAGCTTGTTCATGGCGATACCGTCGATGGTGCGCTTGATGTCCTTGATGGTGAACCAGTGGCGGGAGACATCCAGGAGGATACCGCGGTGGGGGTACTTGGGGGCATCCTCGATCTCGACGGGGGCGGACGCGGTGTAGTAGTGCTGGCCGTCGGAGTGCTTGTAGAACAGCTGCTGGAAGGTCTCGAGAGCGTGGAGGATACCGATGGCGGAGACGCCAGAGATGCTGGCCTTGTCGCCGTCGAGGGACAGCTTGTAGGACTCATCGACGGAGCCGGCAACACCGTTCCAGGTCTTCTGGGTGTCGTTGCCGGTCTGCTTGATCTCCAGGGTCTTGATGTAGGAGCCGTTGCCGGCCTGGGGCTCGAAGCCGGAGCCGCGCTCGCGGAGCATCCAGGGGTTCAGGCCGGTCTGGAAGATGGCGCTGAAGGCACGCTCAAGACCACCCTGAACGATGGACTTGGAGTCGAACTTGGTTCCCTTGGGGTGAGTGTAGCCAACGGCGTAGGCGAGCTAGAAGTCTCGTGTTAGGTCACTTGGAGGCGAGGTAGATTTGTGTGGGTAAGCTAGGTCCGACTTACATCCTGGCCATTGTAGGTGACCTTGACGGTCTGGTCAAGGAAGAGAGTCTCCTTTCCCAGGTTGGAGCTGATGGGGATGGGCCAGATGGCATTCACAGGGCTGAGCGCCAGAGCGGCGACAGCAAGAGCTGTCTTGGGCAGCATCATGATGTACGTGTGTGGTTAAGCAAGTAAGCAGAAAAGGGTTTCAAATGGTAATGTGAAATAAATAAAAGACAAGGGTGAGGTGAGATATAAGTACTAGCCAGTTGAAACCCAGAGAAAGGAGAGACAATGGGAAACAAGGTATCCAAATAAGAAACAAGGGCCAAAAGAACACTGGTGGGAGAACCAAGTGATTAAGCTGATCGGGGAACAAGGCAGTGATGGGACACCACAGGGCTTATATATGTAGGTATGCACATAAGCTTAGTTGGTTGGTGTCTATCACTCCCGAGACGGGAGAGCCTGCCGACGAGCGCGCGCAGGAGAATTTGGTTGGAGACCGGGGAACAGAGCGAACAGGGACTGGGTTCAGCAGTTTAGTGCTACGTAACAGCCGTCTGCTCTGCACCAAGCGGGCAGCTGGGCAATTGGCTGGGGCAGGGATATCCAGGTCCCAAAGTGGCAGATGGAGGGGGCCAGCCGGGGGGAGGCTCCAATGGATCGTGGTATCAGGGACAGATGTAACAGTTCGAGAGCTTGGACGACTTTCTGCTGCGATAGGAGAGTGAGGAGGATTCGAGTGGGCTCGCGCGCGTGGTTGGTTCTTGTCCGCTGATTCTTCGTCTCGTCTCGTCTCGTCTGGGCGAGCCAAGCCCTGGTTTTGCCTACATAGGTAGGTCGGTGACTGATTGAATAGGAAACCGGCTGCTATAGATATTGTATGGCATATATTGGAATACTAGCAGGCATCCAGCAAGTACCCGTACATGCACTCGACGCGCCCAGCTGAAAACGAGGCCCGACGAGGCTTTGTGACGGTCGAACCAGCAAAGGCTATCTCAGCCCAGATGCGCAGCACAGCGTGAATGAATGGCCCCCTAATTCCAGACACGAAACGCTAAGGCAAACGCCCCGTCCGGCCGCAAATCGGATAACGACTGCGAGGGCGTACCGAGACATCCTCAAGGCACCGCAGGAGATTACAGGCCGGGCGCTGGCACATGATGAGGATCTGCGCTCGGTGCGGCACTGGCAGTTGCTATAATTGAACACACAGCCCTTGTCCTAGTCACTTAGCCTGCGACTATCTGCGTTTGTGGTAGTAATCGTCCCAGCAGGCTCGCCACCCCCGGCTAACCTAGACCAGGAGGGCTGCTGCGAACAAGTCCAGAAGAATTGCGACGCTGCAGACCACGCGTTTCAGATGCAGTTCAGAGGGAGTCAACGAGGCCCTGGGAGAAAATCCTCAATAAGGTTGTGTGTGACTCGAATCTGCCCTAAAATGCACATTCACATCACATCGCGGTGCAGGGGCTGGATATGAATAGCAAATGCTCATGCAAGCCCTAAGGTGCCTTCCCTCAGCTATATGACAGGGCGCTAAGGAAGTCCCGGACCCCAACAAGGACCGATTCGATAGTGATGTGCATTGACATGATTTCCGCCCGAATCCTATCAATCTACACGCAACGGTAGGCCGCTTACATAGGACTGCTCCTCAGAAGGCAAATCTGCTTGTTGGGACATGCTTGACTTGAAACTAGGGGGCAATTCTCAGACAGGTTTTCGCTATCCCACTGGCCTGATGTGCTTTGCCACACCTGCTGATTGGGGCTACTCCAGCGTGCACGGCACTGGCACACTGGCTGCCGCCGTCAAGATCCTTCAAGGGGTCCTCGGCTGTTGACATTCGCTATGCCCGGCGGCCATTGAGATGCCCGAAGAGCTCAGACCACGACCAAGGTTGGTTGACGCTGCATACTAACACAATACAGGTAGCATGCAATGAATTAATCAAGAAGCTGCAGCACATGTCATTGCATGTCATTGGAAGCGTCTCTCAGCCCCACTGTAACCCGCCAGCCTTCTGAAGGTTACAGCGCTAGTGATCCAACCATCTCCATCTTGACTTCACAGAGTAGCATTTGGTCTTGGTGGTTGGCCTTGGTTCGTATCTGCACTTGGCGATATGTCGATAGGTAAAAAGCCTATCGATGGTCACCGCCAGACAAACGAACTTGCCGGCATGACCAACGACCCAAGTAGCACCTACAACAGCCAATTACAGCTCTCCATTACCAATTGATCACGCTACCATATGCATGTGTTTGTATGCCCAGTCCAATATTAACTGCATAGCTACCTGTAGGGTAACACAAGGTCACTCCCAGCCCCTCACTTGGACTTGGCTCTCTGCACAACACACAACAACCAGCCAACTGTGCGGAGTTCATATCGTATCGTTCGTTTCTGTGTTACTTCCAAGTTTTTCTCTCCCCAACGTAACCGCTCGCATGTTTCACTCACCATCCACTCCAGCCCCGATCTTGCTTTTTTGTGGCCCGTCGTGCAGCCAGCTGAAGCAGCCACTTCCAGCTTCGGCTTCGGCCCTGTCCATTCAAAACTCACTGAAGCATGAGCCACCAGCATCAACCGTCAGCACTGTCCCCGTGATCCAGCGCGCATCGCCTCCGGCGAGGAACCTCACTGCTGCGGCGTTGTCCCACGCGTTGCCCTCGCTCTTGAGAAGGGTTCTCTCGCGGCGGGCCTCTCGATGTTCATCCGTCATCCCTTTCGAGTACACCATGGGTGTGTATATCGTTCCTGCAGTATGATTCATAGATTGCACCGTTAGCCTATCATCATCAAACATGGTTGCGTTGGCAGCCTCCCGCCATGCGGGGGAGAAGCCACCCTCTCTGTCACATCTCGATCCGCACATGACGTTTGATGGCGCATACGTACCCGGACAGACAGTGTTGACCCGGATGCCATCTTGGCCGTGATGGGCCGCCATGGCCCGGGTCATTTGCACCACGGCACCCTTGCTGGTCGCATAGAGCAAGCCTTTCGCACCACCCAGCAGCCCAGCCGTCGACCCCACGTTGACGATGCTACCGCGGATGCCACCACCCCCGCGCTGGTTCTCTAGCATCGCCGGCACCGCAAACTTGGACATGAGCATCATGCTTGTTACATTGACCTCCAGCCCCTCTGCCCAGTCTTCCAATTCGGTATTCACTGCGGTGGCTTGGGGTCCCAGGATGCCCACATTGTTGACCAGAATGTTCAGCCTGCCAAGCTCCGTCTTGGTCTTCTGCACGATGGCCCTGCAGTCTTCCAGGCTGGAGACGTCTGCCTGCATGGCCACGCCGCGGCCGCCGTGCTGTTTCTGAGCGTGCTCCTCGCTGACCAGCGACGCCGTCTTCTCGGCGAGTGCCAGATCTCGGTCGACGCATACGACCGAGGCGCCGTCTTCCGCGAGGAGGATGGCGATGGCACGCCCGCTGCCCAGCCCACCGTCAGCGCACCCCGCGCCAGTCACGATGGCAACTTTGCCGACGAGGGAGCGTGACGGGGGTGGTGGGATGCCGTTACTAGACATGATGGCTAGCTAACCGAGTGAACAGGTGGATGGCCTAAGTAGAGTGTAGCAATGTATTTACGCGGGAGGTATTATCAGAGTGAGTATGAGGCACCAAGTACGAGGTGAGTTGGAGGTGATCAAGTTCACTTCCCTGCTCCTTGAAGTCCGAATTTGGGTTGTAGATCTAAATGCTACGTACTGTTCAGTCAAGAGGGTCGGTCTTCCCTGGACACTATGTGTCCGACCCCGCGTTAGAACACTAAAACCCGACTGGCCGAAGCCTCTCTGGTGAGAAATATACGCAAGAGATTCAACATTCCACCAAGGTCGGTAGGGCGCCGGTCTACTGGAGGATTCTCCGATACAGATCCCAGGTGCTGTCTATGACCAGAGTTCGACAGGTAGGCGGAGATCAAAGAAAAACGTGTACGTTGGCTTGTCCATAGACTCTTTAAATGGCCGCGACCTCTCGGTGAATATCAAGGAGGCATTCCTGGGTAAAGCTTTGGAGAAGGGTTATAAAATCCGGGGTTGTGGTATCCACACTCAAATTGGAGAGTGCATGTTGAGACTCGCTTCCAGGGTATCCCGATCGGCTCAACTTACTTCTCTGATTTCGAGCCAAAGGGGAAAAGCATGATAAACCTCTGCTCTAAACGTTGATAGTCGAGGGTAACCATTTCCACGCAGCTGTCAGTAACGTTTCACTTATCGCTCTCCGCTACGCGGAGAATATTGGATCAATATTGTGGTTAGTGCTGTAACTCGTGACCGCACGTATCTGGAGGGGTTACAGGGATCAAACTCGAGGGCTGATAACAATAGAAGCCTGCTGGGGTTTATTGGAAATTTCTGCCGTTTGGCCTCGTCCTCATACGGGAATAGCTCGATGCTGCTCGAGGGACTTGATTCTTGGAGGCTAGTATCCGTGTACATCTGGGGTGATTGGGACAGTAGGAACTGATATAACAACTGAAAGAAGTTTGGCATGGCCATTGTAATCACATCCACCATTGCCATGACCGAAACACACTCACCTAGCAAGCACGCTCTAGTAAAGGCGGGCAAGCATCCATTAGTGACTATATATAGCCTTGCGCTTCATCACACAATATCTGAGGATTCGGCATATTTGACTTCTTTGATCATTCTGCCTAACATTAGAATATGCTGCTTAAGTTGACGTGGTGCCATGGTCTACTAACCTCGTAGAGTATAATATTACGTGCCGACATGACACAGCCCTTAGGTTCAGCACGTCGGCGCTTTGGTCTCTCTTCTTTTAGTCCACCTAGCCTGACCAACCCTTTTATTTTATTTTTGTTGACATCGCGCTTGTAAATCGGCTTTTTGGGGGATCCAAAGCTCTCTTGTTCATTCTTCACGCTCCTCACGCTCCTTAGCCTCGGGGCTTCTGCTGCGACTCCTTCTTCGTGCCCGGTTGGCCCTGGATCCCTTGCCCTGTCCGGGCGGAGGGCGCACGAACGCGAAGTCAACCTTTACGGTCTGGTCCAGCAGCTTGGTATCGTGAGCGCTGTCGATGGCCGCTCGCGCCTCCTCGAGAGTCGCGTATTCTATCAGAGCGTAGCCCTAAAAATATCCCCAGTTCTGGTAAGCTTCTGCGCAATCGAACATCCCGGGCCTTGATGGGCGGATGGAGGGGTAGTGGGCGCCCTACCTTGACGTAACCGCTTCGGCGGTCCAGGTTCAGATGCATGTTCTTGATCTCGCCAAACTCCCCAAACTTGTCCTGCAGGCTCTCCTCGTCGGCCTCTTCGTGGACGTTCGTGACGATGATGATCCAGCCTTCGATGGAGCGGACGGCCGTGGCCTTGGTATGGGTCTGCATTTCGGACTCGTTGCGGGCGGCGGGCGGTGAGCCTGCGCCAGTATCTTCCATTTCTACGTCCGCCATGGCTGCGTGCGCTTGTGGGATGGCCTGAGTAGAGAGAAGTAGTGAATTTGGAGCGGGATGGTTGCTTGTCACACTTGGATGAGAGCTCGACCTGAGTTTCTCGGTTGCATAGTGGGTTGACGGTCACGTGAATGGGCCAAAGTTGGGCGGCCGATGGAACTTGGCCGTGTTTCGAGATTTCGAGTCTACGCGTTCTCATACATGGCAATTAATGGGCATTTTTACAATAGAATGATCGCATGAATATGCGACGCATGCATTCGGACAGAACTTTGGCAGACAAGACTTCACAAAGCACTTGCGTGCAAATTCCAACGAGAAAAAGTCGCGGACGAATGGTTGAGTTTATTGACGAACGACACCGGACACCGAGTAGGGCCACCGCCGCTTCTTCGCACTTCCTTCTCATCAGAGAGGGTGCTCGGCTGGCGCATTGGGCCTGACCTATTCCATCCTTACTGCTACTAAATTCACAATGCAGTCCTGGCAGCGTCGCGCCTAACGATGGCAACCTGGATAGCCCTCCATATCTTTCCTTGGTCGGGGGTGATTTGCTTAAGTGCCAGGGTTGGGGTTCATCTGCAAAGAAATGTGTTAGAATTCTGGTTGGCGATGGGTCCATGGCCGGGTCAGGCGGTCTCACTCGTCTCTTTCCGCCAGTCAGGGTAACGTTGACGAAACGGCGGGTGTACTTGAGGCGCTTGAGAGCACGACCCTTGGGGGTCTTCTGCTTCTCCTGGGCCTCGACCTGTGATGGGAGAAAATCTTGTCAGCTGCTATTCGGGCGTCGAGAATCGTGGAAGTTCATCGTGGGTTGTGCGGTCGTACCTTGGGGGTCTGAGACTTGACCTTTCCTACAGAAATAGTTAGCAATGTGTTTCTGCAAGTAACGGGGTTGTTGATTCAGCATACCGGCACGAGCGAGAGATCCGTGAACTTTGCCCATTTTGATGGATTTGTTGTACTGTTGATGTGGATGGTAAATCTACAACGGGGATTGTCAGGAATTTTGGTAGTTTCGCTATGGTTGTGTGTGGGAGATCGATTCACGTGAGCGGGGACACTAAATTTGCCCTTGTCCACTCGGGAAATCTTTTCGCCGCCGCTCGCCGATTGAGTCACTCACCGGACGCTTATGTAATGCTTTTCCTGGTTGATGCCGGCGTGCTATTTGGATCTTGCTACTGTCCAAAGCGAAATGCGTTGGTTTATTGAACGATGCCAATGGAGGAAAGGCTGATACTTATATTGCTGTGTGGCAAGAACCTTGAGTCATAGTGAGGCATCGGCGAACTATTCACTTTCTTCAAGCCATCTCGTTACTATTGTTCCCAGCTAATCATCCCTCACCAGTTTGTGCCTGGCATTCCTGCCTTAGTCAGCCACATAACAGAAGGAGCGCCACCAGATTCTTTCATGCCTGCCATTATTCTAACTGGCAAGAGTTTAGTTAGGTAAACATCGTTCTCTTGTCAGATGACTTCGATATGCAATTGAGAGATGTCACTTGTTTCCAAACGACTACACACATGTTTTTGCTCTGCGTTGTCGCACCTTTCGGACAAGCCTTTAAGCCGAGCTGCCGATGCTCTCTCTTCACAACGCCCTGGTTTCAAGTACGTCATAGACGCTAACGCAACTTCCTGCAAAGTCGAGCACGCGACCCGCAATCACCAACGGTCCGATCGATCGGAGATGTATCGTAATATATTAGGTGTAAACCCGATAGCAATTTATTATCCTCCTTGAATTTTCCTCATATTGTGACAGACGAGTGTTGTTCTTTCATACCACAGTGACAATGGAGATTCCTGCCGAGACTGAACAGCCAGCCAAGCCACCTGTAGTGCCGCCCCAAACACTACGCGACAGATTCACACACCGGCTTCCTACATATACTGGGCCCTACAATGTTGGTTATATGGACATTGAAGTGCCGGCCCGGGAACCCCGGCCAGTCTCTGAACTGAGACGGCACGGAAAGCCTGTTATTCGTCTGGATACCGTCCTGATGGGCATCTATTATCCTTCTGAGCTGCGCAAGGACCTCAAGACGCCAGATGGTCGAAATACCCTCCATCGCGTGAATTGGATGCCCCGGCCACGGATCGCTACGGCCAAGGGGTATGCCAAATGGATGAATTTGCCTTGGCTCCCAGTAGCTGGCTATCTTGCCTCGACTTCTCTCTTCACCAAACTACCCGCGTTTCGAAATGCCAAAGTTGCAGACTACTGGCCCGACCACAATAGGAGCAGTGAAGACTCAAAGCAGGGAGAAGATCCAAAAGACACCGAAAAGCCTACGTTTCCCGTCATCATTTTCTCTCATGGGCTGGGAGGCTCTAGATTATGTTATAGTGCGATCTGCGGAGAGCTTGCTAGCTTGGGTTTTGTTGTTGTAGCTGTGGAACACAGAGATGGAAGTGGCGCGCGCACATATGTCAGCTTGCCGGGCGATATCGAGGCCAACGAGATAGAATCCTCGACAGCCGTTCTTTACAACCACAGCGACGACACATCTCCGGGTGGGGAGCGCAAGCATGTTCGGAGGCGAAGGAAGAAGGAGTTGAACCCATATTATGTTGTCGACTACATCTTGCCCAAAGACAATGCTCAAGACACAGCACCTCACAACCCCCGAGGGGTAGATCGGAAGCTGCGAAATGCTCAGATCCAACTCCGACTTGAGGAAATCAAGGAGGCGTTCCACGTTCTGGGGATGATAAATGGCGGGCAAGGAGACGCAGTCGCAGCGATGAATCTTCGGAAAAAGGGAAATATCGGATCGAGCTCGATTGGACTGACTGGTGTTCAGTGGGACACCTGGAAAGACCGGATGTTCCTCGAAAATGTCACAGTCATGGGCCATTCCTTTGGCGGCGCAACAACGGTCCAAGTACTCCGGGATGACTCACTGTCATGGGTTGGACAAGGCATAGTCCTTGATATTTGGGGCCAAGGGACCCCACCGGGAGGAGAGACGCCGAGTAATACGGTTAAAAAGCCTTTGCTTTCCATTTCATCTGAGGCATTCATGCATTGGAAGGCGAACTTTGAGCGAGTTGTGGACATCTGTCATGAAGCTCGCGGATCCGGGGCCCTCTGCTGGATGATGACTCTTGTTGGCTCAACGCATCTGACAATGTCTGATTTTGCTATCCTTTATCCTCATTGGATGTCCCTTTTCACAAAGACAATGGTCAACCCGATCCGGGCTCTGTTTCTTTGTGTCGCGCCATCACTTGAATTTCTCAAAATCGTGCTTCCCTCCGAGCAGACAGAGCATACCGCCTGGCCTAATGCTGAGAAGCTCCTCATCTCAGAAGATCCTCCATCGGAACCAGAAGAGGTATTACGGCCAGATCATGCTCCTGAACACAAGTGGGTAGCTATGAGGCTGCGAATTCAGAACGAGTTCTGGGTGAGGCTCCGGGCATGGTGTCGAGTTCTCAAACGTAGGATACTCCGTCAGGCTTCGAATGAAGCTGAATTCATCAAAGGTCTCCAAGACTTAAGCGCGCACACGGAAGAGATGTGGACTCATATTTGTCCTAGCCCTGGGGATATTGAGCGATTTTCAGGGCGAGCGAAGTCTTGAATTTGACTGTTTCTTTTCTCAATTTTAGAATGTTCATTTCCAAACAAGAGCGATAGTTTTTAGATAGGATACCAATTTTGTTTTGTAAAGAGTTTAGTATAATAGAAAAGATTTAGATCAATCGCCCTTCCGGTCTAGAAATATCTTAGCAAATCTTCCCCAGCTCATCTCATCACAAGTGCAGACTCGCCGAAAAGAGTGATAAATAATGCCAATAACATCAGGTACCTGCTATTTCTATGACTTCTACGCCGGCCAACCACTCCTCCAAGGTACCCAAGAATCCTTAGAGGAATACTTAGCTAGATAATTTGAACAGTAGAGTCTAGAAAATCGTTAAAATGGTTTCATCTTTTGTTATCGTGATATCCCCCTGGCCCCAGCGCCGAAACAAACTCTTATCCACCTTATACAAGGAAATGCCTTTAATCAAGGATATTTCTTCCCCTCATAACACCGTTAAGGGGCCATTTAATATCAAGGGAAACTCTTGCAACAAGAGACTTTCTTGAGAATAATATGTCTACTAATGGTTCGTCCTATGTCATCCACTGAGCAAGTCCCACTGATGAATTCACAAAGGATCCCGTTATCACATTCCTCTCCAACATGTCTTGGGAACCTGATGACCACCTTTTTTGAAGCTTGGTTCTAGGACGGGGCAATAGAATTAGTCGGCTTGGTTCCTGCCTGTATCACAAGCCAAAGAAGGCCTGCTAGGAGTGTATCATCCTAGCAAGATATGTATCATCACGGCCAAGCTCCCTTAGAGCATGTTTCATCTCTGTGACTGCACTGTCAAGCCGTATCAGCCTCTATTCAGGAAATTCATCACAACCTTTTAGGTAGTAAGCCAAATGGTGGCTCCGGCGACCGAGGAGCTCGTCTCTTGGATCTTCACGAGACTAGAGGCACGTTTTTAAAAGTGGCTTTCACAACGAGAGAATTGCCCGCCCCTCAGCTGTCTTTTCACTTTCTTTTCCTAGCCGGGTATATGCTTCGTTTGTCTGATGGTTGAGGGCTCAAAGCCAAGTATTCCAAGATAATGTGATAGGAACGCAAGCGTAATAAGATTGCAAAGTAAAGACACACAGAATCACGCTGTAAATATATGACCTTTTTCAAGTAGGAGGTTATTATTGTGATATCGGTCTTCCGACAATATGTATTCCGAGATGATGCGCACCAACAAGATCAGCCTCTGTCTGGTCGTAACTTGTAGTGTGTCTGCCTGGAGGTGGTGTGTACCGCGGTATGATTGCATTTGCCTTTTTTCCATCGTGGTTTGAGTTACGCAATGAACATGATGACTATACAACTGGCATACATAATACGGCCATTTTCATGATCAGCCGGGGCAGTTCGCCGAGCTGTGTTGGTGCACATCGGCGTTTGCAAAGGGTCCAGGGTAAGCATCCATAATGAAGCGTTGTGGGATGCCCTTGCCTCACAACTTCATGGTTCAAGGTTGATGGTTTGAACAGAATATTTCCATCCTGGGGATAACAATGCAACCTAAATATCCTCATTTTAGTTGGGCTCGGAATGAAGAGTTGAACTCAAGTACACCGCTCAACGAGGTTCGTTGCTCCGAACTCCCACTTGTTTGAGTAGGCGATGCCTTGTCTGCAGCATTATGTTTTGTCGAAATACGCATGTTGCGCATGAAAAGCGTATAGACGAGCTTCTAAAACTATTATTTTCTACCAAGACTGGATGGAAGAGACCTTAAGATCCCGACCAGACCTTAAACCTGTACAACCTAGGCACCACCCCGATCGTATCTTTGATACTTGTCTCTATGAGAATCTCGGTAAACCTCGAATAAATATCACCTTTTCAATGGAAGAATCAAATAAGCTGCCTTGTCTATGCTTCAAAGCTGTTTGGTGGAGTTGCCAACTTGTGTCTACGCTGTGCTCTCAGCTCCAAGCCCATCATGCCCTGTGACCTTTTGAATCTTCCGAAAGTCTGTAGTCTTGATAAATGACGGCAAAGCTTGACAAACTGTTAACTCGGATAGGATTTTCAAGTCCCGCGCGGTATCTGCTGGCTCCTACTACGAGCTCCATGGCCAATTAACCAACTAGAGCAAAAGGGGTTCAAGACTCAATAGAATGAGAGTCAGGGGACGAATATCGACGAGAGAAATGAAATGAGAGCAGTCGGTTATGTGGGGATGGCGTACTGAGCTCGTCCACGCAGCTACCGAGCGAGGCTGGAAGATTGGTGGCTTTGATCAGCCACAGAATACCAGCTTTTGGGTCTCGGCGCATCTTGGGCTTCTACCGTTGTTAAGGGGCCAGATACTTTGATCTCGCTCACGAAAGGACTGGAATGTTGGGGAGAGCTTTTGTGTTCCGTGCGAGACGCTTGCTAGACTGGAGTTTCTCTTGTGGGGTGCCATCTGGGAAGCTCGGCACAGCTTCCCTCAATTAGACGATGGGCTATCGCCGTGGTAGTCGCTCTCTCCTTTCCATCTGCGGATAAATAGACGGAATTTTCCATGTTAGGCAGATTCTTGACTGAGCTTTGAAATTTGAATGTTTCAGAGAAGCCTGCAGCTGTCGAGGCAGTCCACATTGGAGCGTACGCTTTGAGTGATATCCTCACTGGGAGGCACCTTTGTCCGACGGTCGGAAACATGTTGGCGCAGGGCTTGCATGCAGAGCACCAAAGTGGCTCAAGATGATGCAAGACCTCACTCATACATGTCTTATCTTAAATATAGGAATGCAATAATACCACTGCGTAGTACCAGCCATTTATTGTACTTAAAACCCCGCTATTGGGTCAACTCGCTGCTAAATGTTAAATTAGGTACATGGAGCTCTATGTAGCAAAATGGAGTAGTTGCATATTGCGCAACTTCTGGCGAGCTATGCATGTCTTGGCTTCGCCTTAATATAGGTTTATAAATATAATATTACTCACCAGCCGCTGGGCAGGCGGCAATTAGTTTTTGGGCCAATTAAACTGCCTACCTTGCATCACCCTGCGTCAAGAGGGGTTTGGATTTGCTGCGGATGAGGTCCAACCGCCCTACTCAGCTGATGAAAGAGGCAGTTTCGCCGTGTTGCTTTGGCTCACCCGGCAGCCCTCAATAGCCTGCCAATGGCAAACGGGAATGAGGATCGTTTTGGAAAGAGACGGTCAGCTGGAAGAAGGAAACATGAGTCAATGGGGTTAAGCTCTCCCGCATGTCTGAGACAGATGTAACGGGGACTGAGCGGGTTGATTCAGCGTTGTCGGGGAGGGGAGGGGGAGATCAGCATGGAACACCCAATTCAGGCCCCAGTCCAATCAGATGTGCAAAGCAGGAAGTTGTTGGGCATGCTTTGTGGCACATTCCATCGAATTTCGACTGGGTTGTCAGACATTGGCGGGGAGCCTGGGACGGGAGCCGAAGTTGGCTGCGAGGCTGAAATGTCGTCATGGCTGAGGCCGGCGCTGCAACTACGGGCACCAGATCTGTTTCAGGGTTGCGCAAGTTGCTCTTCCTGATCCCCACCGTGGACGAAATCCATGCGAAGGTGATGCTTGCGAGCACCCTTGATGTGCGTTCGAGAGAGAGCGGAAGGAACCTTTGCTGGGGCAGGGGTGGCGATGCGTGTTTGTAGGGATTGCCACGATCAGATCTATTCAGGCGACATGGGTGCATGGCCGCGGGCAAAAACCGAGGGTTTCGAAATGGCCTCGCCGCAGCTTACCTGAGCTCGGAGGTCGGTCAGCTTGGCTCCAGGGCTGGAACTTCGGGGGAATTTTTTTCGTGTGTTCTAGCCTCTGCCTCACTCCCGAGGCTTCCCCCACCCGGGTGGAATCCCAGCTTGGGAGAGCAGGCCGCCAAGGGTCCCTGCCGTCGATCGGTAGAGGTGAACCAGCTGTACGGAGTACCAAACAGAGCTGTTAGTGTAGTCAACATCAGAAAGGGATATGCGTGTCAGAGGCTCTGGACCCAGAGACTGGGCTCGTATTCTGCCCAACGCATCTAGGGTGGTTCATTGGGCGGTGTGTCTATGCGGACTACACCTCTCCCATGGCACAATGCGAACGGACTTGAGAAAACAGGGTTGGGCCCTCTCAGCTCCATGCATAACCTGGGTGGTTGTCATCCGATTGCCAGATACGAGCATGCAGACGGCGTTGCATCATGTCATGTCAGCCATTGAAGACTGACGTACATGTTGGCAAAGCGACCTCCACCGGCGCAATGGCAATGGCGTGTTTTCCGCCTGTGAGCATTATATCCTATATCCGGGGGCTGTTGGTGGTTCCGCGGGTTTGCCATTGTCCCAGCACAATGTGCACATCTTACATACATCATGTAGTGCTAGGCAAACCTAATAATATGCCATGGCGAGCTGAGAAGCACAGAGCAGCTGTGGCTTTGACGGGTGCCAGCGCATCCTAAGGCGGGCTCCCACTAGCCACGACCTGCAGGCATGCTGATCAATGTCGTGGGTTGGACATGAACGTGCCGGATTGCTTTCCTCTGCCCCTGGGCTTGGGATTACTAGCCTCGGAGCGTGCAGCGATAGCTGGCCTGTTTGGGGTAGTTCTGCGCCTAGTTGGTCAAGATGCAATTCGCATCAACGAGTCAGCGCGGTCCTCCTGACGTGATGTGATGTGGTGCAAGCGATGAGTTCTGCTAGCAGTGGACTTGTTTCCGTGGTGCTGCACCATTGATCCGTCGAAACGGGCCGCCAAGGCCTGGCAGAGGGTGAATACGATGCCCACCATGTGCCTTTACGGGGACTATGGCGGCTGAGTGTGGTGCTAGGCTGCCTAAGCGACAGCGATAGAGCCCTCTGGCGGTGGTAGCTAGCGCAGAGATCTTCTCCAAACCTCGTATTGGCGCCAGCTTGTGCAGCAAACCCCATCCTTGCCTGTGCAACGAAATCGCATTTCTTCGTGCTAATGCCCTTGTTTTGGCACCCTTTAATCTTATGCTTCTGTTTGCGATTATTTTTCTCGTCGCGCGCTCGGCACCCGATACTTGTGCATCTCCCATTCTCTGAAACTCGCCGTCGTCTTTTTCTCCTTGTCAACCACCAAACCGACCTCACCCGGGGGGCCGTCACAACGGTTTTTGATTGCGTCTCCAGCCACCTTGGCTGATCTCGGACTAGCGACGTCAGTTTGTTTGATTATCATACGGGAGCTAGTCACTCGCTTTCTACTCCTCTGGGGCTGCGACGCTGGTTCTGGGGATCTTTCAGCAGCCATTTTGCCCAGTACCGCCAATCACGCACGGCTAATTTGGCCTCACCGGACGTCCCAAGCCCTTTCAGCCGGCAAATCCTGGCTGGCGGCTTGAGCTGGCTTGCAGAGCGCGTGCGTGCGCGCCTACTTTATTGCTGCTCCCTGGCTCGATCAGCACAGGCGCCACCGGAATTGCGTCTTGCTGGGCGCTTCCTAGCCATCCACTGCCACTGCTTACAGCATCTCTCCCATTCGGAACGCCCACAACGCTCGATCCCGTATTCCAGCTGTCTCAGCTTCAGGCCAGGGGATCCGGAGCGGGCCAAGCGTCCCGGCGAATGTCCCTGACCACCAGTGGGGAATTGGGCTAGACCTGAAGGCTGGAGCTGCGAAATCCACGCCCGACCGACCCGGAGGGGTAAAAAAATAGAAGAGGGTCTGGAAATCGGGATCCGCCTTCGCCTGAGAGACCCAGAGTGGCCGACAGCCCATCAGAGCGGACGGGGTGCGAGCCAGGCCAATACGACCACTTCCGTTCTCGTATGCACTCTATGTGGGACATTGCTGCGTGGCAGCCCCATACATCTAGGCCATGGCGACGACTACAGCTACAGCCGCTGCTACTGCGACCACTACGACCACTACGATGACCACTATGACCACTACGACGACCATGATGCTAGCGACCAACAAGCGCCAGCAAAAGCAGCGCCGGCGGGATGCCCAGACCCGGCCAGCCCGCTCCAACAGCCTCCAGCGCATGCTCGAGCTGGAGAAGCAGTGTGTAGTAAGTGGGCTCTCTCGTCTTTTGCATTGTCCTGTCTTGTCTTGTCTTGTCTTGTTTTGCCTTGCCTTGCCCTGTCCCGTCCTGTCTTGCCTTGCCCAGTTCTGTCTTGCCTGCCTAGTTTTGTCTTGTTCTGCCTCTTCCTCAGCCCCGGGCCAACCCGCTTGCCTGCCTGCAATTCATTACATTCTTTCCATCTATCGATCTGCGGTCATCACGCTTTCCATATCGGTACCCCCAGTCCCCCGTCCATTCCCAGCAAAACCCAAACCCCCCCGTCCGGCCAAGCTTCCAGCCCAGAAAAGCCAAGCCTGGACGCCCAGGGCATGGCATCGATGCGTGCATCTGGCTGGTCGTTTCCAAAAGAATGGAACATCTCGGTCAACACCGCCTTTCCCATCACGATATGATCATCCGATCCGCACACGCCCCCCCTTCGCCATGTTATGTATGCTTGCCAATGCTTGACCTCGCCAACTGGCCTCACCATTCTCACCATTCCTCTCATTCCGCCCCAAAATGCTGACTCGTCTCTTTCTCTTCCAATTGCATAGCTAGAACGACGGCACGCTGTCCGTGCATCGCCCACCACCCCCAAGATGCAGCCCCCCTCAAGCACGTCGATGCTGCCTGCTCCTCGCCCAACAACAACCCACTCCCGCCAATACTCGGCGGAGCAGCGCAAGCACTTCCTTGAAGAATCCGTGTCTGGGCAGCTGAAAATGCAGCAATCGAGGCCAGCGCCTCTCAAAATTAGTACCCATGTCAATGGCGCTACACCTCGCACTAACACCACTAGTACCACCGCCAGTACCGATTTTAAATCAGATCTACCGGCTCCATATAGTCCCTCCACCGTTCACTCTAAGACTAAGGCCAGGCCCAAGGGGCAAGCGCAAGTCCAAGTGCAGACCAGCAGTTTGAGTTCTTCTACTGGAATGCTCCCCCAGCCAAATAAACTTGCTACTGGCCCTAAGACGGTCACCTTCCACGAGCAGCCTCTGACCTCAAACCCCAGCACTGTCATTGCTGCTGCTGCCGCTCTTGCAGAGGACCGGAATTCTATCTGCCAATCGCCTAGCTGGGAGGCGTACGCCAGACGCAAGAAGGAAAAGAAGCAGGGCAAGGAGCAGGTCGACAAGGAGACCAAGGCTAATTCGAAGACGAAGCCACGCCCTAGCAAGTTGTCGCATTCCCATTCAGCATCGGAGCCAACCTTGCCCCTCCAGCAACCTGCCCAGACCAGGACTGTGAAGTTTGAAGAGCGTCCGGAGGATACTAACAAGGCCCGTCGTGCCAGCACAATCGGCATCCCCGCCAAGCAAACTCTCCCTTCGCCAGCAGCACTTGACACAAAACCGCCTCAAACTCGACGGATCCGGTCCAACTCTCTCTCTTCCATTTTCAGATCACCGTTCGAGTCCCACCGACCGTCACTTGATAGCAATAGCGGCGGCTTCATTGGAGGCATCAAGCTCGAGCACCAGCGCCTTGTTGCGTACCAGCGAGCTCTGAACGAGGAAGCGATTGGTGCCAGCGGCGACATCCATCCAGCGTTCAGAAAACACACCAAGCGCTCATCCAGCCCTCTTAGGTTCCTTGTGCCCAAGACTGGGCCTAAGGAAGCACAAGATCGGGCCTATCCGCCGATCTCAATACGCACATCCGCCACGGCCCAGGGTCTCCTGCCCCAGAACTCAGAAGCGATGCCTGAAGGTCGAATGAGCCGTTGGAGGGCTCATTTCGGTCTACGGTCTGAGTCCAAGCCACAAAGGCTAAACAAATCCTCATCCACAGAGCGTGAGCAAAATCTGGGCACCATCTTCTCTCATCGGAATGCGTCCTCGCCAGCCCTCCCTCCACCACCCTCGGACCAGATGAGGTACAGCCCCAGTATGGCCCAGATGAATGGAACGGACAAGTCTGCTGCGTCACATGCGAGCTCTCAGCAACTGGCCCCCGCTGTGCCCAACGCAGCGCGGGCGTCGTCTCCTTTAGCACGGAGTATCAACAACGAATTGGACGATTCCCACTCCGAGATAGATAGTCCTCCGTCCTTCACTACTGCCCCGCCGTCCCCGCCTTCTCCCAAAAAACTTTCAAAGAGAGATTCGATGGCGAGTTTGAACATTACAGACACCCCTCTAACAGAATCGCCCCGTCCTATGGCTCCCCGGCGTGCACAAACCGGATTTCCAACAGATTCCGAGAGATATGTGGGCGACTCTGCCACGCGCGCTCGCAGCGCCAGCCGGACCAAGAGATCTGATCCTCCAAGCATTCCTTATATCGCTACCGATAGTACAACTTCGAAGCGACCAGCTAGTCGTGGCCTCTTCGAAGCTGCTCGGTCTGTTCTAGGACGATCCGCACATCCTCCTCTACCGCCAACCCCGACCTTGCTTGCTACATCGCAGAGTCGCCCTACAAGTCGACACAAGAACTCTCCCTACCTGACTGCTTCCTCCAAGGATCACGAAATGCGGTCGGCTTCCTTCTCCAACTTCCAGACACTACACAACCCAAAACGGATCAACGACCGCCGGAAGACCATGACAACCGCCGCACCTGCACCTAACTCCTCCGCGAACTCCTATTCAGATGATTTACGCTCCTCTTTGGTAGCAGGCACTCCTGACACCTCCCGGCCAGGGTCAGGGAGAGTTGATGGCTTCGATCACGTCGCCGAGGCGCGGGCAGCGCTTGAGCGCCCTCACTCCCCGGCCTTTTCAACGAGTGGAGCAAGTGCTGTTGACCTGAACCCTGTTCAATCCGCTGCTATGAAGGTCTTGGCCGCGTTCCCTGATCTTCCCCCGCCCACTCGCCCAGGCATGGGTCGACGCACCGAGTCGGTGTCGAGTGTTCAATCAGTTCTTCTCCCAAGGATAAAGCAGCAAAATGGGCAGCAAAAGGAGAACAACAAGGCCAAATCGATCAAGCAATCCAAGGCTGATGATCGCAATGCACCGGCACTACGCGACTTGATCATGTCCAAGGATGAGTCTTCGGCTGCAGCCCCCTGGCCGGCATCATATCTGGAGGCTGCGCGCAAGGCTGCACCAGTCAAAGAGTCCAAGACACCACCCAAGATGCCTGGATCGCCAGCGCTGCCAGCATCGCCAACACCGGCTGTTCCCCCCATCCCATCTGCTCCACCCAGTGTGAAGGCAACCTCGCCACCTACATCACGCAAATCATCTGATTCGACCCCCGGAGTGCGACCTGACAGTATGAATAGTGAGCCCGTTGCGAAGATGTTGGTCCAGTGCTGCTACTGCAAGTGCTACCATGACATGCCAAGCAACTTGTACGCGGCCATGAATGACCCCGAAGCTATGTTGAACTTGGAAGAGCATAACGAATTTGCTGGATCCATCTCCATGTCCATTAAGTGTCCATGGTGCAAGCATGACATGAACACCAAGTGCTGCGCTGGCTATGCAGCAATACTCCACGTCCAGGAGAGATTACATTAATCCCTGCACGCATCTATCATCTACACGCTCTCCTGACCTAGCTAGCAAGACTCCCGATTTCTTGGCATCTAATTCACTTCGAGTGAGCTTCCTTTTGTCTCTTCACTGCCCTACAATACGTCATTAGTACGCGAACTTGCACATTCACTCATTTAATTAATGACATGACTGGTGGTGGCGGCATCTAATCTGATTGCGATGTATCCACCCTTTTGCTTCTTTTTTTTGCGTCTCGACGATGGATCTCATAGGGTCTTACGACTTTGATAATGGCTTTTTCATTTTCTTTCTTCTCTTGCATATGGCGAACCGGAAAATCATTGAAACGTAACCTCAAGGTTGTTGGTCTTCTTTTTATTTTCTCCTCGAGTTAGTTGCGAGTATGCCACCTTGACAACTCTACCGAGGGTTTCTCTCTTTTAAGCTGTATATTTAACAATTTGTAATGGCTACCTTGCCCTTGAACAAAAAAAAAATACACATCATTATGATGAAACGCTCTTTGTACACAAATACATGCTCATTTTGTTCCAGTTGTGATGTGGTGCTGTCGTACAAGTAGAAAACAGTAGTCTGGTAGACGTCTTTTCACGACCTAGACTTAAGTCTCTGCGTACGTTACAGCGTATTGCCCTAATAGGCGTCTTTTCTCTCTTCCCATTCCGGCGCAGGGGTCAGTTCGATGTCGCCGAACCCAGACTCGGTTATCATGGACACATGCCACCCCATCCCCTCGAGCTTCGCCCCGCCCTCCTCCATCGCCCAGAGCGTGATGCCGAGGGTGTTGGTCCCGTGGTGGTTGAGTATCCCCTCGGGGACGGGGTACCTCGCCTGCGGGCCGATGTGAGGCACGAACTTGCCGAACTGGTAGCCGTTGACGAAGAGCTGGAGGCGGAACCTCCCGGCCCCGACGCCGGTGCCGAACTTGAAGGAGAGGGGGACGTCGTAGCCCCTGGGCAGGTCGAGGTCGAAGGACGCGGTGTAGAAGGTGATGCCCGGCGCGGGGACGGGGTCGGTCGGGCGGCCGGACGCCCAGCCCGAGGAAGGGGGGGAGGGCTGGTGGAAGCCCTGGCGCTCGGCGTACATGCCGCCCTCGTTCAGGGGCCCGCGGGCGAGGTCGGCGTAGTCCTCGCCGCCGAGGTTGCCGGCGGCCTTCCAGGTGACGTCGGAGGCCGGGTGGCCTGCGAGGGAGTAGGAGAGGATGCCGCGCGGGGTCTTGAGGTTGTCCTCGCCGATGACGTAGTTGCCGTTGAGGCCCATGTGGTCGATGACGACGGTGATGACCTGGTCGGAGCCGGGGGCGAGCAGGTCGGCGGGCAGGTCTGCGGTGACGGTGCCGTTGAAGACGTTGGTCTCGCCGGTCCAGGAGGCGAGGAAGCGGGAGCCGAGCCAGGCGGAGAAGCCGAAGGCGTGGCCGCCCTGGGCCGTTATGGTGAGGGAGGACTCGTCGCCGTTTGCCTTGAAGTGGCCGCGAAAGAGGACGGTGCCGGTGTGGAATCCGTAGTCGCCCGCGTAGAGGGAGACGGGGGTGTCGAGGGGCCGGAGGTCGTTGGGGGAGGTGGTGTAGTCGGCGTCGACCCAGCCGCTGTCGTCGTAGTCCTGGGAGAGCTCGGGGAGGGAGTCGATCTTCTTCCACTCGAGCTGGCTGAGGCAGGGGAGGGCGAACTCGGGCTTGGAGAACTCGACGGTGGCGGTGACGACGCCGTGGGGGGTTTGGCTGAAGTCGAGGGGCCGGCCGTTGAAGTTGAGCTCCTCGAGGCCGGCAGGGGCGCCGCCGATGATCTCGATGGGGGTGGTGGCGTTGACGTCGCCGACGAGGCTGAGTGACTTGCCGTCCTTTTGGGCCGTGCGGATGAGGTAGCCGGCTTTGAGGATGATGTCTGAGGTGCCGAAGTCGGTGCCTGAGCCGGTGGGAGGAACCCAGAAGTTGTATGCTTCGTTGCGGTCTGCGAAGAAGGGGAGTCTGGTTAGCTTGAGGAAGTAGGCAAACAGGTTACTGTGACTAACTGAGAAGATAGATGTAGAAATCTTCTTGGACTAGGACGACGTTTCGATCTTTGGCACTGTCCGAGATGGCCCAAGAGAGAATTGTGTAGCCCTTGTCGGAGGTCTGAACCTTGACATCGCCGCTCTGCACTTCCACATCCTCTTTCTTGATCTCTGTTTCACCTGCAATGGCAACCTCGTGGTACTCATTGGGCCCGCCATATAATACCAAGACGGTCTTGTCATCGTATTTCTTCCTACAGAGCTGTTAGAAACTGCCAAGTAGAAGTGAGGAGTGGATGTTTAGAATTTACGCACCATGTAAAGACCTCGGCGGACGAATAGATGAGCTTCTTGTCTCCTACCGGGTAATCGCTGACGTGGATTTTGGAGTCGCGGCGGTTCATAATCAGACTGTCGCCCAGTTGGGGGATTTCAATGTCTCCGTAATCGACTGTCTTGACCTTGAGACGGTATGGAACTGACTCTGTCGTCTCATACTCTGTATGCCTATTACGAGTATCAGAAATGCTCCAACAGGTTGGGCCTAACCGTTTTTTTTGTCTTACCTAGAGATGTAAAACTTGGTAGTGTTGGTTGTAGCAGGCGTGACAGTTATGGCATCGGTATTCGTGTATTCCAGGGATGAGTTGAAGCGATCCCCCTCAAGATAGGCAGGCGAGACATGGAAGAAGTGTGCCTGAAGCTTGACCTCGCTGTATTTCTCCCGCCATAGTTGACGCTCCTCAGTAATTTGGGCACCGTAGTCGTAGGATGTGAAGCCCTCGGCGTGTCCAAGGTTACCCCAGTTCGTGCCGCCATACGTCTGACCGGGTTAATCTCTGAGAGAATCACAACTAGGAAGGAGAACTTTGAGAGAAATCGGACACATACCATGTAGATGTTGAAAATGGTTGCACCGACAGCGTAGTTGTTCTTGTAGACTACACGCTCGAATTCCATGTTGAGCAGAGAAGCACACTGTTCAAACCCGGCCGTTTGGCCCCAGTGTTGGAAACCGCCTCCTTGGAACTGACATATTGTTAGAAAAGATCAATAGCATTTCAGAAAGGATCGTTTGGGCTTGCCTCGGGGATTGTGTAGGGAGAATCAGGCGCCAAGGCATCGTTAGTGGCCAGCCAGTTGGTGGGCAATTTGCCTGCTGGCCAGACGTCTGGATTGTCACAGTCAAATCCAAGCGGGTACGAGTCATGGCCGTAGATATCCACGCTGGCGGGCGTGTGGGCAGTAATATATCCGTACATATGAGCCTCGTTGTTGAAATACGGAACGTCAACTCCGGCTTTCCGGTACTGGTTGGTCACACTGCTCCAGTAATCGTACTCTGGCATAGGATAAGGGGTGATGGCGTTTTGATACTCATTTTCGGGTTGTAGGAGAATGACAGGCCCGCCATTATTGATCTGAGCGGCGGCAATGACCTTGCCAATCTCGCTTGTATAAAGATCTGTGGCGCTGATGAAGGCGTCCGAGTTGGTACGAAGTGCTCCCGGGACACGGGTCAACCAGCCTGGAAATCCACCCCCAGACACTTCAGCGTTGATGTACGGCCCGGGACGAGCAATGACATAGAGACCGGCCTTCTTGGCGGCCTCAAAGAAGGTATCATAGGCGAAGATCCCTTTGGAGCGAAATTCACCCTGTTTGCCTTCTAAGAGAAACCAGTCGATGTAGATGGAGACAGCACTGTATCCGGATGCTTTAATCTTTTGGAGGATGTCGAGCCATAGGCCAGTGACTGGTAGGCGGAATGGATGGACCTCACCACTGAATATCATGAGGCGCTCGCCGTTGATGAGGAGACTGTGGTCATCAAAGGTGACAACATTTTGGTCTCTTTTCTGGATATGTTGGGAATCCGAACCGATCGCTCTCGCTGACAAGACACCCGCTAGTCCGAGACATAGCGAGAGGGTATGAAGTGGCTTCGAGATAAGCATCCTGTTAAATTTGTCCACATGAAGGATATGTGTTGAGGCTCGATAATCGGTTCATCTACGAACTTAAGAGACCCGAGAACAAACCACAGATATATATTAATTCCAGAAAGGCAATGTCTAATTTCTACTTCTTCTGATAAAGATATATGCATATTTTGCCAAGGAAAAAACCAAGCCATTGTTGCTGTGTTAGTTGCCCATCCCGCCTGCTCTGCCCCCCCTGCTCAGAAATTAAGGGAATATATGATTGCGGCGTCTCAATGGCTCGGCAGTGGGGGGAAATGTCTAGAATTTCGGCTGATTTGAGGTTTCTCCGCGTACGGAGCTTGGAAATGCGACGTTGGACGCTGAGCCTGCAGCATTGGGTAGGATTGATCCTTGTCGGCTATGGAACCGATCATCACACACGCCGCAGGCTCTTGTTAAGGAGGGTTTACTACTCACTTAACTCTATGTTGGTAGCCCAAAATAGTAAGTCAGCAAGCCCCTGTCTCGCAGTTGGCCTTTAGCCTACGACGGGCCTGCAGTTGGAGTAGAAATTATTCCGTCCACAGATAACTCTCATCAAAAGCTAATTTTTTTTTTTTCGAAAAGAAACCACCTATGGGATGAATTTTGGGTAGTTTTATTTGGAATGATGTTATGATATTGGTGTGGGAGAAATGAATGTTACATGTGAGTGAACGATGGTGGCATGCAAAACAGTTACAATGTCACTCTTCGTCGTATTCAAGGCTTCAACCACTCATACCACACCAAAAAGGTACCTTAATTTATGCCCCTGCTCTTTCGAGGTTGAATGATTTATTCATTGCCCAGGTATATGTATAATTGATCTATGATATAACCGACGCTTTTCCTACCCCTGGCGATTAAGTTAGATGACGCCCTCACTGTCTCGAATCGCCACAATGATATTCTTATTCTAAGCATCAAGTAGCTGCTTGCCTTCTTGCTGAACAGAATACCCAATCAGTTCTCGGTTTTGTTACTCCATTGATATCCAGCCGAGATGACAGGGTTGACTCTGCCAGATCTCACTCCTGCGTAGGTAGACCAAGATGGGATCTTATTGTAAGATGCATTCCCCAGCCGATAGAGCTCCTCTTAATAGAACAGGGAGCTAATTTACTGTTTTGACTTTTCGGGATTCTCCTAAAAAGAGTAGGTACTACATCGTTAAAATCCGGATGCTCGAAGTAATGCATCAGCAGATTAGGCCCGATCGGTGGCATGAGATCTATTTGCTGGGGCTCGAAATCGTAATCTTGGAGGTCTTAACCCGTTGGAAGTGAGGGCTTGATTTAGATATCCCGGTAGTTCGCCTAAGGTCCGCAAGCGTGTAACGGAACTCGAAAGGCTTCGCTACAGGCGTGTCTATCTGTTCCATTCATACAGGTAACACATGAAATTCGGGATCTGGCGAGAGGGTGGGAATGGCCCACCAAGAAAATCTGTATGCAATTACGCCATATTGCTATATGCTGAGGATTGGAATCGGCATGTTTCACATGGGCGAGACAGAAACTCGGGGCATCCAGTGTTAGTCGATGCGAGCAATGCTGTCGAACCAATTGGTTACATGTATCATATACTCACCTAATGGGCTGACATTTAATAACACTGCCGATTTGACACTACCTCTTAGAAATATACAAGGCCCAGGCTATCATCGACATGAGGTCTTATCCCTATTCCACCACACAAGGAGGTAGGTATAAGGCCATTGAGAGAACAGACGGAGGGCAAAGTTTCTCTGCCGTGATTTCCAGGTTCTTGAAACCCATGCCAAAGGTACCCAAGACAGACCAACTCATTCCAAAGGGCTGGGAACTGAAACAAGGGCCGCCCAGCCCGTACTCACCAGCGGGAGGCTCACGTGATAGAATGAACATGTTGAGCTGGCCTCAGCCGTGCCGACTGGAGGATAGCTTGGTGTTTTGTTCCAGTCAGCCAGTTCGATGGAGCGGAACCCAGACCGCTGTGGGCCAGCAACTGGCTCGTCGATTAGGGGCACAGGGGGCTAAATGGACCCGCCCGCCGGAACCCTGCCGCTGGAACAAGCACCCGCGAGAATGGGCACAGGCCTAACAGGCCCCTGCTGAGTAGCGCGCACTGGCGATCGATCCAGGTAGGTCGAATGAGACCTCATTTGTTTCTCCTGCATCTCACCTCGGAGAGTATCTTGAGACCTGAATCATGAACGTGCAAAGAGAATTCCATCTCCTGCCCACTCGCCGTCGGCTGCCCCGTGATGTGAGGGGCCTGCACCCTGCATGTGGCTTGTCCCGACACCACCAGCCTATACGTGTAGCCGCCGTCCTATAGCACCAGCCAGCAATGCAGAATTGTCGCATCACATCACATTAATGTGTGTGCGGCGGAACTTCGGCCAAGACTTCCCTTCCCTCCCGAGCGGCCGCTCCATGAAGAGTTCACTGCTCAAGCCTCCATTCTGGGCAAGGTCGGCAGGATAGAGCAGGTCGATCCGAATGAAGCCCAGGAAATAATTGGCCCATTCTTAGCTGGCCGGTCCCTTTTCTAATACCTACCTGTTTGGAGCGACCCATTTCCATCCAGAGCGTCATTCGATCAATACTGCCAACCTCCCAGGAGGGGGTCCCCAACTGCCTACCCCAAAGCTGCACGGTCTCCCTGCTGGCCTTTCTTTTCTTTCTTCACCATTGACTGCTGTGCGAAGACCCCTTCTCTCATCACCATCTTCCCAAGTCTCCCCAGAGAGGTGCATGCTGCCAGCCCAGCAGCAGGAGGCCGTAGCAAGCCATGTCGTCCTCACAGCCCAACGAGCCCCAGCCCAAGAGAGAGATGAAGGTCCTGTGCCTGGGCCTCCCCCGGACTGGCTCGACCTCCATCGCTGAGGCCCTCTCCATCCTCGGCTACCAGAACGTCCACCACTGCAGCAAGGCCGCCAAGGACGACTGGCGCGTCCTCAACCGCGCGGCCGACGCCACCTTCGCCTGCCTGCCCGGCTACACGGGCGTGCCCTTCACCCGCGAGGAGTGGGACGAGCTGTACGGGCCCTGCGAGGCCACCACCGACGCCGCCTCCATGTTCGGGCCACAGCTCATCGCCGCGTACCCGGAGGCCAAGGTCCTGCTCGTCGAGCGCAACTACGAGCGCTGGCACCGCAGCGTCTTCGGCAGCCTGTTCCCCCTGGTGTGGAACCCCGTCGTCAACTTCTCCGTCGGCTACCTCGAGCCGCTCATCGGGTCCGACGCCGGCAAGGCGTCCCGCAAGATGATCCTCGGGCTCTTTGGCGCGCGGACGCCGGACGAGGCCCGCCGCAACGCCCGGGAGACGTACCTCGCCCACCCGAGGCGGATCCGCGAGCTCGTCCCGCCGGGGCAGCTGCTGGAGTACCGGCTGGGCGACGGGTGGGGCCCGCTCTGCGAGTTCCTGGGCAAGGAGGTGCCGGACGTCGAGTTCCCCTGGCTGAACGAGGCGGACATGCTGAAGAGGATAGCGTGGGACATTGTGCGGCAGAACTTCTACCAGGCGGCGTGGAAGCTGCTGCCATGGGTTGTCGGGGTTGGTGCGGTGGGTGGAGGCCTGTGGACACTGATACAGAGGAAGTGATAAACTTCGGGGGGAGGATGGGGAGACCAGGCCACGGGTGTACTATGTTCATATTTTGTATAAACACAACTACGGGGGGTCCGATGTCTTGTGTAGGCGCTGGCGTTTTGGCAAAGAAGGGCTCATTTCAGCTTTGCGAGGTTATATTACGATTTAGTCTGCTACTTTTGAACACGAATTAGATGCGAATACGGCTTGCTTTGTTAGGGCATAACATGATTTTTTATTGATTATCGGAGAGCGATGTTGAACTCTGGTTGGTTGCGGGCCAAGGGTAAGGCTGAGCAGGGCAAGCAATATTTCGTCCCAACTCAGCTGGTCTTTGGAAGTAATCATCTTAGGGCCATGCCGACCGTACCCCCACATGACGTTGTATTTCCCATAGAGCTACAAAGCCCCTCATCTCACGGAGCTTTCAGTCCAGCGTCGTAGTTGAGCTTCGCCCCCCCACCGTGGGACGGGGCCTATAGCTAGAAGTTGCCAGTCGCCACGCGAATTTCGATTCGATCTAAAAAGGCCAAGGATCAGCGGTCCAAGATCCCCTGAAAGCTTGCACGCACAGCCGGGTCGTGGGGTACGAAGCTCAGGGGACGGTTGGCTGCCTCTAGGCCACGGGCGGAAGTCATCAACGTCATGGGGGCCCACGCCACCGGCGATTGACCTCCAGCCAATGACGTAGAATGACATCCCGAACCTGGTACCAAGAACCTTGGGGCCTGTAGCTCGGCAGCGTTTAAGCTTAAAACTGCCCTATTTTCATGCCATCTTCGGCTTCTTCCAGGGCACTGATGGAGAAGTGATGTATCTAGGTAGCGGCGGGTGGGGGTGATCTAGCGATTGCCTCCATCTATGACGAGCGATGAAGTAAGATGGCACAGCAACTATGAGAGATATACGTGAAGATTGCCCAATGGCTGGCCAGTGGTGGTTTCCAAGATATCATCAATCAGGTATATATAAGGCCTCAGGGTCTCAGACTTAAAAACACTTGCCCTACTCGAACTCTACATCTTCCTCTACTTTACTTGTAACACTCTTCACCTAAATCTACAATCTACAATCTACCTCACAATTCATTCACACAATGTCTTCACTTCTGAATAAGCTCACGGGCTCGACTAAGACTCATCACACTGAGAATATGCAGCCCACAGCCACTACCACCACTCCTCATCGAGAGAACCTCCATCAAGGTAACCTTCGCGAAGAGCCGAGGTATCAGGAGAACGTCTACGATAACAATGTTGGCCGAACCAGTCATGGCAGAAATGACCTGGGCCACGAGAACTTGAGGCAGAATGAAGTTCCTATCCAGAGCAACCTCCTCCCTCACGAGAACGTCGGCACAACCGGCCACGGCAGACACGACTTGGCCTCTGACAACCTGAGGCGACATGATGCCCCTATTCATAACAACGTTCCTCACCATGGCCATGGCACAGCCAGGACTGGCCCCGTCCATAATGCCTATGAGAACAACGTTGGCCGAACCAGCCATGGCAGAAATGACCTGGGCCACGAGAACTTGAGGCGAAATGAAGTTCCTATCCAGAGCAACCTCCTCCCTCACGAGAACGTCGGCACAACCGGCCACAGCACACACGACTTCGCTTCTGACAACCTGAGAAGACATGACGTCCCCGCCCAGAGCAACATCTCTCATGGAAATGCCCACCCAGCCGATCACGGCAGACACGATTTGGCCTCGGACAGCCTAGGACGACACGACATCCCCGCTCAGAGCAACATCTCTCATGGGAATGCTCACCCAACCGATCACGGCAGACACGATTTGGCCTCGGACAGCCTAGGACGACACGACGTCCCTGCTCCGAGCAATCATCACCACCAGCACTCCAGCACCATCGAGACCGGCCCTGTCCACAACAGCGAGGTGCTGAACAAGCTTGACCCTCGCGTTCACGAGCACAAGGACAGGACTGCGACAACCGACCACACACTGTAAGTAGCAACACAAAACCGAATCTCTGAGATGAATTTGACTGATTGCTAACTCGTTTCTTCAGGACTGGCACGACACATGGCCAAGTGCCCTTGGACGCTGCCCGAGTGCCCCCTTCAGTTATGCAGGAGCATTTGGGTCCCCCAACCATTGAGCACGACTTTCCTCACGACAGCAAGCACAAGAGGCACTCCGTCAGCCACCAGGAGGCTCACATCTTGCGATAAATACAAAAAGGATTACGAAGGCGGTATGAAATGTAAATTATAGATGCTGGCGGCTATATAATCAACCATGATGATGATTGGAAATATATGAGACATATATGACGAAGAAACCGATGAGATCAAAGATTGGAGAGTAGAAGCATCTCCATGAAGTCGCGTGACACGTGATTCAGCTCGTGGAATGTAGTGCGATTGTTCCCCGCGGCGATAGTAAGCTGCCAGGGGAATCAAAGCTATGTTAAAAAAAGGAAAAAACCCTACATAGCTACGGCAATGAAAGAAAATGCTCGTAATAAGTACAAGCCAATTATCGAAGAAGCAATGATTCGAGAAGACGTTGAAGCGGGGGTTGAAGGCGGGGATACAACATCCCAGACTTCGGCGCATCAGCTCCGGGTAGGTACCAGGCTCCTTCCATGCAGTGCAGGCACCTTAATCCCGTGGTTGTATCTCTCGATAAAATTCCGACCCACTGCGGTGGGAAATCGCAACGATTCATGACATTTCCTACAAGCTAGGGTGGGCTTGAAAATATTTATGGAACGCAAGCCATCCGGTTAAAACGCGAGCACTAGCTTTTTTGCAAAGCGATAGAGTGAGTACAATATACTAGCTTTTAAAGAAACTAGTCGAGAGGAGCCCCGAGGAGCGTGCAGTTGGGAGCTCCCCTCCCCTCTTTGAAGCGTTGCTACCCGCATGGCAAGGTTACAGCCAAACCGGCTACAGGCAACCGGCTGCCAGGATCAAGGCGCGCCTAGTGGGCTACATGTGTATACTATGGCATTCGCCATTGGAACGGCAAAGCCAGAAGAGAGAATAAGAAAACAAGCGCCCGATCGATGGCTTGCTCATCGGCCGGTGCACAGCGAGCCGGGTCGAAGTCGCCCCTTCAAACAAGCCTTCTGATTGGATTGGCCCTTCACCGCGTCGGCGAAGTCCCCGACAGCGTCCAAGACCCCCCGTTTCGCTATCAGGAACCCGCTGAAAAGGTGTGAAATCTCGAGATGCTCGCGGGTTGGCGGCTACCCCACCTGTATTCGCGGAGCTCCTATTGGGCCGGGTAATGAGCCTGGCTAAATCGGAGCTCTCTCGTACAGCGGCCCGTGCTAAAGTCAACGACTGGCATGCCCTGAAAGTCTCAACCGCGTCACAAGACCAAGCTCGTGGGGTAGCTAATTAGCTGTACACACATACAGAGAGAGACTTCAGAGAAGGTCGTGTTGATGAGGCTCGGACGTACTCGTAGATAATGGAGGGGGGTGCTACATAAAACGACGAGTCCCTCCCCTCCTCTGCTTGAATCACTCTTCTCCCCCTTCCATTTCTTCTTCTCTCGTAGCACCGTACTAATCCAATTGCCGACTCTTGTTGTAATCTTGCCCCTCCTCCCACGTCACCACCACCTCGTTCCACCAATATTACCGACACAATGGCGTCCCTCAACAAGGAAGAGCTCAGCGTATGCAATTCACACCCGAATTACTGTTTTTCTCATGGATTACGTGCAAGAGTGACAGGCTAACTTCTTTTGATTCTTTCTGTCTTGCAGAACCTCTCCTTCGTGCTCAAGAAGCCCCTCGAGGTCGCATTCGAGGACCGCCCCAAGCCCTCCCTCGCCTCCCCCCACGATGTCCTCGTCGCCGTCAACTACACGGGCATCTGCGGCTCCGACGTCCACTACTGGCTCCACGGCGCCATCGGCCACTTCGTAGTCAAGGACCCCATGGTCCTGGGCCACGAGTCCGCCGGCACCGTCGTCCAAGTCGGCGACGCCGTCAAGACCCTCGCCGTCGGGGACCAGGTCGCCCTCGAGCCCGGCTACCCCTGCCGCCGGTGCGCTCCCTGCCTGGCCGGCAAGTACAACCTCTGCCCCGAGATGGCCTTCGCCGCCACGCCCCCCTACGACGGCACCCTCACCGGCCTCTGGTCCTCGCCCGCCGACTTCTGCTACAAGCTCCCCGCCGCCGTCTCCCTCCAGGAGGGCGCGCTGATCGAGCCCCTGGCCGTCGCCGTCCACATCGTCCGCCAGGCCTCCGTCACCCCGGGCCAGTCCGTCGTCGTCATGGGCGCCGGCCCCGTCGGCCTGCTCTGCGCTGCCGTCGCCAAGGCCCACGGCGCCTCCACCATCGTCAGCGTCGACATCGTCCAGTCCAAGCTCGACTTCGCCGCCGGCTTCGCGGCCACCCACACCTACGCCTCCCAGCGCATCCCCGCGGCCGACAACGCCAAGGCCATCCGCGAGCTCGCAGGCTTCCCCGACGGCGTCGACGTGGTCATCGACGCCAGCGGCGCCGAGCCGTCCATCCAGGCGGCCATCCACACCGTCCGCATGGGCGGCACGTACGTGCAGGGCGGCATGGGCAAGCCCGACATCACCTTCCCCATCATGACCATGTGCCTGAAGGAGGTGACGGTCAAGGGCTCGTTCCGCTACGGCCCGGGCGACTACAGGCTGGCCGTGGAGCTCGTGGCCACGGGCAAGGTGGACGTCAAGAAGCTCGTCACCAGCGTGGTGAGCTTCGACCAGGCCGAGGAGGCCTTTAAGAAGGTCAAGGAGGGCGAGGCCATCAAGGTGCTCATCGCCGGTCCCAACGAGAAGATCTAGAGAGGATCACATCGCTCCATCAACCCATTCTATACCAAGAATCTTACCGTGGATGGTTACGGGTATTATTAAAAATTCCTTCTTTGTCTTTTTTTATTGTGTTCAAGGGAAATTGCATTCGGGGCGGGGTCTATTTTTCGTGTCTATTTTGAGAGAAGGGCGGTGGGAGCACGGCAAGCAACTGGAAAACGAGGTGTGTTAGCGAGGCGTATACGAATTATGCGATGGTGGCGGCGGCGATGGCAGGCTGATGCAGGTGCGACATCATGGAGTCAGATCGAGACCGAGCTGATTTATATCGAAAATCCATTATTGACTGCTGCATATGACATGTCGACGGTGTGTGTGTGTGTGTGTGTGTTGCTAGCTGTAGATGGGTAAGCCTCGAGGTGGTATTGGGCAGCATGGGGCGGGTGATTCCTCCGACTTTGCAGGGCCTCCGGACTCTGGAGCTGGCCGTGCGCGTACAGATCACTCATTCATTGACTCAGTGCTCGCCGTACTCTCACAGGCCTCGACCAGATGCGACGTGCAAAGATCCACACCCCACCTGCTCCAAGGGGACCCGTCCATAGGGCTTTCTCGCCTTTGGAGGAGTGTCGATTGTCAAGCGGAATCTGCCATTTTTTTTTTTGGGGCCGCTGGTCTGGCTGGAAATAGGCCGCCACGGTGGAGATTAGGAGGCTTGAGGGTAATTACAGCAGCAGCCACAGCGGGTGCCTGCTTTTTAGGCGTGTGTAAATTGAAATTGGATGACCAGTAGACATGGGCTGCGGGCAATATTCCGCACCTCCCAGTCAGATCGACAGCAATGGGAACGGTGTTCCCACACACTCGCATGGCCAAGGTAGATCCCACGGGCGGCAGTGGGCGAGACTCGGTTGTGCTGTGATTGAAACATCGAGTCTGTCTTCCAGACCTGCCTCGAGGTTTAGTCGCCGGATTGAGTTCACCCATCGCCACGTTTGTTCTGGATTAGCTGCCGGCCGCAAAGATAGGTGAGGGCTTAACCCATTCCAGGTAATTTACACAACCATCATCCGACTATGTCTTTCCAGACTTCAGCCAGACTCCCGGTGACAGCAGCCCCGATACCCCTGGAGATAGAAAGACAACCCACACCCCGTCACAGAGTCGCAGTTGACTCAGTCTATTGCCCTCCTGCGTGGGTCTGTCCAACGCTCAGCGGTTACATTGCCTTGCAGATAGCGCTGGCCCAGACTGCAGCTGCAACAGCCCTCTGCCCTGCGCTCATCTGCACAACCTCCGGTAAGGCATTGGATTGGGAAAAAAACGCCTAAGCCCAAGTTCAACCGCCAGGACCCTCCCTTCGATGAGGGCACTAACGACCACTAGCCTCCCCTCTGCACGTTCCTGCGGCATCTCGGCGCCGTTCCAGCGGTAACTGTATTCGAGGCGCCTCTCGACATGGAATTATTCATGGTTCGCTTCACACGCCCCAGCAAGACGAGCCGTGGATATGTCGACCCGCCGGGCATGAAGTTTAAAGCCAGCCAGCCGGTCACGAGTCACTAGCTCGACTGCAGCTGAAGAAGCCATCCACGCTTTTGGGAGACGGACGCTCACCGTGCGCGCACCGCTGGGGTTTCGGTCGAGCATGAGGCATGGAAAGGCAATCCAGTCCTCGCTACCAAGCTGCGGAGTTAAGAGCTCGAGGCAAAACATCCGCCAAGCCAAGCGGTCCAAAGTCGAGACCGGCCGCCGCAAAAGGAAATTCTTCTTCCCCAGCCCATGACAGCGCAACACGCGCTCCCCAATTCCCAACGAGCAGGGGGGCTTGTCAGGCATCACCCTAGATCAAGTGGGCTCAACCGCAGTGCGGCTGAACTTTGAAGCAGCGCGGAGAGTAAACTGTTTGGGAGAGCGGCAGGCCTCAGACAATGCCTCCCATCTCCGCCCGAGCGCATCCCATCTGCCAGTCCATGCTGCAATAGTCCCTAGCGGCTGAAAATCTGCCTTGGGCCCTCTTCTGGGCTGTCCCATCCATTGGCCTGCGTCCTTGGTCCGTATCGGATCTCTGGCTCTCGGCTGCTCCCATGACCTGGGTCGGATTTCTTTATTAATGCCATGGCATCCCCTCTAATGCATTGATGGGCCAGTGGCTTGCTTCGTTGTGTCGATCGTCCTATTTAATATAGAACCTGACTGTCCATCCCCTCCCCGCCCTTCTCTCCATCCTTACAGGCAGCTAGTTGGACATTCACTTCCTTGTACGCTATACTCTGCGACAACAAACAAGATGGAGAACGGACCCCAGATTCTGGAGACGCCCCTCTGGCTCCTCGGAGCCCGCGTTGCTCAGGCTGTGCTCGCACTCATTATCATGGCCATGGCTGGTGTGCTCATGCACGGTGCCTACCTGGACGAGCATGGC